TATTTATGTAAATTACATATACTTTATTTTATTTACCGCAATCATTTCAAAATATATACTTTTGCTGTTCACCGACCCCAGAAAGGTCATCATTGGATGATTCTCCAAAATTTGGTTAGACAATGGTCCAAATTCTAAAAAATATCAATTTTTCACACTAATTCTTTAAATTTAAAGTAAAATTGATCTTTAATCGATTTTCAGCTGTACCCCCAGTCCGATTTCGGAAGATAGGCTCTTTATCCGATTCCAAAGATTTCCCAGCCTTGGCACAAAGAAGCGTTAAAAATAAGAATTTCAACATTTTTATGGATGGATTGCTCCGCTCATAGTAAATAAATTTCGATTTCTGGCGTCGAATGACTCCACTGGTCAACTTAAATACTTCCACCAACTCTCAAGTTTTGGAACATTGCGTCATATTTTACTATCCGAATGGTACAAATCCTTTCAAGTCTGATAACTATTATTGATTACGGTTTACTGTAATCAATAAAAATTTGAGTTTTACAGTGCACATTGGGCCAGAATCCGACACATGCGGACGCTGTTTTCGGAGAGGAAATTGACGAATTACAAAGACCTCGTAAATACATATCATACATGTTCACTTTCATTCATTTTACTGATTTCTATACAGAATGAATGTTATTATAAATAATGAAAATGAATTTCATGTCATTAGAATAAGAATGATTGAAGGATTCTGTCATTTCAGATGAATGCAAGGATTTTTTCAATTCTTTCATTTTTCACACTAGCCTTAATATATTGGGCGAACTAAGAAATGAAGTCGGATGAAGTGAAATTAAATGAATTCGAAAGAAAATGACTGAATGTGAATGACAATCTTCAGTCACAAATCGAGTTTTGAATAAACACAATTTTACAAATGGTCCATGGCCCATGGTCCATCGATGGACCATCTGAAAAATGGTCCATGGTCCATGGTCCATCGATGGACTAATTTTTTGGTGGACCATGGTCCATCATGATGGACCATGGACCAATTTTTAGGTGGTCCATTGTCCATGGCCCATCATGATGGACCATCTGAAAAATGGTCCATCGATGGACCACCTAAAAAATTGTCCGTGGTCCATGGTCCATGATGACCATTTTGGTCCAGCGGACCATGGTCCATTGCGAGCTATGCACTGGATGGGCGTCAAAGATGCTACAAAGTGACCATGGCATAATCATGCTGAGTAAATGTACATATTCTTACAATTGAGCCGCAAACCATGTTCTGCATAAATCATTTTTTAACCAGCTTAGTTTGAAACATACCTGTTCACTTTCATTCATGTGGCTGAATATGATAGAGAATGATAGTGAATGAAAATGAATTTCCTGTGATTTGAATGAAAATGAGTGAAAGATTCAGTCATTTAAGACGAATGACTGAATGAAGGATTTTTCACTCCTATCATTTTTCACCCTATGCTTATGTAGTACATGGGGCGAAATAAGAAATGAAGTCAGATGAAGTGAAGTGAAATGAAATGAGTTTGAAAGAAAATGAGTGAGTGTGAATGAAAACCTTCAGTCAGAAATCGAGATGACTGAACTTTGAATGAAAAAAGTTTTTTTTGAACAGGTATGGTTTGAAAAACAAACTCTTTCGAAATAGCATTTATTTCGATGAGCAACATTCATTATGGGCGTCGTAAGTTCGCCAAAACTCTCGATTTTCGAACTTATTTTTTGGGTACCGAAGGCAGCTCAGATTTTTCTCGCATTTATTCCTCGTGAAAACTTTCGGCTCCACGGAATTCTCGTAATTTTTAATTTTTGCGAATTCCAGTTCCGCGCTAAACCTTGGTCCTAAGTAGTTGGTCCTTCATACTGAGGTGGTCTAAAAGTAATCTGGGTTGAACATAGATTGATAGTACGGGAAAATTATCATTCGATCAATTATCCTCATTCTTTGGAATGTTGCATATTTATCAGCGGGAGTAAAATCCAGGTTGCATAAATTACATTCGGTTCGTCATCGACCTACATACATACGTGACCGCTGCCTAATCGCTTGATAAAATAGCACCCGCTCGGTGAATTAAGTACCAGTGTTAATAATGCCAAATTATTTATTTATGACGGCTAGTGTTGATCATCAATTATTTAGCTTACAGACTTAAGCCGCATTGGAGTAATGTTTTGAACGTGATTGATTATGTTTAGTACATACATACATTTTTATGTCCACAGAATTAATCCTTGTTTCAGTTACCTAAATATCTAATTAATGTCAGGTTTTCAATAAAGCATTGGACATAAATATGGGAAGTAATTTAATGTCTCTCCAAAACATGGGAATTACCCTCCTGGGAATTAAAAATTATGGCTTGTGGATATATACATTATCTTAAGAAGTCCACCTTTGGCAGAAGTTTGCCACCAAAATCCAATTTCAAGAATACCTTAAGAGGCAGGTATCCATGAAGGGTACTTCTGAAATATTTGGAGAGTACTTCCCATTTAATTTGAGAGGTTTTGAATGCATGCATTAGTTTAATACGCATGCTTTAAATGCTTAAAAAATATTTCTTTCTCACAAAAAAATCTTTCATGAAACTTTCACTTTTTCAAGTTGGCTTATGAACTAGTCCTGAATATACGAATATGCACATCTAACATATATGTATGTACATATGTAAATGTGAAATTAGTAAGACATGTTTCATAAGTGAAATGAAAATTTTAATCTGACATAAGTTTCTGATGGCGTACATGAAACTTGAGCATATGTATACTTCAACTTCTTGTATGTAGGATTTCTTGTACTTGGAAACTTGAACAATGATATGCAAATCTGCTAAATTTACATACACGCTGTCACTTTTAATATGTTCTTTTACTTAATTGCATGCATCCAGATATTTAAGTCTCCATCGTAAATGATATATTATTATGTAAATGATGAAATGCACATTCAACAAGCACGCAAGTTATACCCGAAAAATCAATTTTTACTATTTCTCGGTTCCATTCTGGCGAAACATTTCCCAGAATAAAAGAGAACCTGTCTATAAGGATGAAGTTACGCTCCGAATTTTCTGGTTCACATACGTATGTATATTATGTGTAGATGCATACACTCCCGTGTTTAGTACTATCTCCAACCGATATTATAAAAAAAACTTGCTCTGGGCTTACATTCATTCAACACATGCTACACAACTCCTCGTCATTTCATTATTACAATTTTTGCAGTGTAATGTTTACCAATTCAAGGACATATGCGGTTTAGTGCAAAAGTGAATCGACAGTTTTTCGCAGAGGCGCTTTGCATTTACAGTGTCGGACAGATGTCTACGTCCACATAGTCGCGTCAATTTCATTTTCAAATTGTCACTGAACTACTGAACCAATTTTCATCATTGATATATCAAATTCTCACAAATTTAACGTAATTTCATAGCACATTATTAGTTTTCCGCTAAAAAATTTATTTTAGGCCAGAGATGTATTTTAATTCAAAATGAAAACAATTGGATGGACAAAAGTCAACGTCCAGTAAGAGAAAACATACAAAAAAAACTGTAATTTATAAGGAATGTTATAACAATTAATTTTTAATATTTGGTTGGGCCTCCGTTCGCTTTAAGGACGGCTTCAAGGCGTCGAGTCATAGAGTTTACCAAATTCTTGGTCACATCTTCAGAAATGGTTTCCCAAACTTCACGAATTCTGGATTTAAGGGCCGGAATTCCTGAAAAAGATTGTTTTCTTATTTCTCTTTCAATGTGGTCCCACAGATGCTCAATGGGATTCAAGTCTGGAGATTGGGGAGGCCATTCTAGCTTCGAAATTTTTTTTTCTTGAAGTATTCCATGGTGTACGTGGCAGAGTGTTTCGGATCGTTGTCTTGTTGGAAGACAAATCGTCGTCCAAGTCCAAGTTTTCGAACAGATTCCTGGATATTACGGTCAAGTATTCCCTGGTACCTGTATTGGTCCATAATTCCGTCAACAAATTCCATTTTTCCTGCCCCACTTGAAGCCATGCATCCCCACACCATTACCGACCCGCCGCCGTGCTTAACTGTGGGGTTGAGATTTTTTGGATACCTCCACACTCTACGACGCCCATCTGACCCACAGACATTGAACTTTGACTCGTCAGTCCATAAAATATGTCCCAGAATGTTTGTGGCTTGGAAATGTGGTCTCTGGCAAACTTCACTCGTTTGGTTGCATTCCTCGGTACAATAAGAGGCTTCCGGACTGCTCTGTGGGATTTCAAATTTCCCTTGTTCAGTGTTCTTTGGATGGTCCTAGGACTAACTTGTTTGTCGAACATCTCCTTGATCTCGGTAGATAGCTTTGGAGCACTAAGTGAGGGTGTAACGTTGACTTTGTTGAGCACGTGGCGTACTTCTCGGTGAGCCAAAATGGGTTTTCGACCACTTCTGACCTTGTTTTGGACTGAACCATTAGCTTTAAAGTTCTTAATGATTGTCTGGATGGTTGTCCTTGCTAATTTATACTTGGTCCATATTTGTCTCTGCGACAGCCCCCTTTTTGTCCACCCTTCCAGTCCTGAATGACAAGATCTGGAATAGCGATAGGAATTTCCTTGCGTGTCGACGCCATCATATTTTTCTGGAAGAAAATTATTTAAAAATTAATGCGGCATATGTTATTGATAGATTTATTAAGTTACCTGATTTTATAAATTGGAGAGATTTTTGTTGTTGACAATTAAAGTGAAGTGGACGTAGACTTTTGTCCGCTCAAATTTCATCCTCTCTCGCTCTGCACTATGATTCTCAGTTTTCCCAGAATTTTCAGAAATAACTCATATGTTTTATGAAATTACGTTAAATTTGTGAGAATTTGATATATCAATGATGAAAATTGGTTCAGTAGTTCAGTGACAATTTGAAAATGAAATTGACGCGACTATGTGGACGTAGACATCTGTCCGACACTGTATTGCAAACTCATCGTGCAGATATGTAAGTTATCAATCCAAGTCAAATATACATACGCTATACCATACAAGCCATACATATGTGATTGCATCGTCAGACAGATTCAGGATTAACACATACTTTCACGTATTTTTCAAGCACGGAATAAAATATTTCAAATAATAATATCATAGGTAATATTTCAAATTAGCAGCAATTTTTACTACATAAATGAACCCGTTGTTTTGTAGTTTTGTTACTCATTAGCTAAATTCTTCTTGTCCGTCTGTCAGACAGAACACACAGAGCCACAGAGGGGACACACAGACTCTGTCTGTTAACGACTTTTTTGATAAAAAACGACCAGCTCCATTTTTTAATAAATTAATAGCAGGGTTGCTATCGGTAACACAAAATAGTCCCAAAAAATTCATTCAAAACGCACCGATGGTGCAGCATAGTTGAAAAAATTATACCATGTGTATTTAGACCTAAATTATTCAAAATTATGTATCTCACTTCCTTGCAAACGTACAGTAAAATATTAGGGAGTATTATATTCGCTTATTTCTGCACTATTGGTGCAAAATTGTATACAAATGATGGATCTAGTGTGTCAGATTGTTCTGCACTTTTGGTACAAGTTTACATATACATATCCAAATCATTATTACGGGATGAGCTAATTCTAACGTTACAATGGTGTATTTATGTACATAGACCTTATCTCATCCAAGCGACATGGCGTTATCATCCCCACTAAAAACTGCCATCGTATTGGGTGGATCTGGTACCGTGGGTTCCGGCATTGTCAAAGCCTTGGCAAATTGCCCCCTCTACGAGAAAGTCACCCTGCTCGGCCGCAGCCGTATCGAACTTCCTGAGACCGAAAACTATGCAAAATTTACCCAGACAACGATGGATTTTGAAAATATTTCGTCCCAAGGTGCACTTTTTGCCGGATTTTCAACAGCTTTTTACGCCATTGGCGTTTCTCAGAACAAAGTAGATGAGGAAACGTATCGCAAAATCGAGTTGACCAATGCCCTGGCTATTGCCACTCTGATGAAAGAGGCCTCAATCCCGGATATTCATTGGGTATTTTATTTTGGATTGATCTTTAATTATTTACTATTAGTTAATTTTTACAGAATTTCTGTATTATTAATTTTTAGGTAACGGGGGGAGGCTCGAGCAAAAATTCACTCTTTTTGTTTGGCAGGGTAAAAGCGGAAGTTGAAGAAACAATTGGAAAAATGGGGTTTCGTCGAGTGATAATTTATCGACCAGGTAATAAGTAATTTTTTACGGTTAGGGGCCGTACATAAAGCATGTGATCGATTTTCGGGGAATTTTGACCCATACACAGGTGTGACCTATGTAATAATTTACATATGGGAAAGATAGGATGCCATGCCCCCTACCCCCCCCCTCCCCAAATCGATCCCCAGTCTAGATGTAGAATAAACTAATGGGTACACAATATGTATGTAAGTGCATAATTTATTTATTCATCAACCAGGGGGAATTTTGGCCGACAAGTCAAGTTCTATGGGACCCAAGACGACCACGGTGCTCCGAGCAGTTGACCCATTCCATTTGATGTCCGTTGAAGCCGAACTCTTGGGCGAGGTGATGGTGGGGAATTCTATTAAAGAGATGGAAGGGGAGGGTAATGAGATGAAAATTCTGGAAAATTGTGCCATCAATAAGATCGGGAAGGACTTGAAGAGACCGGAGAATTGAAGAAAACTGTCCTTTGTTGTGTATTTAGCTGACTTTGATCCAAATATATTAACACCAATGTACATATGTGCATATATATTTCATATATTATTACACAAAATTTGACACTATCAAATGCAAATAAGTACTTTCTTTATAAACAAGGTCCCAAAAAGTTGGAAATCTTAGTGAGGCAGTGCCTAATAAATAAAATTAGATTAAAAATTTTTTATATCACCGCTCCCAATAAGACGAAATATCGAAGTACCAAGAGCGGTGATGCAAAAATTTTGCAATCTAATTTTATTTATTAGGCACTGCCTCACTAAGATTTCCAACTTTTTGGGACCTTGTTTATTTAATACTTGTAATTGAGTATTTACATGATAAACACGCATTCCTAAAAATTAGCGTGAACATAGCATTTGTTGTCAACGACATTAATGTTATATTGCTGCAAATATATTGAATAACGTCACGATTTCCTAACCGATTTTGATCATATGTAGCTTAAAATTTACGGAACAAAATACTCTACAAGACGTGGGGTTTGAATCTTGTTTTAGATGATCCAGTGATCAACAATAAATGAAAATGTGTTTCTAAGGGGACATTTTTGCCCATAACTGGGCTAAAAATTAAAAATTCAAAAAGGGGATTCGATAATCGTCTTTAAATTGCTTAACAATGATCTGTGCAAAATTTCATTAAAATCGGTTGGGAAATGACTGAGATATCCTGCAAAGTCACTTTTTTTGGGTGGGGTAAATGCATACTTACAAGGGAACATACCGAGGTATCCAACGAGTTAAGGGTCGACACCTATACCAAACTGACCACAACACGTGACTTATTAAACAAACTGAAGGAATTTCCGTGTAAAATTCACTTTTTGTCAACTTGTGACGATATTTGTGACGAGCGCAGCGCACGACCATGGGGTTGCCAGCGGGAGAGGTCGGCCGCTGAATGACCAGGTCGACCACAGAGAAGCGTCGTCGTCTTCACGTCGTCTTCAGAGATTTCAAATTCTTTCAAATTTTGAAAATATCTTGAAATTTTGGAATTTTGAGAAAATATTAAAATTTTGAGAAAACGTTGAAATTTTCAGAAAATATTTAAATTCTTAGAAAATTTTGAAATTTTGAGAAATTTTTGAAATTTTGGGAAAATATTTAAATTTTTAGAAAATTTTGAAATTTTGAGAAATTTTTGAAATTTTGAAGAAATTTTGATTTTTTTTTCAAAATTTCAAGATGTTTTCAAAATTCGAAAGAATTTGAAATCTCTGAAGATGTGAAGACGACGACGCTTCTTTGTGTTCGACCTGATCATACAGCGGCCGACCTCTCCCGCTGGCAACCCCATGGTCGTGCGCTCGTCACAAATATCGTCACAACGTGACGAAAAGTGAATTTTACAAGGAAATTCCTTCAGTTTGTTTAATAAGTCATGTGTTGTGGTCAGTTTGGTATAGGTGTCGACCCTTAACTCGTTGGACACCTCGGTATGTTTCCTTGTTAGTGAATTTTTTTGTTGCTAAGTATTTGCCTCACTAAGAAAAATGTTGTAAATCTGTAAAATTTTTTCGATCGTGTTTTATCATACGTAATATCGTAATAAACTCTATAACCCCACCTGAAATACGGCAAGAGTTTGGTTTAATATTGTCGCATATTCACAACATATATTTATGTAATGTACATATGTATGTACCTACTTGCAAATGTGTGAATATTAGCTTTATCATCACGATTAAAGTAGTGTATCTCAGAGTTCAAGTATTCCGAAAATTACAAAATTACTCAGAGGGTATGCGTAAATATGGGTGTACATATTATTTATGTGTAAAATACACCGAAATTTATATTTCTGCCAAATTTTGAACTTAATGGAATCTCGGAATCTTTAATTTACTTCAAAACTTCATTTTTATGAGAAATTGTACTTACTATGAATTTCTATACCTAGTGCCCGCTAAAGTTCTGTTATAAGACTTCCAGGTAAATTAAGCAGGAAAACATTTTTTTTAGAAAGTTGTAATATTTTTTATTGAAATACACATGCAATTGTCCGCCCGAAACCATATTGAAAAAATATTTCTGACCCAAGGCACCAAATTGATAGACCGGATATTGATAAAAAATTCTGTCGTCAGGATATGTCTGTGGTCAATCTCCTGTGGAACGCGTGCGTACTGCGATAGAGTGGTGGATGCCAAGAGTCTGGGCTCGTGTGGCCTTATAATATTATATACAATTCGTCAGAATCTTCGTATACCTTCCTTCCGTTGAAAGCCCTACATAAAAATCTTCTGCTTGGCTGACGTTATATGTAGGAGCCTGATTTGATATGCACAGTATTTGTCCCATTGATCTATGCTAGCAAATTTCGAATTGTTATTTCTGATGAAGAGTATGGAAAATATGCCACCATAACAATGAAATGACAGCATCGATTGCACATCGGTCTTTTCTGAATGAGTACGACAAAATATTTATTTTCATTTTACTCCTATGCAGCTCCGAACCCCTCCTCACAAAATTCCACTAGAATCCTCAAGTAACACAAAATGTTGTCATTACTCAAGGTTTCCGGGACATGGATTTCCAAGGAACACGTGTGCACCGTGAATCCTCCACCAGCGGTTATTATAACTTTGATGTCCTCCTCGGGAAGAAATGGCCATGCGGTGACTGCACGAATGAACTTGGTCAATTGATCATCTAGAAATCATTAAGGGAATTGACTGGCAGTATTAATTTCAATTTTTCTATAACAGACATATTCTTACTGCTCAGTCGTACTTGACCAAATTTAATTTTAGTTTCTGTCTTACTGAAAGTATTCTTAAAATACTTAAAATATGAAGAAACTTGGGATAAGATAGCCAGAAATTATTTATAAATTCTTCCCGGAGAATACACAATCGGAAACAAATTGAGAACCTTCCAAAGTCGGACTTACTGATGCTTGGCTCTGATGGAGGGATTAATTTGCTGGAGCGCTAATTCGGGTGTTAAACTCACTCCAAACTGCACAGTTATGTGAAATTTTAAAATTTCATCCTAGACACTTAAATGTTTTCATACGTTTCACCAACCTCTGGGGCCTCATACCATATAATCAGTTACCGTCGCTGAAAATGGTTTCAGAAAAAAATAAAAACTGATAGTAAACCTGGGGTTTTACATATAAACATGCGATTTTAAAAAAATCATAAATTTTTTTGAAAATAACATTATTCAAATTTCGTTTTCGTAGATATGCTTACCAGGGGTCGGGGAAGTTTAGAAAGTTTTAAACTAAGACCCTTCCCCATGGGGGTATGGCTGGTTGTGCAATAAAGAATTGTCTATATTTTTTTTTTTTTGTACATGGCAGAACCCAACAGTTATCCAACTACTTAATTAAGCATCATATGTACTTAACCCACACCCTGGGGTTTGGGGTTGCAGATATGGAGAAAAGTGAGATCGATTTAACAAAAGTCTTCTGTTTTAAATTATTTTATATGTATATATTATTCCCATGAAATCTCACTTTTCTCTTTATGTTTTCGACCAGTTTTTAATTTTTTCTGAAAAATTTTCAGTGGATGGGACGGGAACTGATTGAATGGTCTGATGCCCTATAAGTTGGTGAACATGTACATATGAAAACATCTCAGGATTAGTGTGTAGGACGAAATTTTAAAATTTCAAATAATTATGCAGTTTGGAGGGAGCTAAACACCCCAACCAGCGCTCCCAGCGAATCGATCCGTCCCAGAGTTAAGAGCCCATCATTAGTATACATAAAATCTTGTGATTTAAAGCGGGATAATTACTTGGTCGCGCACAATGTCGGGAACTATGTGTCTAAAATTACTAGATGTAGATACAATTATTTCGTTTACCTCCAACGTTGCAGAGAAAATCATAAAATAAACAAGTTATTCTTGCTATTGCGTCCATGCAAACATTCGTTTGGCTCGTGAAAAATTTAAGCTTCCTCGTCACCATTACGGCTGTGTACCTCATCTGGCTCAATCTTGGAAACGCGCTGGACCACAGATGTGGCCTGTCGTTAAGAAAATCCGTTACCCCAGATGTGATAAAGGCTTTTTTGATGAGCTCCAACTCTAAACGACGGTAATTGATTATGTCATGTTTTGCTACAGTGGCCTTAAGAGATTGTAGGTTCTTCTTAGAGGCTGGAGGCATGTCTTTGATGTATCCTATAGTTGTAATAAGTTTCTCGAAGCGTACAGGGGTATCCCCGTATTTGTCAAACGTCTTAAGCTGGAAAATAAATGTGGCAGTTAGTGCACGACACAGTTAACTTATCTAATTTTGTTAGCATTTTGAATATTTTTAATATGCACCAAATAAATAATGCCTACGGGTAGGGGTGTTTTATTTGAGTTTTAATTCGAGTTGTTGAATTCTACCTTGACTGAGGCACTAAAAATTGTAATTTGTAACCTGACTTACTAATCTGAGGTATAGTCGCAATTGGAAATTTCAATTGTGGTTGACGTTCATACATACACAACTGGACATACATATTTTTATAGATATGTATATGGATATTTTGGCAATGAAGTTCATTTTCAAAATATTTGTACTGATATTTTCTAAATCCATAATTCCTACTCGAGTTGATGCATATTGCAACCGTAATATCTGGACACATATCGTGGGAACTATACAAGCTATCTGCTGGGGTAAATGTTAAACAAAACTAATGACACCAGATAAAACGCTATAACGCCATTCAAATTTTGGCGTCGTTATTTCTGGTTGAAACCAATTCAAAATACTGTATTTCCATGTTCTGGGAACCTTGAATTTTAATGAAATATACTTGAAACATTTAACTCTAGGACTTAATAGTTTTACTTGCACAATATCTTACAATTTCTATTGCATCACAGGAAATTACATCGTCCACTCCAATTGTGTCATCTCCTGCTTCCCAGTCGTAGTTTAGAGTATTTTACAATGGACAAATGTAACCCGCAAATTGCGACACCGGTGTGCATAAACGAGTGAACTAAGAACCATTCAAGTTTTAGGTATAGAGCATGACCCACATGTTCATTTAAACGTGACGGCACTTTTCCATCGTCACGTCCGTCGAGTATCGGAACACCGCGATACAATTTCGTCAAAATGGAGGTGCGACCAAGCGAAAAGTATTCCCTCGTTAAGGCTTGAGAAAATAACCTAAACCACCTACTACCAGGGCGGCGAAAAATTTGTGAGTTGCATATTCATCTTTTGTAAATGTAGACGTCCAAGGGGTATATAGCGGTATAATAATTGTCGGTCTCGGTGGTGGGGGCGGTGTCGCAGGTGTGGTTGATCTTTCGGCAAATCGGATCATGAAACTAGAAGCAAGACAGAATTTTGTATCGGTACAAATACGTTTAAAATACTATGTATGTGCATATACGACATTTTGGTCTCTAGTATATAAACAGTGATTAGTTCACTAGAATATACCAGATTAAAGTTTTGTTTGAGCTGTGCCATATATCCCCCTCTGAGCACAATTATGGACACAAGGTTATCGTGTAGAGAAATCTACGATTCAATTGCTATTTCTACTAGTACACTTTTAGCCAGTATTTTAAATTTTACCACTTTGGTTAAGATAGATATATACAATGAAAGTTTTTTTCGCGTTCGAACGATTTTCGAGTTGGATGGCTTAAAATTTCCGTAATTTTGTGTACAAAATGAATCTGAAATAATATTGAGTCAGTTAGTATATGGTCAGTTTTTGCCATACGAGCCGACATGTGCGAATTTTTGGCTAATTTTGAGTTTTTTTTGTCAAAATCGTAAAAATTTGGTCACACACTACTGGAAATAATTTTATAAATAATTTTACACCAGAATTTGGCTGCTACACCTGACCCTTGGTTTCCAATAAGTTGAATTTTGCAAAATAATTGCAATTTCCATATTATTAACTTTTACCTTTTAACTATGCACTTTTTCGAATTTTTTTACCCGCAAAAAATACAATTTGTAGCCCGAGTCAGGGCTTATGGAACCATCATGTCCGTCCGTCCGTCCGTCTTACGATAACTCTCGTTAAACTCATCCTATCGACTTGAAATTTGGTACACATGTAGTATGGGGCAAATGAGGAGTTAAGTTCGAAGATGGGCGAAATCGGTCAAGTGGTTGACCAGTGGGGGTCATATAGGTGGATGGGGTATTATGCACCAAAATTTCAAAATCGTCATAGAAGGCAGAAATTTGGCACTGAGGTTGCTAATGGTGTTTAATGAAAGAGTATGAATTCAAGTTGGAAAAAATTTAATTTTGAAAGACCCGAGGGTATGACCCATACTGATTTGTCAAAATCGTCATATCGAGTTGAAATTTGGTAGACAGGTTGCGTATAGGGTTTAAGCAAGAACCTGAAATGAAATTGGTCAATTTTTTTATCTGGAGGGACTCGAGAGGGTGACCCATACCGATTTTTGAAAATCATTTAATTGAGCTGAAATTAAGCTGAAAAGGAACGCAAAAAGGCAAAAAGGCATGAACAAATAGCAAAAAGGCTGACTTTTTGCACACACTGGTCACCCCCACTGGTTTAGAAAACGGGCGTAGACGACTAAAAGTTGGCCTGATCCTGCAGGGTTAGATCAGCTTAATAAATGTGAAGTAAATTTCAGATTTTTTTGCCAGGAGGACCCAGTAGGGTTTTTGGAATTGGTTAAAGAAGCTGCAATTTTGCAGCGACGATTAAGAATAATTCGCAATCGTCAAAAATTTTCCCATAATGACCGGTACCAACTATTAGTAGTTGGTACCGGTCACCTGACAAACATTTAGAAGTGGACTCTGTCCCTGACTCGGGCTATATAAACACTGCACACTGTAGGTTTTTGCTTTGCAGTACAAGAAATGTGACAAGCCCGCACGAAACAAACACTTCATATCACCTCAAATTTAGGTCTCCACAATACGCACGACTTACCTTTCCCCATTAAAGAACGGATATGTATACCGCTTAAGCTTTTGAGCTTGCCGCTCACTCAAAATGTATACACATATCCCCGTCTGTGACTTCACTTTTGGAGAAAGTTTCAAGACTTTATTGGCACTTGGTTCAATCGGATAAATAATAATTCCATGGTAACCCATTCTCTCCGCATTGACGACCATTCTATCCACTTCACACCGAAAATTGGACGAAATAAGGACCCATCTATCTCGTGAATTAGGCGGTGGCTCAAGATTATCGGAACAAACGAAATCCTTCTGGATAACTTTGTACAAATAACCCTTATCTATTTTCGAATTTTTCGGGGTTATCACTTCCTCTATTCCATCCTTGATGACATGCACCAAGCCAGCCTTCCCGTTACGATGGTTTTTGTCTCGAAGTATTTTTATGTAGCAATAACTTTGAGAAAAGAGGAGGGATATGAGCACCAGTGATACAGCTTGACTCTTGTGTTTCATAATTTTACAAGGTAGGAGTAAAACTTTTGTTAAAGAAATGTTAGCAAATTAATACTATGCTGGAGAAAAGTGAAAAGTTTTTTACTGATCGGAATTCAATGTCAAGTCGTAATTTAATACTACATAACTCTCCTTATCGATCACCAGGTGATTACATGTTTATTAGACATATGAAAAGTTTGATGAGGTGATATCATTCCTAAATTATATAAGTGTTTACTCATCAACCTCAAGTTACATAAATGCATTCCAGCTTGAGTATTCATGTATGTATATAATATGTATGAGATAATGTGACAAATTGGGTAACATCTGCATATTATTTAGCTACATATGTACATACATACATACATACATATGCATATTTATGTTCCAAATGCTGTCCAGCATTTGATGCTGATCCTGATCAGTTTCACAATGAAATATTGTCGCATAGTTTGGCAGCAAATACTCCGGAGCTGTGCTAGCAAGCTTATATGTACATATAAGCAAATCATAAATTTATCATGGGGTCGCTCAATACATAAATATATTGATCACTAATAATTATTTCTCGAACATACGTATGCAATGTTTCAATTTCACGAATTTTTTCCTTGGCCACTTTAGGAGGATTGAACCTTTATCAATTTTATGAACTGATAAAGGCCAAATCAAAAGTGCAAGAAAACTCGTTTCCATTTTGAGAAATAAAACTAAATAAGATCTTGGTGGGAAATTTGCAGGATAATAGTAGCCGAGAAAGATTGTAGAGTAGAATGAATCCGTTCCTGATTCTCATAAGGTCAAAAAGGTCGAGATTAATGATATAATTTTATTTTTCGACCAACACAAAGATATTTCTCTTACAAGGGAACATACCGAGGTGTCCAACGAGTTAAGGGTCGACACCTATACCAAAATGACCACAACACGTGACTTATTAAACAAACTGAAGAAATTTCCGTGTAAAATTCACTTTTCGTCAAGTTGTGACGATATTTGTGACGAGCGCATGACGATCGGGTTGCCAGAGAGGGAGAGGTCGGCCGCTGAACGATCAGGTCAACCACAGAGAAGCGTCTTCTTCTTCAGAGATTTCAAATTCTTTCAAATTTTGAAAACATCTTGAAATTTTGAAAAATTTTGAGAAAATTTAGAAATTTTTAGAAAATTTGAGAAAATTTGAGAAAATTTTGAAATTTTGAAAAAATTTTGAGAAAATTTAGAAATTTTTAGAAATTTTGAGAAAATTTAGAAATTTTTAGAAAATTTGAGAAAATTTGAGAAAATTTTGAAATTTTGAAGAAATTTTTGAAATTTTGAAGAAATTTCAAATTTTTTTCAAAATTTCAAGTGGTTTTCAAAATTTGAAAGAATTTGAAATCTCTGAAGACGACGTGAAGACGACGACGCTTCTCTGTGTTCGATCTGATCGTTCAGCGGCTGACCTCTCCCGCTGGCAACCGGATGGTCATGCGCTCGTCACAAATATCGTCACAACTTGACGAAAAGTGAATTTTACACGGAAATTCCTTCAGTTTGTTTAATAAGTCATCTACTGTAGTCATTTTGGTATAGGTGTCGACCCTTAACTCGTTGGACACCTCGGTATGTTTCCTTGTTAGTAGCTTTATATTTTACCGATAACTCAACTCCAGGCAAAAGTTTTGATATCTTGTTCGGTTTTCTACAATTTTTCTGAACAAAAAGACTTTCAGGGGAATGACAGTAAGGCTCACAATATTTTATTTGATTTTGTACCCGTTTTCAAAGCAAAATAACCTAAATACCTATTTTGCATTTAAATAACTAACGTTAAGGAAATATGTCATGGTGAAGCATACTAACAACCACAAGGCTATTCCACGACAGCACAAACTAAAAAGTCATCCATGGTCTAAACCATACTAAAATTTATCCCAGCTGGTAGTGATGTTCGTGTCGCAGGGTCTTGCTCAAGGGTCCTATGAATGAAGAGGATGGTCCAATAAATGGCGCAAAAAATGAAAAATGCCGTGGGAAAACCCCACTTTGAAATATTGTCCAACCGTTTCCACAAAAGTACGGGTTCCTGCGTAGTAGGATCAATCCATTTCAATGGGAGTCTCACTCTCCCCGTTGTAGATATTGTTGCGGGAAGATTTTGATTACAGACCTAAAAATATGCGGGATTTAATTTAATGTACAAAATAAAAATTAAATGTGACCAAGATTCGAACTCCTGATTTCGAACCCACGTGGCACCTTGGCACCTAATTCTTTGGTCGTTAGCTCACCTTCCCCGCATTTTGAATCGTTGCTTCGTTAATGACTTTTGATCTCGCCACTTCTTGCATTTGTTCTTCTTGAAACTTATAGTTGGCATCTAGGATCATGCGGTTGATGACTTTGGCCAGGACGTATTCACACAAGGCGGCAAAGACAAACACCATGCAAACAGCCATGAAGATGTCGACAGCCTTGATATAGTCCACTGGCGGGTGGTCGATGCGAAGTCCAGAAAATTGGGTGACTAAGATCAAAATGGCCGTGATGAGGAGCGACATTCGAGCCGAGAGGGCGTTTAATTCCATCCAAAATGAGAACCAGGAGAGGCACACGATGAGCGAACAGGGGGCAAATGTCTAAGAAAAAATGTGAGTTTTTGTGGGGAATATTAATTAAGAATTTTAAGAAAATTAAGAAGTGTGAAATAATTGGGTATAAAATAAGCTTGCAAAAATTAGTAACGTCGAAGATTCGAACCCGTGCTAAACAACGTCGAAGGTATGTACATACTTACTTGTATCATATGATTTCCAAATAATCGATCAAAGCGGAAGTAGGCGATGCACTGCGAAAAATTGTTGGCTGCATAAAAAGTAATTACAAATTAAAAATGTTACCAATTTAAGATGCATTTCTTAAAGTCTTAAGCTAACCCTGATTGTATCTCGGGACGGAGGCAACACTATATCCTGGCGGTACTCTAGGGAGAAATTGGGGCATAGCAAGACCCCCGTTGATGGTGAAAGCATCTTTCTTGGACCACTCGAACTGAACTTGTTCCTGGTCAAATGTGACTATTTTTTTCATGTCATAAGTCGAATTTACATGCAAAATAGATAAAGTCAACTTTATTTAGGAACTAGAATCAGAATCTCTACATGTGCTTCTATGTATAACTCACGGCTTTCCAAGTACATCGGACAGAGCTGGGAGTCCACGGGAAAGTATTTGTACTGGGAGATAAATTAATTGATGTATTCATTCTACATATGTAAGAAATTGGTTGAACTTAAGGGTAAATACATAAATCCTTACGTTTATAGCACACGCAATCGTGGCATAAATGTTGATGGTGTATTGTACCGTATGGTCCCGAAAGACGTACACGTTAATAAATTTCTGACCCAGTTCGCCCACCTCTGAAAAAATCAGGGATTTCTCCATACATAAACAACATAGTGATTGGTTAGGAAAGATAACAATTTTGGACATTTGTAATTCAAGTATCCACCTTGAAAAAAAATCATGCATACTTTTAATAAATTAATTCACGCCGCCTTTGGTAACTTGGTAAAATTTTGTAAAATAATTTAGCAAACTTGTGCAAAACAAAACAAAACCTCCTTGATGTGGTTAAACTTGCAAAAATCTGTACTCTACTTTTCAATAAATATGTAAAAGTGTGCAAATTTACGTATTTCACAAAATAGCAAACGACTGTATGAACTGCCTCGGTGTTTGGTTTGAGAAAGATGGAAGTAAAGGGTGTTGAATAAATTCGTCAACATTTCTTACTGCAATGAAATTGCTTGTTTGTCAAACTTGATAGTATGACGAAGGCTAACTTTTTTTGAGAGATACTTTAGTAATTGGTCATTCTACAGTGAACTTTAATTATGCCCTAAACTTTTTGGTCTAGGCTATGTGTTGCTTGACATTAGTCGCGTACAAAACACCTAAGCCACCACAACGTCCATCCTAAATTTCAGGGCCCTCATTAATGATTGATCAGATTTTTTTGCTGTTCTATATCTTCTACAATGTTAGTGTAATTTTGTATTCAACACAATTTGAGATTCATCAGTGTAAAGGATGTGACGACGAAATTCTTTACGTTGTCAAATATCCACTTTTTCAAAGCGTTCATGCAAATGCAACTCGGTCATCAATATGTTTGGTGGATACATGATTTTTATTGGTTAGTCGGTAAGTTATGTGACAAGGTTATGCAGATTCGACCTTAGTTTTCACTGCAATGAATTATCTACAACCGATTTTAAGTTAATCCGGTTTTCATTTTTTAACTCCCATGCACCATTTGTCCAAGAACTTCGAGTTATCGCTTAAATCTCACCAAATTCATTATTTTCCAAGTAGGTCCGACCAATTGGGGTTGCTTAGGCCGTCCTTGATTCTTTAAAAAATTTTTGTTCACGCATTGCCGCAAACTTTTTCCGGAACATCCAATTTTTGGCGAAATTTTTATTTATTTGGAATTTCCCCGTTCTAAGACATGTGTCCCAATGTCGTGATGCTTATGATTAGCACTTATTATGCCTCCAACTATGGTAAAAATTTCGAAGAAAAATATTAAAGGGATCAATAACTATAGCTAATTTTGTCATGAGCGGGGGCCGAAAAATTGATGTTGGCGAATTAAATCAACACCCTTTATATACATAGGTGACACAATTTGTGCATGGTCCCACTAATTAGAAATACCGGCTTGTTTGGCGTTCACTATGTACGGACGAGGATGCCAGATTTGGTCGCTAACTGCGCTCGGAAGGATGATTTTCTCCTCGCCGTCAAACCATTCGGAGGGAAAGGTGAGACGGTCATCGGTCCATCGTTGGGTCAAAGTCATGTCTAACCTGAAAATTTTGGAGAACTTTCATAAATTCAAATTTCCAGTCAACTAATAGATTTGTGTGTATATGTAAGTACATATAAATACGAATAATCTATATTTCTGCATTTTGAGTACTTTTTTACCAAATTTGTCTACCAACCTGAAATCCATGTCGATCGTTTTAATAGGATTGATCGTACGGACGTGAATATTGACCGTGACCAAGGTTGCTTCACCGTGTTTCCACGTGGGACGATGTTCTTTAAACAAATAAAAGAAGAGTAAAGTTCTAAAATGTGAATTCCTTTATAAACTTTTTTATTTGTGAAACAACCTTTAGAATAATTTGCTGGAAGTGTAACCTTGACGGAGTCGGGTTGACCCTGTACACATGTAAATTTAGGTGTCATGCTAATTAATAAAAATCGCGCAAGTATTGAAACCACGGATGAAAATCTTAACTCCATCTTGACCGGAAGGTGAGCTCAATTTGTTCCTGAGCTTACTGTGTTCCCTGGTTTTGTCCGGTATTTCAGTCCGATTGGTATGATTAGATTCCAAAAATATGAATATCTACATACTTAAGGTGAAGGAGAGTAATGGGATGGCCGTTAATTTTAGGAGGTCATTGGATACATCTACATACTCCCGACAAATAGGCCATGCACATATCAAGTCGTTTAAAGATGGTTTAACCACCGTGGTTACTATTGGTGATAACTAATCCTAAGTCATTAATTTTCAAAATTTGCATTTGAGAGTTTGGAAATTTAATAAAATGTGGAGAAAAATGTTGGTTCCAAATGCTTCGTGTGCTTTATAGTGGGCACGTTCCCAATGTGAATTTAGACTACTTATCTATGTATGTATGTACCTTGGTTACATTACAAGGAAGCAAGTCAAGGTTGGGCTCTTTGAGCGTGTTTATATAAATACGTGGAATAAAAACAGATTGCTAATTTGTGTCGGATTCGATTAAACCTTGACATAAATGGAGGAATGATTATGCACTTGGGTGAAATTTTATGTATCTACACTCATAAGTAAGCACACTCGTACATATGTTCATACATATGTATTTAGATTATTTGGTCCCCCTTTCACTTATGATGGTCACGCAAAGTATTTCGAATGGAGAATTGATTGTAGAAGAAAGTATAAAAGTATTCTTGTATTAGGATGATAAGAAGCCTTTTGAGCACCACGCTGAAAATAATTTGGTTACGATTATTATCAGAAGTAAAGATATGTGACTCTATGTACCATTATGGTTTTAAAGTTATCATCGTTGCTAAAAAATTTATAGTCAGGGGCGACAAATTGATAACCATGACGGTAGAGTCGCACGCATACATGTTTACTTTCTGGTTAAATTGCTTAATAATTTTAATTTTTTATATTTTTTATATAAATTTATTTTACACAAGAAATTCTTCTACTTAGGTTATGTATGCATGTGTCAATAATTTTCAAAATCCTTTTAATTAATAATTAAATGTAGTCACATATGTATTTTTGCAACAAACCAAAAATTAGACTGTTTAAGCATGTCTATTCTAAATTAACCACATTTTCTTAACAAACATGGGGCAGTTCCCATTAACAATTAACTTCCTAAAATACTCAGGGACTGACACGAAATTTACTTCACGCGATTATTTAATTCCGTCCATCTGCTCTCCTGTGACATAAATATGTACATTCATAAATTTTCTTAAATATTTTCCAAATTTTTCCTCAAATTAGGAAACGTTTTCCGCATTCTTTTAAAAAACTTGGAACACTTTACCCTTTTCTCAACGCATTTGTCCTTACAATTAGAAAATTCTGTGAGCATTGTAAACCTCTTCATATTCCTTGGAGGCAGCTGCACGTGCACATCTCGCACCGTGACGGATTCTCCATGCAGGAAATATTTGTATAAAAATGCCACCGAAACTTCAAACCATTCCTTCTTCTTTAACCTGCTATAATAATGATTTACTTTTGAAACTACAATTTTTTCCAAAACCGGAAATTGCTTGCCATACTCGACAAGCCCGCCTGACTTGGAAAACTTCACATTAAGCGCAATCACTTTGGGGGCATCTCTTTTAAACTGAAAATGGTACGGACTAATCGAAATTTCTAACCATATCAATTTCGGCAAAACGTCTGGCAGCCTGATTGTCGTGTTACAAAAACTTATAATATTTCGGCGAGACGACATTCACCCCGAAAATTTTCAATTTTTCCAATGTTCCCGCAAACGTGGCCAAAATTACGTAGTGGTCGATCGACCGGTTAAAAATATCGATTTGAAATTCTACCCGGGTCAGAAAAACGGATGGCGTTGGGATCGAAATTGGTCTCTGTCTAATTGACCGATCCAATCTGACTGAGATTTCCGAAATGGATAAATTTCTGGAGAGGAAATATTCCACTATATCCAGCGGAAGTGAGGCACACCGTAAAATTTGTACATTTGGGAATAATGCCACGATTCCGAGGATAGTTTCCTGGCTTACGGTACGCATCACGTTAAACGACGTTTCACCAGAATAAAGCTTTGGTGGAAGGTAAATCCCGAGTTTGGTAATGTTCGGAAATTTAACAAGGGTTGGGAGCATGCCGGAAGGTTGGAACATTTCGTGGGTAAATTTTTGTGGGGTGAATCGAACACAGGTTAAGGAGGGGCAAGTTGAGAATAAGGCGATAATTTGGGCGAGAATGGGATCCACTCCGTGGGGGAAGTAGTCCAGGAGGAGGTCGGTGATGCGGGCGGTCGCGGCGGGGGATGAAATGAATCGTTGGAGAAGGTTGGTTACCTCGGGGGACATGTGTTGGATGGCGAAGTTATAGAGGAGGACACGTTTGTGGGGACGGGCGTGGGTCGGTCGGTCCAGATAGTTGGACATGTTGGACGGGGTGAGTTCGACGAGGGAGCGGGAAGCGAGGTGTTCTCGAGCGGCTTCTTCCCACCCGCGGGAAACGAAGGTGACGCTGGAAAGGAGATGGCGTGTTGGGACGTAGGACATTATTATGGTGAGGATCTGGAAATTATATGATAGAAAATTTGTACAAGTCCGTAGAAATCAATGAAAAAATGGATGGAAAATGTTAATTTATTTACATGTAAGTTAATTAGTACATTTAATTTTCTTTAGGAAATGTAGTTTACTTTGAATATAAATATATAGCTCCATTTTCATTACGAAAATGTTAACTTTGCATACCAAACGTTCAAGTTTTGCAATGAAAATTTTGAATTTGAATATCTAGCGATTTTTATTAAATTCAACATGATTAAACGAGAAGAAGTAAATAGATGGTTGGATTAATTTAATTGAAAATCTAACCTCTGGTAAAATAACGGCGAGATGAGGTGGTTGGGAAATGCAACCTTTCCGTCGACCTTTCCCTGGTTCCAAATCCATTTCAGAATAATTCTTGATCGATCTATGGTTTAGTAGGATTCGAAATAAGTAATTACTGGACAAAGCCAAAGTGAAAATAATACGATGCGAACAAATTATTACCGTTAGTATTTGAAGCTACACAGGTTTAGAGGCACATATGTATGTATGCACACATGTAGAATCGCTACCCTTGCTAGACAAAGTTAAAGTGAGAAATGAACGGTGCCAAGTCTGTGATAGTATTTAAAAAGCCAATGTTATATAACTTTAACTTGGGACTTTAATAAGCATGCAGCTTTCAGAGAAATCAAGCATTTAAAAATAAAACCCTTGTATGTAAATATTTATGCATGTATGTAAAGGGTTAAAACTCTGTAGAAGGTTTAACTCGGGGTACATACAAATTTATGTATTTGAACGTGTTATGTATTTCAGATGAGATGCCTTTTAACAGGGCAAGGACTAAAGGAAGTCAACCTATGTATGCATTTATGTCCCTATGGACATAACTGGGTGCATTTTCTACGCACTTTTATTACAGCGAGGAAGAGGAAGGATAGGATTTATGAAAATGTGACCCTTCGTTCAAGGGAAGGATTCTTGGGATAGATGAGAAAGTTTCACAAGTCATTTAACAGTTATTCGGTAAACCTATTTAACTTGTGGGGTATACATATTTATTTACATACATAGATATATTTAAATTCTTCTTATGTATATTTCGTAGGAAGATTGAAGAAAAGCTGCAACCTTCTGTAGAAAAGGTTTAAAAGCGTTTATGTATGCATGAACATGTAAATATTTACATTTTACAGATGTAGACAATCACATTTAATATTTTTGTAACAAACCATAAACGTACATACTTATTTACATACCTATGTACTTACAGTCAATCCAAGAAGTATTGGCAACCCCCAGACAAGCTTAACAAAATTGGCTATAACTTTCGCATGCATTATCAAAGTAGCATGAAACTTTGCACGCATTTGTCAAATCGAATGTAGTCTTTGATTACAATCATGTTTCCGACAAAAATTAAATAACCAGCACGTTATCCTGACTTTGATACGAACGAGTCAGGTACGAACCTCCAAAAAGTATTGGCAACCTGTGTCTTAATTATTTGAGCGAAATTTTTATCATGACAAACCTCTGCGTATGGTCAAGGTAAGTTAATTAGATGACAGTATATAGCTTTGTCTGCTTCGAAAGTCCAGATTGGTATTGTCTGGAGCCAAAATGTCGACACTAAACGGGCTATTTTTGGCGGAGCGAGAAATAATCTTACCTCTTTCGCAAACAAGCTTGCATATCAAAAACTCAGACAGAAAACATGCTTCGTGATATTTACTATTCGAAAAATCGCCAAAGAACATGAAGCAATCATTTTATTTCCTGCTTTCCTATGATCCGGCTAAAAAAAGCCACCTAATCCCAAAATAAACGGATTAATCAAGCTAATTATCACACGACATCGAACGATTTCAGCTCCCAAAACCATGTTGAATTCGAGTATCAACTCTGGGGTCCACATATCATGCAATATGGTGATCAATCAAAAATCATGCCATGGGGTTTCAGGGTCCAGTATCCCGACAGACGTAAGGGTCCCCGAAGCGCACCAACTCAATTAATTGGAATTGGCTAAATACCACCCTAAATAGACTCGCAATGAATGAAAAAGGGTCTGCCGGTCCGACATAGGCAAATTTTACTTATTCGGAGCTAATTAAATGGTTCAAGTCTGGCGGATGCAATGAAAGGCTCAGAAAAACGAGTATGTGCATATGGCAGTTAAAGACAGAGGAGGATTGATTGTGGTTTAAGGTTAAATGACCAGGTCGTGGTGTAGTTACCTTGTCATTATCGGTGAAATCATGACCAGGGAGGTCTAGGTAATCATTCGATACGATAATTTGAAAACAGTTGACAAAAACCTGACCTAGGAAGGAATTTCATATTCCAAAAATGCATTGGCCCCAAGCATGCATCCAAATTAACGATGCACATTTTTCGAAAAGGATCGAAAGAGATCGAAAAGGTTAAGCTTCTTTCGTTAGCTGCACAGTCTCCTGATGTGATTCTGATTGTCCGGGATGAGAAAAGAGGGACTGGTGGGAAATCACTCTTCGAAAAACGAGCTTGTCAAAAGTTCGAAAGAAGATTAGGGAGACATATCAAAAAGCGTTATAAAGAAATTTGTCGAGTCAATTCCAAGGCGTATTTCTGTTCTTCTTGCATCGAGGGGAGGTGCTGCGCGATACTGGAAGCAGTTTATCGAAACAAAAATTGCTGTATCTTTTATAATGATTTTTAAAGTTAAGGGTTGCCAATACTTTTTGTGGGTTAATTTTGCAAATTTTCCAACAAATTATATAAAAACCGTGCCAATCTAATTTTAATCAACAAAGGATTGTTATCATCGAGTACCATATTAGATTTGTCAAATATGTGCAAAATTTCATGCTATTTTGATAATGCATTCAAAAGTTATGGCCAAGTATATTCAGCTTGCGTCGGGGTTGCCAATACTTGTTGGATTGACTGTATGTATCAAGATTAGGTGAGAACCCCAAATAGTATGCATGTTTCTGGAAAATGGAACTTGAAATTGTTCAAATCGCATGCTGTATCTTAGGACTAGTATTCGTAATTTCGTATATTTGCATATAGTATTGAAATACCCCATTTGGAATTACGTATGTATTGCCTAGTTACAGACAGACAATATCTGTAGATAATGCCTGACTCCTTAAATACATATTTATGTATGTATGCCTCATAGCCAGACTACATAATCTTAAAAGTCAAAACTTGTGCATAAATTAGAATTTTATCCCTGCAACAAGAATTATCCCTTCTTTGAGGGCTTATTTATGTATCAGATCAGTATTTACTAAACCATCCTTCGTAATATGTATGTATTGTATTTGTTCGGAAAATTCAACGCAAGTGTCACGCTTTGTTAGATTGTATTTTTAATTAATCCCCGTTGCGTAAATGGTTTCGCCCGATTTGACGTCAAGATGATAAACAAAGAGTGTCGAAAAAAACAAAATTCAGTTTTTACTAGCATACACAGTTAGTCTATTTGCATGCGTAGGTATGTAAATACATACCTACTCTCCTCCCACGCAGGTTTGAACTTTTACAGAAATTGAGAAATCTGAGAAACTACGGCACTGTGAGTCTCAAATTCCCTCAAATAATGCTGGCAGGGAACTTTGAGACTGGCAGTGCTGTAGTTTCTCAGAAATCCCATTTTCTGTAAAAGTTCAATCTTGCGTGGAATACATATGCCTCTTTTAAGTAAGAGAAACGAATAGCGTTGAATTGGACACAGTAAACTTGTAGGAATGAGTATATTTCTTATTGTATATTTATTTCTTTCTGACCTTTCCTTAACTATATAATTACTGAATACAATTAAATATTATGTAAGTACTTTCGCACTATAATTGCAATATCGGAGTCGTCACGTTGTCTGCTTGTCGGCATTTGTTTCTTCCTCCACGATATCGCCCACGTCGATGACCATACTTCCTGGTGCGACGCTCTTCTTCCTGTCGAGGTTCTGACCCTTCGTTTCCTTTATTAGGAAGGAAACCAGTGACCCGGCGCAGCTCACGACCGCCAAAATTATGAATGGAACGGCGGGGTAATCTGAGAACAAACAAATGTGACTTTAATTATGTATATTTGTAAAGCTAATTATCGCCACAGTAGTTAATTCGTTTAAATGTTTCCAAGTGTAAAGTTTTTCGACAGATTTACTGTTCAGTTAATATTAATAGTCTCGCCAAATTCTGACAGGTTTGCTGGCGGATTATTTTATATTAAGTATTTCCCAAAAAACAAATAACCTCTCATAAAATTTGTCACAAATTTGTCAAGTTTTCAAAATTACCTGTTAATTTGGACTATTAATATTTGCATTTGCAATTAATATTTGCCAAACAGTACAAAATATATTATTTTACAAATCTCTGATAATTTAATAGTCACGGTTCTACATCTTGCGCAAATTTTCAAAACTACTTTATGCATGTGTCGAAAGTGTGTGAAAATTGCGTAATTTATGTACGAGATTTTGCATTTTGTATATGAAATTATTTACCTGTTCCCAGCGACGCCATTAACGGCGCTAATATTCCTCCCAGCGTTATCGAAATTCCGGAAAGTCCGAAACTCATAGCTCTCAAGTTAGTCGGGAAGGATTCGCCCGTCAATAACTTGCTTGTCGACCGCGTCGCCGACATTCCGAACAGCGAGAGGAGACACATGATTAGCACGATGTCGCCCAAATGCTCCATCGTGTAGAAACACACGGCCACCACGACCATGAAAATTGCGCCGAACGTCATCGACGAAAAGAGCGACATTCGACGCCCCAAACTGAAAATCATAACAAAAAACCGATAAAATTTCTGAAACTTAGAATAACGGAGTTTAAAATTAAGCTTGGAGAAATCTTAACCTTACATGAAAATTCAAACCTTAAATTTCTATAGATTCCTAGATTTCTTCCTAAAAATACTCTTTTAGAAATCCGACATAGCCAGGCAAGTATTGATTTCTAGGTATTACATTTGTGAATAGGTACTTTGTATACTAAAATTATACCGGACCGTAAAAATTTGATACTGACGTGGTAAAACTTTAATACCGAGCTATGTATATATGTGAATTGTACTACACGGTATTTACTTATCATTACATGAATACCACTTGGTATTATTTTAATACTGAATTTCTAAATGAAAGTGTCGGAAACAATAATTTGTTTATACACGAGCTAAAACATTTCAAATTTCCCCCTTACCTATCATTCGTCAATAATGTGACACGTTGCCCCAACGCATTCGCCAACCCGCTGAGGAACACGTTGAAGTAAATGTCCCCCTCAATGTTTCGAATATTGAATGAAATTCCATAGTACGTGAGCGACCATGAAAACCAAATCGCCATGACGAAGAGCGACGTCGTCCTGTGTTTCGGGTCCGTAATGAAGGTCAAATACCCGGGCTGCTTCTCCTTCGAGTCTGGGGCGGGGACGTGATTCGTCTTCTTAGCGATCGCGTGGAGAACTGAAATGTCGAGGGGCTTTTTCCCATTGCAGCGCGCCACGAATGTCAATACTTTGTGAGTCTCTTCTATTTTGTTCTGTTGAAGTAACCAGCGCGGGCTTTCAGGGAGGAAGCTGGAAATTTAAAAAATAATTAGGGGTTCATAGTTTTGGCGGGTAATTTGAATTTCGGGGTGAATTGATTTAATTATGAGGGACAAGTTTCCTAATCCGTCTAGAAGAGTTTAGGGTAAGCTAAGGCTGTCAGGGGCAATGTGAAATTAAGCGCGACATTCAACGCTATAACGCAAACGAAATCCATGGGCTGATTAAGGAATAGTATAGTTAAGCTCGTGGGGCTATGTGAAATTAAGCGCGCAAAGTTTAAATGGTAACACACACGCGGCACTACCCAACATTATACAGATTGATAGACGGATTTAAAAAATGTTTATGAATTTTTAACAATAATTTGTATTCCCGCCTTACGGATAGATTATGAAGATGAGCGCGTACGGCGCTGTCGTCACCCAGTACAGGGTCCTCCACGGCGTCACATATTTCGCGATAACGGCCAAAATCATTAGTCCTTCGCCCAAGGGACCAATGCAGTTGGCTAGAGATCTGAATTTCGGCGGCATAAATTCCATCACACCCGCGCCCGTGACATTGATAAAGCCTGAAAAGAAGCTTAATTAGTCAAAGTTTTAAATTTCCCGCCTTATGTATAAGTTTGAAATAAATTACTCTGAATTCCCGCCCCACAGACGAATCTGCACAGCGCGTAGACATAAGCGTTTGGCGCCACGGCGCTCGAAGCGGTACCGAGGGCAAGGAGTAGGACGGAAAGGAGGAAACCAATCTTGCGCCCGTACCAATCCGCGATCTGAGAGCCGATTATACTCCCAAAGATAAGCCCCAACATTTGGATACTCGTGATAAAATCGGTTATCCATCGCTGGTCGCAGATCAGGTTCCACTGAGGAAAAGAGATACATATATATGTAAATTCACGATATTAATCAGTACGGTACACAAATATAATAATGCAAACAAAATTATTCAAGGTTTCGAACATCAACTTTAACAAGTTATGTAAAAAATGTGATTTTTTTTTACAAAAGTTTTAAGAAACTTGAAATTTTTAAAGTAAAAAAATGTGCTCAAGTTTGAGTTGAGTTAATCAATACTCAATTAAAAAAGTTAATGGAATGCGGACATGTTTAAAATATTTACATTTCCAATTTTTTAAAATTTAGTCGGCCTGCATATGTTTTGATCTCGGATAAATTAAAACCACTGGCATTAATTAAAAATTTGAATAAATTGAATATTGCATAATTGCAAATTTTGCATAAATGTTCTACTCTACATAACAACTCTTGCACAAATGTGCAAACTTGCATAACGCAATGTGTAGCACATACTTACCTCTGCCACGATTGAGTCATCCGTGGTCGCCTTAATGGTCCCATTGCATCCACAAATTTCCTTCGAATTCATCGTTCGATTGTCGCATAGCCAATCGACCGGAGTTCGGGCTAAAAAATAATACGTATTTCACATTTCTCAATAAAAACTTTCAAAATTTAAAGTCCAACTTACCAACAAAAATTGGTATAAATATCGCAAAAGCTGTGACAGCTTCTAGCGTCAGGTACAAAATTATAACGAGAACTTGAAACCATCCAAATCCACCTGAAATTTAAATCCATACTCATTAAACTTCCAAAAAAAATTGGTATGCATAAATTCATATCCAAATATCTGCTAAAAATGTGCATGAACAATCTATTCCAATCATTTAATGTACAATCTATGCAAATATTTTAAACAAAAATTCATGCAAATATTTAAATGAAAAATAATAATACACGCTAACATCAAACATCGCAAAAAATGCATGCAAAAATTTGCTAAAGATTTCCATGAAAAACGTATTAATACATTTAAAAGAACAATGTGTTTCAATAATTTCATGAATCTCAATCCATTTAAGCAAATATTCTTAGGGAGCGTCCATAAATCACGTGATCGATTTTTGGGCAATTTTGACCCCCTCCCCCCCCCCTTGGTGACCGGTGGTGATAATTTCATTACCCCCTCCCCCCACCGGTCACGTGACAGGAGATGATCGTCAAATTAAATCATGTCGTCCGGAATATCAATATTATTCCAGTGTTTTTTAAAATCATTAATCAAACTAGAGCTACACACATGTGTAAATAACTATTTAATACGCCAGTCAAACATAAGAATTTTAAGTCGAAGGAAGTTTCTAACTATGCAAAATGAAAATCAAATTTATATAACGTGCGTGTGGTATGCCATGAGAGTTTATACATAACTCTCATGACATTTATTGGCATATACAAAAGTTAAAAAAAACTTTACTCATATCACGTGACATCTGACCATCTACCCCCCCCCCCCCTCGGTGATAATTGGTGACAAATTTCAGACCCCCTCCCCCCCTCTAATCGATCACGTGATTTATGGACGCTCCCTTAAGAAAAATTCATGCAAATGTTTCCACAAAAAAATTGCACTGGTCAAAATATTTACATACCTAAAACTTTAATAATTTCCTCGAAACTTTTCGGCGCCGCGGCTCTATCAGAGTCCAACTTTTTCCTGATTTCCGCCCCATTTGCGCCCGTAATATTATTAATATAATATTTATTATTATCCTTCCTTTCTGGCGAATCCATGTCCATTTAAATAATTAAATTATTTAACACTTTTTAACCCCAAAAATTGCAAAATTGGAAAATTGCGAAATCAATTCCACCCAAATCCAGAAAAGTTTTAATTTTAGCTCAATTCAATTTGATGCTATTCCTACCTCGGTGCCGTTCTCGGTAAAAATGCACCTGTTTCCCTTCATTGTGGACATTTTAACAGAAATCATCAATAAATTATTTCGCACATCTGGCCAAACTGATGATCAAATAGATCTGAATCAAAATAGAATAACTTTATCGCGAAAATAAAATCAATCTGGACTGACGTCACTTATTGTCCGAGTGACAAAAGTGCGGTGGAAATGCCAACGTTAAATATTCCACTGTATTTTTGCACAAAAGTAAATTACTCAACTAAGCGAAATTTGCATATTTTATTTTTATGCAGATATCTTGTTGACAGAGTTCGACCCGGTGGGGTCTGCGTTTCCATTGTGGGTGTCCGATTAATGCGAAAAGTTAAGCAATTCCGTCCAGGTGGTGGAAGAAATGAGGTATTTTTAATCATAAATCTGTGCAAAAAGTTAGAAATTTTGCTCTATGGAAGTGCGATTTGCATCCGTGGGAAATTCCACGTAGAAATAGATGTGTCACTTTTGAAAGTAATGATTTTGCACAAATGAGAGGATGTGAGGTAAATGTTAAGCTATAAATGGATAATTTTGTGACTAATGGTAACCATTCTTGTGCAAAAAATTCGCGATATTACACCATTTTTCTACTTTTTTCCAGATACCTAGATAAATTGTGTTGGGGACAATTGCGTAATTTTTTATTCTTGGTGACCGAGTACAATTAATCTGGATTAATGTCATCAATTAATTATTATTGTAATTTTCAAATGTATACATAAGTATTGCAAAAAAAATATTCGCAAAGTTGTATAATTTCAGAGATTGTAACGATTATTGATCAACTATGTTAATTTTTATACTACGTTAAGAGATTATTAAATCGTATTTTTTTCACTCATTCATAGAAAATATGCTCCCATAATTAAATAATTGACCTTTTAAGAATTATTGTAAAACCAGCTACGCACGTGTTGCTGTGGTTGTTTAGCTCATGTTTAGGGCATATTTGCATGTCAACGTTAAATATGCGAAGCAACTTTTGCGAAAATATTTTCGCCAAGATTGTATGTACGTACGCAAGCTGATATCCAACATCAAGTCAGATTAGGTGCTATTTCTTCTGAACCTTTTTTAATTTCTCGATCCTTCAAAAATCAGTTACATATGTACATATGCACATGCAGCGCCTATTAATGCCCTGTTTTTGAAATTAAGAGTTTTAAAAGTTTATGAAAAGTGGCTTAATCGTTTTATATTACAAAATGCATTAAACATGTTTTTTTAATTCACAAGGATTGATCGGAAACGTTGACGCATAAAAAAGTATGTATGTGACTTCAGGAACGTGACTTCAGCGTGACTTTGACTTTGACGTGACTTCAAGAACGTACGATATTTATAAATATTCACATATTGATCTTTACGTATTAACATAAAAATGTGCATTTGTACCGAGCATAAAAGGACAATAATTCAATCGTAACACATTTAATACATATGCACCTACATATGTACAAGTTCATGCTTAACAAGCTAAATGCTTAAAAAATACAGCATTTTCTGGGTATTTTCCACCACTTTAATCCAGTCTGACGTACCTACAGACTTTGGACAATTAATGTACATACTTACTTAATTAGTTAGTCACTGCGCTTATGTATCTATGGATAACCTCGCCCATTAAATTAAACATGCCCCACAAAAAGAGAATCAATTTCACAATATGTACCTCAACCTGACATAATTAACTACACCTGTTCAGATAACGGTGCTCATCATGAATCATTCAACAACATTCAATAAAACATTAAATTTGTACACTTGGGTAAGATAAAAAAAACAAATTGACGTTTCCCTGACAGCTTAATTACATATGTACTTAAATCGACTCATCCTCCGTGTAACGCTATTGATGTATTTAACAAATTAATTAATTGTTAACCTCGTGCCAGATAAGAGCAGCGACTTATGCACTGGACAAAATCCTTAAATTGTTCTGCTCGTACAATTTAAACATCACTTAACTCTGTCCCCTCGACCATATCACACATTTGACAAAAATTCTTACCCCAGCAATGGCATCATTTTACCCCATATTATCCCTAATTATTGTTATTCTTCTTTCAAATTATTCCGCGGGTCAAACCTTAACCGTAGAAAAGTCTCTCGTTACCCTGCCCAACGTATCTGCCGGCACCGCCTCCGTATACGATGGGGATGACGATGAAATTCTTGATTCCACTTTAGGGTTTTATCCTAAAGATGAGATTTTCTGGATGGATTTATCGCCATTGAATGTACAAAAGAAATAATTCTAAATGTGCAATTTGTTCGAAAATGAAGTCAACAATTTAATAAAACAGATAAAAATTCGAAATTATGAATTCTAATTTTACAAGTCAAATTTTGAAATTGGTCAATTTAGGCCAGGATTTCCCCATTTTATTTGGATTTATTTGTTTCAATTTCAATGTTTTCAGCATTAATTTGACAATACATAAATATGTACATACGTGACATACATAATTAATGAAACGCGTTAAGATAACCGTGCTCATCATTACCCGTTCAACATGCCATAACACGTTGAATCCGATCACCTGGATAAGATAAATAAGAAAATTCATGTTTCCTCAACACTTTTCGAGAATGGACGCATTGTTACGTTATCTAACCACCTAATTGATTTATTAATTATTCACCTCGTGCCAGATATGGGCAAGGCAAGCTCAATTAATTATTTAGATGACGTTGAGACGGACATTGTGTGTTGACGTTATTTTAAGAACACTTTATTTTCCCAATATTTCGACAATAAACTTTTGTCTTCATCAGGGGAGATGGTAAAAATGTAATTTAAGATACACCGATATTGTGAGAATGCACAAATCATGAAGATCACAATTATGACTAACAATGGAGACTGGTTGTTATGTTACAGTAAATGTAATAATGCGGATGTCCAAATCGGGTTGATTTTCATTCCATCTTTTTGATTCATTGCTGTTTTCTCGGCATTGATGTAGAGACCCTCTTCGAATATTCTTGAGAAGTATTTTTGTTCTGTTTCAATGAGTACTGCCGAATCAAAATCAATTTGATGGGATGAATATTGAGAAATATGTTGTGCTACAGCCGAAGATTCTGACATTTTTCTGAGGTCTCGTTTATGTTCATTGACTCTTGTTTTTAGATTTCTTCCGGTTTGACCAACATATGTAGCTTCACAATCGTGACAAGGGATTTTGTATATGCCACAGGTTATCGGGGGGTTTTTATCCTTGTGAGAGGTGAAGAATTTGTGAAGTTTCGTTCCGGTTTTGTAGCCAAAATCGAAATTTGTTCTCCTTCTGAGGAAACTTGTTAATCTTCCAGTTGTGGGTCCGAGAAATGGTAACACAAGTCTTGGGGTCGGTTCATCACTAGAGGGCGGTTGTCTGGGTAGGCTTAGTTTGTGTTTCATAGTTGATATCCTTTTAGAAATTAGATTTGATGGATACCTATTTTTCTTTAAAACATTTGTGATATGAGACAATTCAGATGGTAAAGAGTCTTTGTCAGATATTTTGATTGCTCGGTAGGAAAGGGCATCTATGACTGAAATTTTATGTGACATGTGATGATATGAAGAGAAATTGAGGTACTTATCTGTACTTATCTGTCTTTTTTCTATAGACTCTGTGTCCAAAGGTGTTGTCATCTTTTCGGTAGATTTGGACATCTAGGAATGGTAGTTGATTATTTGTTTCCTCCTCGATTGTGAATTGGATTTTCGGATGAAAACTGTTTAATTTCGCCAGGATGACTTCCTTCTTATTTTCTTTGATGTGGGAAAAGGTGTCACGTACACACACCACCCACTTTTGTCCACCCCCACTCAACTTGCCCATGTGGGCGTGGCCCCGAGGAGGAGGAGCAATGTGAGGACGAGTGGGAGGACGCGGCGTCGTCGCCATGCGCGAGAGGCGTCCAATGAGAGGACGGGGTCCTCTCGACATGGTGAGAGCGTCCAATTGGACGCCGTGTCGTCGTTGACAGGCGCAAGAGGCGTCCAATTGGACATCGTGTCCTCGTCGTCAGACGTAAAAAGCGTTCAATGAGGACGCTCATTCATCGCATGCGAGTTTTGTGGCTTGTGTAAAGCTGAGACATTGTCTCTGCTCTCGATTATGCTCGCCTGGGGCCAGCCTCACCAAAAGGCGGCCAAAGAAAAGAGAAAGTAGCGTCACTATCAATCGGGGCAGCAGCAACAGCACTAAGACGGCGAGGAGGAGAGGAAAAACGGAATAAAATTCAAGAAACGAATTGTTTTCAAGCCATAAAAACAGAATTTTTGAATGGAAATTAGTGCTTTTGTGTGCTATTGTGCGGGGAAGTGACTTTAAGTGCAATTTGAAGACTTTGTTTGGCGAACTGAAGCTTTTGTGCGGTGAAAAAGTAACTTTATATAAAGTGCACGGGGTTTTGTGTGTTTGGTTTTTATTTTAAAATTCATTTGGCAACTTTTTAGCCAATACAAGTTTGTGTGAGTGACACAATTGACTACAAAAGTGTAAAAGAGTTTTAGTGATAGTTTTTGTGCATAAATTTTGTTAAAGATCATAAGTAAAGTAAGTGTTGCTCATTCTTATCCTACTTTTTCTCACTTTTGCAAATATCTGGTTTCCTTGCGAAATGTACTTGTGTGCCTCGGGAAAGCAATGACGTGCGGCCCTGCCCTGTTATTGCTTATCCGAGTTGGTACATTTCTGCACACTCAAAATATAGTTACATACAGTATGTAATCGTATATAGCTCCGTGAATAAATGATAATATTCACGCCGCACGAGTTATATACGCTTACGTACTGTATGTAATTGTAACCAGATGTCTCAGCGACTTGCTAATTTGCGGTTTACGTAAGGCTGTTAGATTTAAGATGTTCTGCATACACTCTAAGAAATATAGTTCCGAATATACCAGAAAGTAAACGCAATCGATTCTTTTGACTTTATTACACCGTTTACTCTCTGTATAGTCGGAACCAAATTTCTTAGAGTGTATCGAGCTTGAGTCCATTCATTGTGAATAAGTAATCATTCCTTTTTATGTATTTCAGCACATTATTAGTTGTGCAATATTTAATTATTGTATAAATTGTTTCAGGAAATTGGCACAGTTGCAGAGTGGGAGGAGAAGGCAGCAGCCATCAGGACGGGCCTGAAGACAACCGTGATGAGGAGGACGACGGACTGGGCGCCGACCAAGAAGAAGCCTCGTAAAAAGCTGACGAAATTCCAAAGTCGTCTCAAGGCCTGGGAGGAGAATGGATCGAAATTACGTAGGCATTTATTCGAATCATTTAATACATGCGAATGTAAATGCACTTTCTATATATTAATATTATTAGGTCCGAATCACTTATTAGTCGCTGTCACCGGCCTCAACAGAGCAGAGCGACTCAAAACTTATGCTACACCCCTATACGTAGGACGGAGGGAATACAACAAGAGGCAGGCGAGACGCTGCAAAAACTTTACAGGGATCAAGAAGGAGCGAATTATGGCCAATTACCCAGTCGCAAAAAAGGTAATATTCACATGCACATCATTTATAAAATTATTCACCATCAGGCGCATAACTAATTGCTTGCACATTGTAGGACTTGGTTGAGCAGGGGTGCAAGGATGCCTTGGAGAAGACTCTGAGGAGAAGATTATCCCTCATGAAGCAGAAGATTGCTAAACCAACCTTGGTCATGATCACTCCACACCAAGAACTTATGTTACAGGCCGCCGGTAACATGATCCCGGAAACAAGTGAGTCATTTGTATAAAGTATGCACAGTAAAATATGCTCCCCCTATGAAACTAAGTGTGATTATTTGATTTTCAGAGCCATCAATCTACCACTACTACAGTGAATAATATTTTCTAGAATAGTTATGAAATAATAAAAATATTTTGCACGTTTATAACATTGATTAAAAAGTTCTGTATTAATAAATCAGTGACATTTGTATATTGTGCGGTTACATGATATCTTCCTCCTCTCCATCATTCAATTCCAACAACTCCATAGTTGCATAATTAGTTTGTGGCTCGAGTCGGCTTCTCGTCTTCCTCTCCATCGTCTTCTGTAAACATAGCCAGCAGCTGCAGCAGCAGCTCCAGCCAAGATGAGGATGACGATCGCGACAGCTGCAGACAGAGTAAACATATGAGTCATATAAAGCATGTGTCTATGTATTTATTTTAGGTAGATTCTCACCGAATTTCCAATATCCTCCCTCACCGGATATTGCTGGCGTGGGACACTCTTCAACAAAGGCAATAACTCTCCGAAAGTAAATACCTGGAGGGGGATCGAATTCAGGAAAGCACACTGTGCTTTCATTCACCATGATTCCAAATGAATTTAATGGGATCGAAAGGCAGTCAAAGCAGTCCATAGCAGCGAATAAATAATGTCTCCGTCTTCTCTCTGTCTCTATCTCTTTCTCTCTCTCTCTCTTTTCTCACTGAGCTGGGTGGTCAAAAATGATAAACAAGAGAGGTGACACTTGACACTTCTAAATATTTTTCTCTTTCCTCTCTGTATTCAAACCATGTTCATGATTCGCCTTTCAATTTTAATACAGGTTTCGAAGAGGACACACTGGGTATTTCGGCATGTATTTAATTATATTTGCAGTTGTGGGCGTGACGCTGGGTGCCCCCGTGCCTTGTGAGCTGGTCGAAAACTGCCCTGCATGCACCAAAATAAAGGGATGCCACCCAGGACTTAATTTTGATGGAGAGTTTCAGTGTTACGCGCTGGGGATGGAGTACAAACTGGAAATAATGAGAAGAGTGACAACATGCAGTGGTGAGTGCTGCGTTATTTAATTAATAAACTCATTCATCAATTAAACGAGTTAAATTCCAGACAATTTACCAACAAAGCGTGCCATCATCACTCCAGCCACGACCAGCTACGACGATCACCGCCACCGCTACCACCACAACGACGACAGCCAGCTCGCCAAAGAGGAATGTAAAAGGTAATTGCCGCTACCTGAATGTCGCCAACTGAATGCAAATATAGATTAGTATAATTTCTGCAGAAATCAACCGATCCGCCGCCACCACCACGACCACGACGACCACCACTACCACAAGAAAAATTCCCCCAATCTCGTGGAAAAAAATAGCGTCTTTCATCCCCCACCGCCATCGTCCACTTCAGTTCCTCTGTCCTCCCAAGTCCCCAAACCACCACCATCAGCATCACCAGCAGCGGCTGCACCACCCCGACCCTCGCCCACACCGTCGTCCCCTGCAATAGTCCCAATTCCCGTTTTGGACGTCCCACAGCCATCCGTGCCCCCATCACCAATTGTGCTACTCCCATCCCCAGCAACGCCACGACCACAGGCATCTCCTCCTGAGCCACCACGACAAGCACCCGAATGCAAAGAGTCAAAGCGGGATAGAGTGGTGAGGAGTATTTGTAGGTTTAATTATTTGCAAGGAGGTGACGGCATTCGCATGACAATCGGTAAAATTGAGGAGATGAAATGCGAGGAGAGGATGCTTGTGTATAAGAGATGCAACCCAGTTCGCACTGGGTGAGATTGAGTTATGCATAAGAAATGCAAGTTTTTTTTAAACTAAAAAAAATTATAGGTTTAATCAAAACACACTTTGCTTTAAATATTTACAGTTGTAATTAATAAATATTCTAAAATGATTCAAATTCACTAATGTAAAAATTCACAGACTGCATACAATTATTTATGACAATACGACAGATGAATACATTCACTTCTTACAAATACGAACACGCTTCATTGACACGCTAGAATTTACTACTCGGTTTGCTAAGTAAGCTGGACTACACTTCAGACGTGAGATGGGTAGACAGACATCCTCGCCACCTGCAACATAAGATTAATATTAATTTCATATGCACAATTTTTTACTACATTACTTACTATTCATCTGGGGTAGATGACAAGTCTGGATATAAAATATCCATAAGTCGCTCCATGATTGCTGTATTCTTCTCCTGGACGCGAAGTTGCGTTGCTAAGTTGGAATTGCTCGCAGTTAGATTCTTTGATAAAATGTCCATGGTTGTGGCAATTAGAATTCGCGATTTCTGTAACTCGAGCACTTTGACGTGCTCTTCGCGTGCAGTAAAATAAGCCAGGATGTGCTTTTTTTATAGACTCGAGTTCCTTCCTGCATTGCTGAAGGGTCCGATGGTAACCGGCTTGAGTTATCCGGGAGCAACGCAAAATTTGGCCGAGTGCAGCAACTTTACTTTCTGTTGATTCTTCGTGTTCCTCATGTGGTGTATGCTCACCAAAATCTGGGTTGTGGTCCTCGATGAACTGGAAGGACGGGGGGATGGATAAATTATACGCGAACTGTGGGTCCGGTGATGGTGGAGGAGCTGATGGGATTCCTCCTTCAGGGGTAGGGGAAGTTGATACACTCGCTTGATCCATTATGCCTAGCTATATTATATTATATCCGGAGCTAATTATTTTTATATATTACGGTGAGAAGCAGCACATAAACAAGAAGACGGTGCAAGTTACTACTGCTTCGAAAACTCGAGTCTTCAGTGTCCTTAGACGCTCTAAAAAACGACTACGAGATGTAGGTATGGGTTCGGTCTCTATCTGAAAACTAGAAGCTGGATGTTCTGGTGACGATGGCATGTCGCTTACTGGGTACCTATCAAAATTTTACAAGAGTTTTCTTATGCGCCAAGGGAGAGCAGCCGACTTTTCTCTGCGTGTTCGACATCTCTATCAAATTCTCTCAGTTGCGTAATAATGTGCTGGAACGGTCCTACGGGGACTGTGATTACCACGCCTTGCCAGTGGTGAAATGCACTAGTGCGAGGGCTGAGAAACTTGATAAGGAGTAAACCATTCATTCTAATAGGTCTGAATTTAAGACCCCCTTCACATGTTTTTGTTAAGCTAGAATGCCAAAAGTTTTCGTCTGCGAGGTCATCAATTGCTGCAAAAGGGTTGTCCTTGAGACTTGGAATCTCATCTCGCACATTTGTGGTGTCTATTTCCTTGAACAATTCGTCCATTCTTGATGTAACGTCAGCAATGTCCTTGATGGGAATCCTAATAATTGAGTCCTTAATTGGACCAACCTTGTCTACCTTGTTGATTTTACGCAGAACCGCGTAATAAGCAAAGTCGACAGGGTCCCAGTATTGCTTCAGCTGAATTCGTCCAATGAATGGTACATCGTGCCAAAATAGATATTGTTTGTAAATGGCGTCGTCGTTGCTTTGCGGCTGTTGCTGAGGCTGGGAATTATGGAGCGTTGATGACAGGAATCGGAGAAAGTCTGCCTGTGATGATGCTACATTTGTAGACTGGGTTGAGGGCACGCATACTTTCGTAGCAGCTCCCTCATCATCACTTTCTCCCGTAAGGTCTATGCATTGTTGAGACTCTTGGTTGTTGATGGGCTCCATTCTGGCTTTCGATTGTTTCATGGTGCAGACTCTGAGTTCCTTTATATACAAGCATTTAAGGGCGAAAACGTTTCTTGCAAAAAGGGACGACAATAAAATGAACGGTGAAGTTCAATGCGAAGTCCAAGTGATTTAATAAAATGTGCGTCATCTTGAATGCGTTGTTTGAACAATTGTTCAAACAGGTAGATTTTCATTATTATTTTCTCATTTTGAAGGGGAGAACGTTTCTGAAGAAAGTGAAAATATTATTGTGCCAACTTCCGTAATTTAGGGTTATGAGAAGTTCAAAATGTGATTGAACTGTCATCAGAATGTGCGTGATTGCGATGATTGTGCATAGCCTCCAGTTGTTTTACTTCCGTCCCACTTTCTCATTTTGGAGGAGAGAAAGTTTCATTAAAAAAGTGGTCGAGAAAGATAATAAAAAATGTTATCTTTCCAGCTTCATTGATTTAGAATTATTGGAGTTGCAGATGCAGACATTCCATACATTTTCCGCATATTTGAAGGGGAGAAAGTTTAATCAAAATATGGCCGACGGCGATACACGTGAATGAAAGCTTTATGGAGCTTTATTGAGGTCAAGTCAGCGATTACCATTTGACATATCTTGATTCGTGATACATATGCTTATTTTTGGGCAACTGAACTGAAGTTGTTTTCATTCTCGGAATTATATGTATCCTCTCCTTCTCTTGCGGACTTGACCTACTTTGTACTTAATTTTAAATATAGGGTATTTTCACCACTTTCTCCTCAGTGCGTTTTGGTGAGCCGTCGCCAAAGTTAAATTAAATTGTGAATCGTTTTGTGAAAATTTGTGACCTAAATAGAAAGTATAAAAAGCTGTATGTGCTGCATAATACCAACACACATGGGCAAGCATATCGACAATGTCATCGTCGCTGGAGGAACTTGAGAAACAATACAATAAAAGTGAACATTTAGTTGAGTTTAAGCTTCCATTGTCATACTACTCATCATTCATTGAGAACAAGGTAAGACCAAGTCCTTTAAGCAGTCCATTCTTTTCGACAAGTCCATATTGTGACAATAATTTTAAGCTAACCCCTTCTCAGAAATCTGCATTTAATATTTTTAAACGCAGTTTAGAACCTGGCGAACGGTTGAGACTCGCAATAATCTCAGGTGCAGGAGTTGGGAAATCAGAGTTTCTCAAATATTGTAGGGATTACACAAGTCAGTCACTGAATATACGATCCATCAACCAAGCATTTGTAATTTTAAGTTTCACTGGGGCCGCTTCATTTATCATTCATGGCCAAACTGTGTACTCATTTTTCCAACTTAAAAAATATGATGGAAATGATTGGCCTAATTTAGTCCATCGGCGTGCTAGTCACGAATTAAAAGAGAGGGCGAAGGCAGTGCAGGTTCTAGTCATTGATGAGATTAGCATGATCTCATTGGAATTATTTGGATTCATTGACAAAAGATTACAAGTATTGAGAAAGAACAAGAAATCATTCGGAGGCATCCCTTGCGTCCTGGTGGCGGGAGATTTTTTACAGTTACTTTGTGTGGCAAGCAAACCACTATATACGAATCCTAATGACCTTGATGATGACTTTCAGATCGACGCATCTCTTGTATTTAGGTCATTTAAATTTGTACAGCTTTTAGAAAATTGTCGGCATGTTTACGATCCTTTATTTAACGAGGTGCTAGGAGCATTGCGAAACCGAACAGTAAATGCGACGCACGTCGCATTTTTAAAAACAAGATTAGAACAAAACGTCTCTCAATCAGAGAGAAATAGGTTTATTGATGTCCCTCGCATTTATGCAACTAGGTGTCTCGTCAAAGCATACAATTTATACCATCTCATTGAACAACAGAAACCAGTTTTGAAAATTGTCCCCATCGTTACACCACGGCATCAACAAGTGTCTGAAGAATATACAATTTATTTGGCACGTGGTGAGAAGGTTGTGTTAACTCAGAACCTATCGACGAAGCATAGACTTTTTAATAATTCCGAGGGGACTTTCTATGGAGCATTATTTCGCACAAATAGGAAAGATAATTCAATGCCTGTTGCACTGTTAATTAATTTTGATTCATTTCTGCGCCCGTGTGTGTACAGCAAATCAGGGTTACGATTAGTGCCGATTCCATCATTGCAAAATATAGAATTTGTAAAGTGTGCAAATGCCAAATTTAGCATAAGACAATTCCCCATTGCATTACGGGCTTCTATGACTAGTCACAAATCCCAAGGACGGACACTTGACCTTGGCGTAATTTGCCCAGGGAATCATGATCTATTCTTTAATCAGTTTTATGTCATGATTTCCAGGTTCCGAAAATCTGAGGATTTTCTGATCGGAGACGATATTAATCTGGAGAGATTGACTACTCATTTACGCTTCAAAGAACAACACCTCAAACTGGTACGTGAAATGGACATTATACAATGCCTCTAATTGTAGATTCGAACCCTGCACCAAAGTGTGCATTATGTTTGACTCCATGTGTTACTCGTAAGGACAAATTAAGTTACACGATGCAAAGTGCGTTCCCTCTTGTGTGTGAGTATTTACTTCCTACATACTGTCCACGGTGCATATTTAATATTTACGCAATTGGCAGACTAGAATGTATGATTACGGAGAATGAATTTGAATTTACGAGAATGTGCTCCAAGATAATGGAGATTGTTATACATAGTGAGAAAACTTATCATGGACAGACTAGCCACATGTGTCAAGAATGGAAATCTTTATATTCTGTAGTAAGAATGCGAGATTTAAGCATTAGTTCTTTCATGCAGTTGGTAAAAGATTGCAATTTAACAAGGAAATATATATTTCCTGAAAAGTTGGCAGACGTACTCGAGAGGGGAGGATTTTCATTTGGACCAGGTTCGGCATTTATTAAGAAATACACTTACGGCATTTGGAGAAGAATTAAGCGGTATGAACAGGAAATTGTTCTACACGGCGGCGACCGTGATAATGAAGAGGATACGTATTACTCTAGTGAGAATTCCGACACTGATTTTGAATATGACACTGATATTGACTATGAAAGTGATAACAGTGATAGTGAAAGTTACACAAGTGAAAGTGATTAATCTTAAACAGTTACACAAGTGAAAGTGGTGACATTGGTGTTGACTATTAAAATGGTGAATCTTAATCATGCTTGTACGACTTGTAGGTTATGTCCCCGCGTGGTTTGTGTGCGATTCATATTGCAACCATCGGTTCTAAGCGTCGCATTTGATCCAAGCCTATTTTATTTAATGGGCACGTTGTGTTGTGGGTGCATAATAGGACTCGACAAAATGAACAATATTAATAGACGAAAAACGCGTTATAATCTCGGTTTAATTGGACAAGTTATGAACGTTGTGTCCTGGTGTGAAAGACGATTTAAATTTCCACAAGGTAAAAATATGACAATTTTAAACGTTTTGCGACAAGCGCCTATCTCGTATGAACTATTTAAGTCTATTGTCAATGAAGAAGTGTTACAAAATACTTAAAGGCGCCCCCTGGCTCTGTGTAAGTTTTCGAAAATTTGGAGCTAAATTTCCTTCGAAATTATTTTGACAAGTTTACAAAACTTACGCATTTTACTTTGTACAGTGTTAATAAGGACTGCGTACCGTACATAAATCGTCTTATCGATTACCAAGCTCATTACAAAGACAATTTATGTACATAAGCTGTAAATCTTCTCCTTTTCATGAAATTTGTACAAATTAACAGGACAGAAAACCATTTATTATCCAACCCGTCGAAAAGTACAATCCATCCACCAACCTGTCTGAAGTTTGGTATCTCGACTTCCCCCAAGTTGAGAGACTCGTTTCCCTCACCTCGGACGGATTAAGTTGTTATCTTATCGGGGGATATGCACAGGCCGAGAATGCAACAAGTTCATTGACTGTTTCACAGATTTAGCGTGCTAAAGCTTTTATATCACCCATTTATAATGTCAAAATGTTGGAAATGCAATTTGAGCTACTTATAACCAGTTAGACATTGAGCACAGGATGTTTTGCGTATTTTCCACCACTTTGCTACAATCTGACGTACTTCTTGTACATATATATTGTGTAATTAATGTAATTAGTCAGCATCCGTTGACAACCTGGCTAAATAAATTAAGCATGTCGCAGAAAAACAGTATCAATTTCACAATACGTACCTGACACAACTAATGAGTCATTAGGAATGACACACGTTAAGATAACCGTGCTCATCATTGCCCATTCAACATGCATGTTGAACGGGTAAAGATAATAATAATAATTATAAATAAATAATAAGAATTTGTATACCTGGGTAAGATATAAAAAACAAATTGACATTTCCTGACCGCTTTACGCAAATGGACTCGGTCAGTATTACGCTATGAATGTACCTAACAAATTAATTAATTTTTAACCTCATGCCCAGACAAGGCCAAGGGCTGTCATCCTGGACAAAATCTATAAATTATCCTGCTCTCACAACTTAAGCATCATTTAACCCTATCCCCTCGACTAATTCAAATATTCGACAAAAATTCCCTTGACTGCAATGGCATCATTTTACCCCATGCTCCTTATCACCCTCCTTCTCTTAAATTATTCCGCGGGTCAAACCCTCACCGTTGAAAAGTCTCTGGTTACCCTGCCCTACCCAGCCGCCGGCACCGCCTCCGTGTACGATGGGGACGACACGATCTTTATTTTTGGGGGGTATGAAAGAAGTTCGTATTCCAATAAAATTTTAAAGTACTCAATTTCCACGGACAACGTTACACTCGTGTCCCAATTTCCATGGGGGGTCCTTAGTTTCGTAAAATAGAATCCTAGTTCAGCAAGAACCAGGGGTCAATCTTTGCATGAATTGTAACTTTACTAACGTTATTTTTTTTCAATACGCGTGCAAGATTTCGTACCCATAAGAGTTAAGAGTAGAAATATAGATTCATGGTTGCAACGTATTTTACCATATGAACTACGAAGATCTTAAATAAGCCGTGGATCGTTGATACGAAGAATAAATATTAACGATCAACGATGCGAAGTAAAATTATTTAATTCCCTTAATGTGCGTGTTTACAAATGTTTTCTTAAATTAAACCAGTTATGAATTGGATAAATAAGCACATTTTTTGGGCTAAAGGTTAAATAAGTTAGTTAATTTTTGGTCATTAAGAACTGTATTTAAAAGAGGAATATTCGGATTTCTTTGATTAAGATTATGTGCATACGCACACTTAGAAATCTTGGATTAAACTTATTCATTTAGATATATGGGACTTTACCAAAGTATTGATATCTCCGTAATATGGTACATACATACATTTGGTTACAAATTGTTACGAACCGGTATAATTTTAACGCAAAGCGGTAGCAACTTTACCACCTATGTAGAAATCAATTATGTCAGATTTCTAAAAGTGTATCTAAGCATTACATTTTCTCTGCGTATCTATGTATATTCAGGACAGAAAACCGTCTATGATCCAACCCGTAGAAAAGTACAATCCGTCCACCAACCGGTCTGAAGTTTTGTATCTCAACTTACCCCAAATTGAGAGATTAGTCTCCCTCACCTCGGACGGATTGAGTTGTTATCTTATCGGGAGATTTAAAAATACCGAGAATCAAACAATTTACCAACTTAACACACTCACTCATTCCTTGACTTCGATTTCGGTCGTAGGATCCCCAGGAGATGCGAGTAACATATTTTCCACCAGCTCCGTTTACGTGAGGATGAGGAAGCTGAACCGAATTTATACCTTTGGAGGCGAACTTCTTGGTTCAATTGATTCCCTTCTAAGAGATGAGATCTTCTGGATTGATTTATCTCCTTTGAATGTGCAGAAATAATGCATAATTCCAAATATTCAATTTATGTATGAGAAAATAAAATCAGCAATTTGATAAAACTAAATGAAAAGATCGGAATTATCAGTATCAATTTTAATTTAATGAGCCAAATTATTATTTCATAGTTGTTAAGAAAGCGAAAACTCCCCAAAAATCAATGATGGAATAAGAATAAATTGGCAAATTACTTTTGTAATTCTAAAAAGTTCTTACCAATTATTTATTCATATTTCAAAACATGTCACAAGCCTCCTAAAATGAAATAAAGTTCGAAATTTTCTCATAGAATTAGTACATATTTCCATACTTTTTATTCATATTTATTTCTTTGTTTCGCACTGTATGCATACATAGCAAAATCGAACACATTTCCCCCCAAAACGTATAAAATCCCCTTATTTTCCACTTATAGATTTCTCTTTCCTTTCATTTTTACCCTATCCAAATGCCTCTTTGTTAAACAATGCTCCCTCACCTGACGAAAACTAGCTAATTTAACGTTACACTGGTCACACCTGAATAGCTTCTTCACCTCTCGGGGATGCCTTTCCACCGCGTGACTCTCATATTTCCACCTAAAATTGAAAACCACCTGACAAAATGGACACGGAAAACGGTTCCCCTCTTCTTCAACGCCATGCACATTTTTCAAATGTCTCTTGAGGTGATCTCGCCTTTTAAACGTTTCCTTACATCCTGCCACCCCACACTTAATTGGAGCCTTGTCATCTGTATGAAACACTCTGACATGTCGTCTCAATCCTCGTTCATACTTGAATTTCTTGTCGCAATGGGGACACGGTAATTCGGCGAGGGTCGAATGCGTCTTCAAATGACCGAGAAGGGTTGATTTCTTGCGAAACGAGCTTTTGCACAGTTTGCAACCAAATCGGCGGGGCGCGTCGATGTCGCCGTGCACCTTTTTGTGGGCGTCGAGCGCCTCAGGGCTCGCCATGCTGCGACCACATGTCCCACAGCGGTACGGAACTTCAAGGATGTGCTTGTTCATGTGGACGTAGAAGCGGTCGAGCTGGCCGGAATAGGGGACGTAGCCGCAGAAGTAGCAGGTGACACGGCCCTCTGGATAGAGAGGGTTGTACGAGGGGAGATGGGGGGAATTTACGGCGCGGTAGTAGGATCGTGGTTTGGATGGTCGTTTTCGGGGCGGCTTCCGTTTTTTGGAGCGTTTTGTGGTCGTCATGGCGACGGAATTTGATGGGGGTGGTTTCTTCCGTTTTCTTGGGACGTAGTTTGAACCATAGCTGTAATTTGGGTCGTCGCTTGAATCATGTCGAGATGTCGTGGCGACGGAATTTGACCACTCGGAATTGTCGCTGTCGCCTCTTGAAGAATCGGAATCGTGTTCTGTCTTTACGATTGGAGAGACATCTTTGGCATTTTCTTGGTCGGGGGGAAGGTGTGAGGTCAAATGGGTGAGGACAAGGTCCTGAGTTGGGTAAGTTTGGGCGCAAATGTGACAAGTAAATCCGTCAAGATTATTATCGGGTGGAGGAGGAGGGGTTTTGATGCGAGGGACTGGTTCGGGTTTTGTGAGAGCAGGGTCGTCATACTCTGTAATTAATTATCTAATTATTAATTAGTAACTAATAGCTATTGCTTAGAATAATTTTTAACATTAGATTGTCACCTTTATGGAATAAAGAGTCGTGTAATTTGACTTGTTCCAGGGAGGAGAAGCGTTTATTGTGAATTTCGCAGGTAAAAAACATTTCCGAAATTGCTGGCCTATTTATTACTTTTGGATGTCCTCAGGGTTTCCTAGTAAAAGTTATCAAAATCTTTAACCTTATAAGTATTTTGAAATTATAGCACATGCTGTAAATTTACGATGCAATACTATATGTAAAAATGAGATTATTTTCAAAAATACATATGTGCATATGCACATATGCATGTATGTACATATATATGACCTTTGAAAATTTATTAAATGACACAAAATATATGTACATTGTACAAGTCATTTAAAAAATTGATTTATCGAATGTTGTTAACGGTAGATTGTTTCTGGAATGAAATCAGGTAAAGAAATTGTCACCATTTTGATATGTATGTATGTACATACAAATGCATTACTTTTGCTTAACAATAAATACATGAAGATGCTTACGCAAAGAACCCAGCTTGTTGCAAAATAATCGTTTTCTTATTTATTAGATAGTATAAAAAATACTTACGATTATCAACGAAACATAGCCAACTATTTTAAAAGAATATTTGTCCGGATGGAAGTTCAGGGACTGATTTGTGATGTGATGTATAAAGTCAGCTGTGTGGAGAATGAAAAGATGAATGGAAAATGAATGGCTCACTCTTCACATTCATGCAATGTGCTGTACATACTATGTATGAGTTCAGAAATTTGTTGCATGCACCCTTGGAAATGATAAAAATCGTCACTATCGTATCCATTATTGTGTATTGCGTACCATGATCAAAATGTCGAATTATGCTTTCACAAAAATTCATCTAACTTTCTAGCATGTAGGTTAAGTTCATAAATGAGGTCAAAACACCCACTACTACCGCTACCAGTGGGTATGGTCAATCCTATTTTTGGGAATTGACACTTAATTTGGACATGCTTTTGTATGTATGTAGGAAGCGTAGAAAAATTTCTCGAACCTTATGCCACGTCAATTTACAGGGATATGGTTGATGAGCAATTAAAGAAGAACATAGAGGTTACTTGGGTACCTATTTGTTAGGAAATTATGTATGCACTTATACCTAATGACGCAAAACATTGTTAATAACAAGTGCACCACACCACATACTACTTTATTAGCAAGTTATAAAATCTCACAATTTTTGATTACCTGCGTACTTAAGTTTGTGTACAAAGGTTTCGATTAAATTGTCAAACTAAAAAATAAAGGTTTCCACGTGGTAAAATTTGCCAAAAGTGGGCTTATCTACAGATGCATGTCTTTATACATACGAGCACTATGTATTTATGTATGTAAGTTTGTGTATACATAAGAATATACAAATGTAAGTATGTACATAGTTACGAGTAAGAATTAAATGATTCGACAAGCAGATCCGCCGACTATTTCAAAAGTACAAATACTCTATTGGATTATGTTCCCCACATGAAACGAATTAAAATTTAGCAATTTTTTCGGGCGCCAAAATTTCCTTTGGGGGGTTATGAGAATAATGGGAGATAAATGTGGTGCACATAGGGCACAGCATATCTATGAAATGGGTTGATGAAATTTCAAAAACAAAATTTTTTTACACTCTATGGATCATTACCCCCATAGGTTTTTCGAACTGAGGTGGAATTCCGACTTTGAGGGGCTTTTCACAGCGACGCAAAATTGACTCAGAAATTAATTTTTCGCTATAACGAAAAAGTATGACGAAATGTTCATACATTAGCTTTTCACCAATTTTTACTACATTGCAAGTTATTAGTAGTAGAATAAAGGTTAAATTACAAAGAAAGTCGAAATCGACATGCGTGACCTTTTTCGGGGATCGAAAGGTCACAATGTCAAAGGTCACATTACCCCATAAATGGGGTATCGTTGGAAAGGTATTGGCGAGGGGATTCAGAATATGTATACTTTGTGGGGTCTGAAACCACTCCCTGCAAGTCTAGAGGCCAAAGAACGAAAATCGGCAGTTGTCCAGAATTTAACACAGCAGTGGATTGGGAGCTAACACGGAAGCATGCATGGGAAAAACTCAAAAATATTCTTTTGGCTCTATGTTTGCAGGGAGTGGTTTCAGACCCCACAAAGTATACATATTCTGAATCCTCTCGCCAATACCTTTCCAACGGTACCCCATTTAAGTGGCTATGTGACCTTTGACATTGTGACCTTTCGATCCCCGAAAAAGGTCATGCAGGTCGATTTCGACTTTCTGGGTAATTTAACCTTTATTCTACTACTAATAATTTGCAATGTAGTAAAAATTGGTGAAAAGCTAATGTATGAACATTTCGTCATACTTTTTCGTTATAGCGAAAAATTAATTTCTGAGTCAATTTTGCGTCGCTGTGAAAAACCCCTCAAAGTCGGAATTCCACCTCAGTTCGAAAAACCTATCGGGGTACTGATCCAGAGAGTGTAACAAAATTTTGTTTTTGAAATTTCATCAACCCATTTCATAGATATGCTGTGCCTTATGTGCACCACATTTATCTCCCATTATTCTCATAACCCCCCCCCAAAGGAAATTTTGGCGCCCGAAAAAATGCTAAGTTTTAATTCGTTTCATGTGGGGAACATAATCCAATTAAGTATTTGTACTTTTGAAATAGTCGGCGGATCTGCTTGTCGAATCATTTAATTCTTACTCTTACATAATGTGACGCCAAGAACGTAACGTGAGGTACCTGCATATTTATGTACTTATCTGCACGAGTATTTAATACCTACATACATACACAAGTAAACAAACCTATTGTAACATAATCTCAGGGATAAAGAGGTAAACCGAAACCATTTGCTTTAAGTATATTTATCATATGTATGGATGAATGTGAATGTTATCCATTTCACTTTCTGCCTACGTGAAACATCAACAAAGTTACAAAGTAACATGTATTTGCACAATTACCTTGAATCAAATGAACTTATGACGTTATCACAATTTTTATTGAAAAACCTGAAGTGTAACCTGTAATTTCCCGAGACAGGCATTTTGTCTTTTTAATTTAAACAAACCACAATAATAAATTGAAATTGCGAAAAGTTAAAAAATAATGGATGGCCTTATCGCAAAAACGGCTTGAATTTTTCTTCAAACTATTACATATATCTACCAACTCTGGCACCATACCAATTTTGTGCCTTCCATACATACATAAATACGTTTATGCATAACTACACTCTTAGAAATCCAGTATTAAAATAATACCAAGCGGTATTAATATATGACTACCAAATTAGTACCGTGTAGCAAGAGCTCGGTATTACAGTTTTACCCTGTCGCTAGCAAATTTTTGCGGTCTGGTATAATTTTAATACCAATCTTAATACCGATAAATTATTACCTGCCTGACTATACAAGTTTTTTACTCGTGTATCATAGTATAAATAGGTATGTAGATAGACCTACTCGACCGTTACATAAGCCCGAATTCTTTCCGAAAACACGCCACGCTATAATAAATATCCATGCAAAAAATTACTCATACCTTGTATGAATTACCCTAATAAAATAACCCTTTGAAATCATTGTTCTAATAAAACTTTGCTGCTTTGCAATAAATCTACAAGCAAGCAACATTGTATAACTTTGTAGCAACGTGACGGATATGAGTAATATTCGCTAATCTTTCCTGCTTTTCAGCACCAAATTGTACCTTGCGATCGAAATTAATCCCCGCAACGTCAGCAAGCTTAGTTAATTTTCCTTAATTTAATTGTACAACTGAATTAGTAGAAATGTTATATAAAGCGGAATAAGAATTCTTGGAGTGGTCCCAACTCGCATATTAGCTTAGTTTCCAACAATTTCACGGTTTTGGAAAATTTTCGCCGTTTCGCTATTTTCGCAATTTTCTTTATAAACATGAGTCTGACTAAATTAGCAAATCTAACTTTACAATTTGTTAGAATGGAGGAAGGTTTGTGTTTTCCGGATTTGCAAAATCCGGCAGATCAACTTCAAACCTCGTTACGACTTGGATACGATTTATTCTTAGTTTTTTATGAGATTGTGACTTTTCTCATTTACTGGAAAAGTTTTATATTTCTTGGAATTGTGGGATATTTGTGGTACTACTTTTTTTGCCGGCCGTTCGACAGATATCGGGTAAATGCAAATTTAAAAAATCCGAATTTGTGTATTTCTTATTAAGAATACAGAAGGATGTGGTTAGAAATTTCCATCAAAATTCCTATTAAAACATTTAAATCAAATCTGCGTTTTACGATATGTCTAAGATCACAATTCCGAAATTTCTCAAATTTTGTGCAACATTTCTATTCATAAATCTATATTGGGGGTATTAACTACTAAATAGTTCGCATGTCCCTAGCTCAAAATAATTACATAAAAAATATGGGAACTAAATAGTAGCCTTGGAGGTACGCAAGTTTGCAAATATATTGTCATGCCATTTTTTTGCGAACTTGCAAACCTTGTCTTTTTGGTATCGTCTGTCACTTTATGAAGTCGTAATGCATACCCCCATTATTCCACAATGCACCTTCACTGTTACAAATTTTTGCTAGGACATGACCGAGCTGGGGTATGACGAAGCAAACACTCGCCAAGATGGGAATAACCTGGCCCGAATGAATTTCATAAATGATATGAAGAAAGCCCGAAAAGTCGGGGTTGCCACGGCCCTCTACCCGAATGGATGGTTTGTCATCATGGAGAGCAGATTTCTTAAGAAAAACGAGGCCAAGGAAGCAAATTATTTCGGCATGGACTAAAATTTCTTCTAAAAATTAACCATATTTTAATAATGTTTCCAATAATTTCAGGCAAGACGTTCGTAGTTTGGCGGGGTGCTAGCGGACAGGCTTACATCGCGGATGGCTACTGTCCCCACATCGGTGCCCACTTGGGCGTCATGGGTCTCGTGAAGGACGAATGCATCGAGTGCCCATTTCATGGCTGGACATTTGAAGGCAAAGGGGGAAAATGTGTCAAAATCCCGTATGCGGATCCCAGCTCAAGTAATAATTTATTCTTAAGAATAAGACGTTTTTTTGAAAAACGTGTACGGATTTTCGAATTCGGGTTTATCAGAGAATCGCGAAACTCTAAAAATATGTAGATAATTCTACAAATTTCTAAAATTCTAAAAAATTATAACCTCCAAGTGATTGATAATAACCTTACCAAATTTAGTCCCGGACAATGCTAAACTGAAACTGCACAGGTCAATTGAAATGAATGGATTCATCTTTATCTGGCAACATGATCAAGGCCACGAGGTAATGAGTACACTCTAAATAAAAATGTGTAAGATTTACCACATTTTAAATTTATCCAAGGTTCTTTAAAATTTGATACAAAGTTGGATACATTTTATATAATCGTTGTGTCATCTTCTATTTGACGCAATCTTGATTAAATTTTACACGACTTCATTAATTACAAAAATTCAAAATTTGACAATCACATTCTTTAGCCGACTTGGACCCCACGAAGAATCAAGGAGATTGAAGATGGTGCTTGGACGTATAGGGGACGGTCAGAATTTCGAGTTTCTGTTCACGCTCAGGTTTGTCAACTTTGGATTAGAGTATCTTAATTTGCCCCGAAATGCCAATGCAAATATATCCCATATTTTGCAGGAAGTCGCAGAAAACATTGCAGACACCGGACATTTCGCAAAACTCCATGAAACCTCGTATTTCGCCAAACTGAACTTCAACAACCGAATGATGGACTTTATATTCGACCAAGAGTGGAAAACTGGGTGGTACGTGAGTAAAGAAGAAAATAAGGGGCACGAGTCTTTCATGGAGGCTTCAATCATTCATAAAATTTTTAAACAAACTGTCCTCGATACGTCGTTCCTGGGAAGATCGGTAAACACCTAACTTTTTTATATTTTCCTCTCAGGATTAGTAATAATTAGCAAAATAATTGCACAATACTAAATATCCGCATACTACTCAGATTAATTTCTTTGTGTAGGAGGGTCCCGGAATCACTGCCTTTTTGAGCGAGCTTTTTGGCCCGTCAGCCTTCTTTTTGATGGTCACCCCCATCGGCCCCTTCGAGACGCGGATGATCAAGCACATGTACAGTAAACCAACCCTTTTAGCACATCCCTTCGCCCTTGCGGTGCTATACGTGGAGTCCATGCAGGTATTTATGTTCACTATAAATAAATTGGCAAGAAAAAAGTTTTCACGATGTATGTATGTATGTAATAATTATATGCGTTGGTGACGATTCGCCACTAAATTATTTCCATGAAACTCAAATTTAATTAATCCAATTGGATTTTTTAGATTGATCGAGATTGTGAAATTTGGAATCGGAAGACTCGCTGGGGAAGTCCCATGTTAATCAAAGAAGACAAATTGGTTAGAATGCAACGCCGCTGGTATGCCCAATTCTACTCGAAACCATCCGAAATCACGTGGGATGTTGAAGAGGAAAAGAAAATTGATGACGAAATAATGTAGACAAAAATGATGACACTTATACGTAAACGCAAATCAGTGAAAATCAATAATTTCAAAATGATTAAATTATGTATTTCCAATTCTTAAAATTATTCACATTAAACAAACTCTAATTCAAAAACAATTACGTGGCCTGTCTTTTTCTGTGAAATTTGAACATTTTTCGCACAGAGTGTACGTAAATTCACTTTCAGAAATCTGGTTAAGTCAGACAGACATTAATTTCTCAGTATTAAAGTTGTTACCGGTTGGTATTAAGAAATACCGGTTCGTAAAAATTTGCTACCGATATGGTAAAGGGAAAACTCTAATACTGAGCTATTACTACACGATATTACATACTTATCAATACCACTTTGGTAGAGTTATACATAAATGCATACCGCTTGGTACTATTTTAATGCTAGATTTCTAAGAGTGCATATACATAATTTTAATCTTCCATTTTTTTCTTTACTTTTGCAATTTTTTTTTACTCTGGTCCCATTCTACCCCTTCATCAATATCAAACTTGTCGCTTGTTCCATCGTAATCTGCGTGATAATCAGGGGCGTCATCCTCTCCAAGTAATTCCCCGAACTCCCGATCTTCAACCGAATCACGTTCAACGACCTCATCATCCTGACCAACAGCTTGTCCCGCTGCACGACCGGGTTGCTCTGCCAGTTGGACGTGACCGCATGCGCGACATGGTTCACATCCCCGGCCGCCTGATACATGAAGATCTGCGCGAGGATCGCGCAGTCAAACGCGATCATGGCCGTCATCAGCAACACGGCGGTCGAAAGCACGCTGTGGAGCGCGACGCACACGAAGATGGACATCGTTCCGAGGAAAATCATGGTAAAAAAGATGATTGGAATGATCGCCGTGGCATTCGTGTTGTTGTACATCTGTGTGATCAGCTGTAGCTCGCGGTAGCGGCGCATGCTGGCGTGGATGGCGCTCTTTTGCGGTAAGATGGCGGCCGACGAGGAGATTTTTGATAGGGTGGGATCCGCAGGGATGATGATTCTGAAAAAGCACGGGGTAGGGTGAGATTAGATTAGGGGTGTGGGCAACAATTGATGTAAAGTGAGACTTCAAGGGGATTTCAAATAGATAGAGCTTAATTTTTAAACTTGGGATGATTAATATGCAAACAGGGTATAATGAGATAGAGTTCAAGGTATTGAAGATGATGTGCAACACGGGGGGTAAAGTGAGACTTCAACGAAAAAGTCTAGGTTGTGCCAATTTTCAAATTTTTCACCCACCTTTTCAAATGGTCTCGCAAACAGGCCGCTGCCGAGAAGAAGACCACCCCAATTACTGCAGGTCCTTGTCCGAAGGTAAACGCGTAGACGAACGTATCTCCCGCCACGGCGAGCATGCCCAGGTAGGCGCTCCCTTGCGGGAAAATTCCTTGTGGATTTTGCGGGCAATCTTGCAACGTTGATCGGACAAATAGTTCCAACACGCAGGGCGCCACGGTCAAGAGGAGACCGGTCAGAAGGGGAAGGCCGGTTTGAGCTTGGTTCGCTAAAATGAGGACAAGACGGGTCATGTCGCCTTGGCCGATGTCCTTCTTCATCTGACTCAGTTCGTAACGAGCACGTTTAATGAAGGAGAGCGGTTTTCCATTTGTTATGGCCTTGTTGCCGTTTTGTTTTCCTATTAAAAATTAGCGGGAAAATTAGTATCCGTGAACAAACGCCCAAAATGATCTGAATTGTTCGCAGTGTTTAGAATGAAAGCAAACAAATGCAAGAAATAACCGTGGGAAAGTGGTTTTTTGCAATAAATTTGACCTGCAAGAAATGCAAAGCGCAGAAAACTAGTTCCCGCCGCTAGTTTCGGCGCGTCGCTAGATGGCGCACATTTCTTGTACTTTCTTGCATTTCTTGCATTGCAGTTTAAAAAAATAGCAAACTCGCAAAAAACTAAACACCGCTTTTTACCCGCCAAATTTAAATTTATTACGTACCATTTCCCGCCAAATATTTCTTATCCTTCGCCACAACTTCCTCTCTCGCCGTTTCGCCCGCATCCAGATATTTCTGATACCGGATCAACGTATTTAACAAATTTGCAATATTTCTCGCGTGTCGATATCCCATCACTGCGAGGAAAAAGGATCCAATGAATCCCACCGACATTAAAATGGACGGAATACTGGATAAGAATCCCTTCGACCGCGTGACATCGAGGAGGCGGCAAGTTTGAAGGGTCAGCCAGAGTGTGACCATCCATAAAACGATCCTCCTCAGCCCGGTCACCCCTTTCCCTCGCTTCGTGGTGGGAACAAACTCATTTCGCCCCTTGTCAAAATAAATATGGTTTCCATGGGTGAGTGAAGCCGTTTTGTAGACAAGTTTAAAGAGGGGAAGGTAATCGAGAATGGTTTCAGACCGGATTTTTTTCATGGTTAAATTTTCGCGGGTTTTTATTACTTGGGGTGAATCGAGATTTTTTCTAGTTTGAAATGATTTAGTTTCTACGAGAGAAGTAAGGCTGAAATTTTTAAGGAATTTTATCTTTATGAAAGATAAAAGCATTTACGATTTTGAAATAAATTTGATTTTTGACAAGATTTTATTTCCAAGATTTAATTATGTTTTGAAAATTTGAATTTTATCCTTTCTTTTTTGGTGGTACTTTGACTTTTTACAAGGTTTTATTTTTAGGGACGCAGTGACGAAGGTTCCAGGCGTTTTATATCAAGTTGTAGCTACCATTTACATAATTAAGCACGTCAGCAGAATGCAATTAGTAGATATTATTAATTATAATAAGGAGGCAATTGCGACTTTCCAATTTAGTAATTTTAGCAATTGGTCCATTTTCATGACTTATTTGTCTTCGTATTTATTTATTTAATTCAATCCTTCTTACATATTCATTTATAAAGAGGAATTTACGTCTCGGACCCCTGCAAAAATTGGCATATGTAAGTTCATCATAATTAAAACATAAATACATATGTGGACGATATGCGTATGTAATTGTATTGTTATTCACATACGTGATAATTAAGAGTCATGAAATTGCACACAATTTTTCGTCATTTTATTAATTACAGTAGTCTTAAGAATCCAGGATGCATTAAAAGTTGTGCACTCAAGGTTAACATCCATTCTGTATTAGCCTAATTGTTCGAATACCTGAAATTCTTATCTGCTTTCCAGGAACAATTTACGAAAGGGAACGTACACACAGAAAGTGATAAGTTTTTTAAGGAACATATATTTGCATATGTAAGCCGAGTGGGAGGCACTGGCAGGGTTCAAACTTCTATCAAACTCGATGACATCCTTCACGTCTGGTCCCTCATCAAGTAGGGGGGACACACTGTTTTCTTGAAACGTGTAATTAGCAAGAAACATTTATTATATGTATAATTATGTATGCATCTGATAAGAAATATTGAGGAATTTGCCAAAGTATGTAATAGTACATAATTTCGGTAAGAATTACGTGAATTTTGTATCCGACGGAGTCAGTATTAAATATGAATTGAATTTCTGGCAGCATTGCGAACATGTTACAACTATGCAGTTCCCTAAAATAAATTTTATGTAATGTATGGAGTAATTATTAAATCGCCTAAAAATGTAGGGAGATTTTCATTCAAAAGGTTTTCAATTCATACATATTTAGAAAGCGGTGATAGTTTTTGATTCCAAGCTTACCAACATATACGTATTTAAGTAAGTAACATAAATAAATAAAATACTTATTATAAAATTCAGTATATATATAAATTCTACCAGGGCAGGTATTTATATTTTTCATGTTGTTTGAAATCGATGTCTGCTCCAGGTCGTGGAATTTTTATGGAGCAACTAAATGCAAAATAAATTTTGCATTAAATATTTGCACTCTGAAAATGACAGAATTAAATATGTAATTACAGTTGTTATCGTATTTCCAAATAACATGTTATCCCAATTATGTTAAATGTAAACTTGCTTTATTGCAACTAAAAGTTGGATCCTTTCCAGGTTTCGATTGACTCTCGGCCTACACATTTATGGCATAACGGTCTCGATTAAGTATTTAAATAAATTCTCGAAATTTCAATTGTTTCTTTTGTGACTTTGGATAAAGTTTAACCGTTAGATTTACTTCTACACACTCAAACTAATTTTGCGAGGAGTTTGCGGCCTAGTTAAAATTTTACTGGCGGAAAGGTATGACACAAAAACAGAAATGTTTCTATGACAGAAATTAATTCGTTACCTTTATATATTTACATATTTTCATGAGGCCAACCATACTGTACACTAAATACATGTTAGACAAGTACATAATTATATACATGGTTTTTTTAGGAAAAGATTTCCCCCAATATTAGAAATAGGTTTTTTCTTTCTAGACAATTAAGTAAATCCTCTGTATAATATTTTTTTGCAGGGAAAAACAAGAGTTGATCTGAAAGTACATACATGGAAATCTATCAATAACTTATGCAGAATGACATCGGTATGGTAATTATGCGTTGTCATTCTGCCCTTGTGATTTTTTATGCGAATTTTTTGCCAACGAATTTTAGGGTCCATAATTACATACATACATTCATTTACATATTTGTTAAATAAATAATTTCAAGGGGAAAGGTAACTATACTTCAATTTGGTTATCAACTTGTACTGTCTTGGAGGCCTGGTTGACATGTCACTTTCCAGCTTGATGATATTTAATTTCGATGTTAATGAAATATGTATTAATGCTAACGACGTGCTTAATAAGCATGTTGGTAACAAAATTGTGGGATATATACAATTCCTTCTTACAATTGATAAATCGACATAGGCAGTTAATAACAACCTGGTAAAGTGTATATGTATGTACCGATGTGAATTAATTATTTCGTCGTTCATATGAAGTTGCCTAAGTGAAACATCCCACTTTAAGAAATTATGAAAATTGTGCAAAATTAGGTATAATGATTCCCACTTATGTAATAAATATGTGTTTTCCGAGTTGACATGTTAAATTAATTACGTGCAAGTTTTCTCTGTACGGCCTCATTATGTAAGTAGATATGTGCGTATATATGCAAATGAATATGAAAGGTGCTTAATTCCTTTAATATTTTCCGAGTGAAAAACCCGGCATGCTAATAAATACATACGTATGTATCTACTACTTATAAATATACCATTTGAAAATTTTAGGAAAATGAAGTAATAATGACCGGTTTGCAAATAATTGACAGTTTCCGTTTAATTTTTGACGGTAAAGCTATAACTGTAAAGCTGCAACTGTATGTATGTATAGAAAACAAAATTCTGCAAGTATAAAAGTTATGCACCATCCCCGAAGTAAAAGGGGTAAAGGAAGTTTACTATTTTTTGCCTAATTTAATTTCTGGATTTTTTTTCTTATGATAGATTTTATTGTTGAGGAGGTATGTAAGGGACTTGTTTTTGTAACTTTTAAATACATAAACTCTGCAATACAATATTTTAGGTTTTTGAATCGTTTATTTCCGTATAACGAAACATAAGTAATTCTGTCGAATGACAAACCCACTTCTAACGTTCTGATAATTTTGAGTAAAATGTATGTATTTATGTATATGTACATATAACAAGATTTTTTTTGCCTCTGCCGATTATATAGAAATACATAATTGTACGTATATAGGTAAGTATGTGTTTGTATATCGATAGGTGCACATACATATGTACATATGTAAGTATGTCGTTCAGCTTGTTTTAAATAATGCCATAAAATGATCGCACAAGTCACTTTGGGAATACATATGTATATACGTACTCGAATGAATACATACAATATGCACAACATTTATGTAGTCCCTTAAATAAACTTAATCCTCATACTTGTTTGTCTTGTTCCCAATTAACAAAGTTGATGTCGGAATTAAATAAATTGGTTGTTTGCCAAACCCGAAGAAAGCATTTTTATGTAATCAGACATCATTCCTGAAAGTTTACGCATATACCTATTTTATTTCTTATACATACATAAATGCATACTCAAGCAGCCAAAAATTAAGTAATCTTTCCAAATTTTTCTGTAACCTGTGGAAGATGAAAAACTAGATTTGCATATATTTGTCTAAGCTATGTAAATCTGGTATCAAAACCTCCCTGTAAAAATCAGATTTCTTAAAATACATCTCTTTCTTGTATATACATAAATATGTAAGAGCAATTGAAGTAAAATTTGCTCTCTTGCTCAGTCTTTTATATGTTTGTCGAAGGTAATTTATTTCTAACTCTAGGACCGAATAACTAATGACCCTAATCACAAGAATGAAGGGAAATTAGGCAAAAGTCAAACAAATCAAGTGGAAATAAAATGCAGCGATAAAAATGTCGTTAAACAAACATTCCTGTCACTAATAAATCACAGAGAATGTTAATCCCATGTGTATTTATGTAAACCTAAAAGTGAGATCAAAGCTTCATCTGACAGTAATTAGTCTCCATGTCTGTCTTAAAATTATGTAAGCCAAGTGATCCTCCTTTGTCTAGATTTCTTGGCATTTTCGCAACCTGACATTTGCATCCATTGAAGTTGCACCGCACTTGATCTTGGACCATCATCTATCAAAGAATACATTGAGGCAGTAGGTTTTGGTCACTTGTATAATCGGTAAGTTTTCTAAAATAATTTTACGAACTTTTGCCAAATACAAAAGACCGAGTAAGTTTAAAAAAATTTGTAAGTTATGCTGCTTTAAAATTTTGTAAAAATGTGTAAGTTTACAGAATTTACGGATTTTACTATGTTATCAAGGACTGGGTGAATTGCTTCATTGACTTGAACTGTGGGTACTTTTATCTGTAGGCTCCTGGGGATTTTACTTTTTTGACTGACCCCACAAACCAGCAGTGCAGCAGCCAAGTATTTAATATACAAATTAACAATTAAGAGGTAATTACACACATAAATCTCGTAATATATTTTTACTCTTGGTTTATAAATTACACATGGAAATACTTGCCTCCCGACAAAAATACCGAGCTTGGAAATAATGCAAAATGGAGCAACATTAACATTAGGCGTACTCACCACAAAGTATTATTTCACATCTGAATTATTCTGAATCGAAATGAATGTTAAATTAGTTGCGAAGTAATTATTAGAAATAAAAACATTTCCATGCATTGGGTAAATTTCCAAAACAAAATTCCATATTTTCCAGAAAATGTTGAGAAATTTTAGAAATTTCGACACAACAATTGGACAAAATCTATCCAAGCCTTTGTAAAATTTTGTACGATGTTGTACATATTTAGTTATAAATTTTACTAAATTATTCTGTCATCCATTATTTTATTCAACCCTTCGTAAATTCTACACAACCTTTTTACACTGCATCTTTCCCAACTTGAACCTGAAACTTACCATTTTTTCCAGATGTCTCACAACCGTCGTTACGAAAGGTCCGAGGTGGAAGCAGCTATGAAGAAAATGCCAACTTTTTCCCATGACCACATTGACCTCGTCGACATGGACGCCTTCGTCCAAGAAATCGGCTACAGCTACACGACCGAGCAGAGGGATGCCTACATAACATTTTTTCGCGATTCTCACGACAGCAAAATACTCGTGGAAGTTCTCGTCGCTGCCTTGGGTGCTATTGACGACTCAAAAGAACTCATGCGAATCCACGTGACAGCCCTGGACAAGGACAAGGACGGATTCATCGATGAATCCGAGTTCAAATCCATCATCCCATTTTTGCTCAGCCACGATCCATCCTTTCCAAAAGTAAAGTTTGACAAATTTGTGGAGGAAGCGGATACAAATAAGGATGGGAAAGTTAGCATTGGCGAGGCTGTCGAATGGTTTAGCAAAAATGCGAAAAAATGAATAAACATTAATTTATAAATGATACATACGAATTCGTTTATTCTAAACATTTTAGACAATTAAGAACTTCAAAATTTATTAGCAATTGACAGTTTTTAAATTCCAACCTGGATCATAACTAAATATGTAAATGTATTAAATGCGTAAAGTAAATACGAAAAGTGTATTAAAGATAATAAAAATGTCAACTACAATTCACTTTAAGTTATCTGATACAAATTTGTAAGTTGAAAAATGCATTTACAATGAGCATGCCAGAAGCACAAAAGCCGATAATAATGGTGGTCAATAATATTTAATGTACTAAAATTTAATATTATGTATTACCCGGACTGGGTTATAATTTTACATACATAGGCATATTGGAATATTAATAAATGAATAAATTAAAATACTGTACATACGTAAATAGAATTACCACTTCAAGATGTAATAATATCTAATGGTGGTAAAATGATAATAAATAAGTACGAATAAATCCGTCACAAATCATATTACATACCTTACTTAAGGACACTCCTATTTAAGCACAAAGTTGTAAATCGTAATTATTTCATTGGTATTGATAATAGTGGTCATTAATAGTATTGTCAAGCATTTATACATGTTTTTATGTGTCTGGAAACTTTTTCAGGAAATGCTGGATGCCCTGCACAAAGCCCTCAAACCTACAAGCATGACAGATACATAAGTCGATCATAATTTCAACGCCTAGATAGATATACTTCATGCTTTCACGTTTACAATAACCGCATCTAAATCTGTAAATTTACCCTTATCAGATAGATAGACATGACGGCAAGCATGGTGAGAAAATAGTTTTGAGTTGGTTAATAAAGAAAATATGAAATGTAATATGTTACCAAATGTTAGCTAATATGCTTGTACATACATATTACATACGCATATAAAAATATGTACCTTTTTCTAATATGCACAATATGTATACGTACAGATTTTCAAATAACTATAGCCGAACATCAGAGGGGAGCAAATTATTCATGAAATGGCCCCATTCTTTCGAAATTTGTAGCGACTTATGGAGTGTGGCGGCGAAATTGCTGTCCGCCACTCCACTCCAGTAACACGGATAAATCTTCCGTCGGTGGAATCACTCTGCGATTTTATTACCAAGGTATTGGGGCAGGCCGGCAGCAGCAGACAGGAATTTTGTCTTACAATGACGACCCCTGTACTGCCGCTGCAGCCTGCTTCCCTACTAAACATGTACCCAATATATATACCTATATGCCATATCATTATTGGCCCGTTGGAGTTGTTGGGTGAGGGATTATTATATGTATAAATGGACATTTGTTATTGGGCAGGGTTGTCTTGGGACCTCGCATGAGATTCCAGGTGACGCCGTTCCATGATGGGGGAGGAATCTATTATGCCCGATGGGTTCCGCGACTTACTTTCGAATTGGGCATGTTTGCGGGGGACCCTAACCCTGTAGAGGACGGTAGGCGCCTGTGCGTGAGTGCTATGCATTCCGCGGTGGGCAGTTATCGTGGGACAAGGGTCCGCATTCCCACGTCCCCGTATTTCACGGGAGAAAGGCTGGGACGGGTACCAGGACGGGAGGAGATAGCTGGCTGGCGGTAAGATCGCGTAATATTGTGAAATTGGACCACCCTTGATTTTCGGTCGGGCTTGTTCCTGAATTGACGAAGTTTGTGTTGTGTCCTAGGTTGGTGTCGGCGGACAATTTTCTTCTACGCCTGGTCTGGGAGGGTTATGGAGACCTGGGGACCCCGGATTGGGCGATTGGGATAAATGAGCCAGAGGCCCTGGTGGCAGTGTGGGAGTCTTGCGCTCCAGCGGTGCCGGACCCGTCGTGGACCAAATTGGAGTTTTTGTCGATGCGTCTACCCGGGGTGGAGTGCGCTCCGAACCGAATGGTGCAATTGACAGGATACCCTCGGTAGGATGTCATTTTGCCTCTTCGGAGTACTTGTCTGGAGCCGCTGCCGCTGGATGGGTCAGGGTATCGGCCGCCAAAACCGACGGGAGGACAGGAAGCCAAGAGAGTAAGGGATCTTTGTTATTTTCCTTGGTATTTATTAAGACGCTGAATCAGCTAAACGCATCGAGGCAGTCATTACAGTCGCGTGAAGTAATCGACAGCGGTGCATATTTATTGGAAATTACATTCCAAATGGATAGTAATTTGCATTACTATACAAGTTTGTGATATACTTATTTATTTATTATGGTATGGCGCTTTACACTAGCATCAATACATACCATTCTGCAATTGAAAAACATGCCAATTGTTAAAGATATCGATTACGAATTGTGGTTTAATATGCATGTTAAGACCCTACAATTTAAGAGGAGATTTTTTCCGAATTAGAACATTGATTAAACGCCAGCAGGGAAATAAATATGAGAACAAACTAGAAATTGTAACCGTTTAATTAGCTTAACATGTACACTTTAATGCCCATTGACACGAGTGAATGCGGTTAGACCTTTAAACATTTATCTTCAGTAGCAAATATTGATTGTTCATTTAGAGGTCGCAAGAACCGATTAAGCTTAGATTAAAACTCTTGAAGTTGAATTCGAGGCCATCTATTCAGCTATTTATAAAACTTCTTATAAGATAGATAGCTGTCGTCTAAAAACCACCAAACGGTGTTGTACAGTTATTTCCGGTGTCTTTTACATTTTCTGGGCCCCGCCCCGCCTTCACTACTACATGCACACCCGAGCTACGAAGAAATGGGTGATGAAAACCGATTTTTAACTCATTCTGCATGAATAACGCATTCGGCGTAGATTTTCTACGACGGGGCCAACGTCCAAATTAGGTCAAACATTTCGGTTAAAGCAGGCCAGTATTTTTCATCTTATGCCTTTATTTTTAGGATTAACAAACGGACGCCTCGGGTCCTTTATATAACCGGTTTATCAAAAAAATAACGTATCCGGACTCTTTAATCCTGAGTAAATAGAACCTAGCATATTCGGTACAGTTAAGTTATTCACCGAAACGGTTTCCAATGGTACTTTGATGACTGCTGACCAGTAACAACCACTTTTATGGACCTGTTATGGTTACAGAGTCCCGCACATGTAACCTTCAACGTAATGCATAAAGATTGTCATGCATAAAGTATGAATTTCTAATCTAATCCGCTTCAATATGTGTCATACTCTTTTTATTTTACAAAAAACGCTCCCCCAAAAGTTGGCGAGGAACTTGTGTAGATCAGAAATCCTACTTAAGAGCATGCTCAACGTCCACTATCTACCGGAACGGCAAGAAACGTACAACAACGTAATAAAAGTTCCATGATTTTCCAGCAGCTATGGAAAATGGAGAGAAACCTTTGTGAAAATATTAGGTCATTTTATTCTGTTCTTATTTTACGTTGTTACATGTTGCAATAGGCAACAAGCTAGCAACCCTTTTCCAGAAAACCGCGTTTTAATTTATTCTGCATAGTGCAGTTAATTAATTCACCAGTACTGTTTCCAATGGCACTTTGATAACTACTTGTAGGACAGAAATGACCCTCATTTGATGACCGCAATAAATGTACTAAATTTGATTTATAAATGAAGTGCCTATGTATGTATAATGGTTTACCAATTTCTCTACGAATTTGTTGATTGTTGCATTATATTCTCTAATTTTGTCTTAATGGAGAATTTCTGAGAAACAGGATAAGATACTGAACTATTTTAATATGAAAATAATCCCTATATATGTATATGCCTCCGTGTATGTATTATTCCGATGTACTCGGTCTAGTCAATTATGTTTGTGTTGTGTACATACCTATATACATATACCACACAAAACTATTTTTTATCCCACATTTTTATGATCATTTTTATGATCTATGAAAATCCAGACTCTTATGTATATATAAGTAAACAGAAAAGGTACCCACATTGTATTAATTTTCATTTATGTAGACCGGTTATTATGCACAGAAATATTCTTGCGCATATATTCATGCACCTGACCCAATCGAAGTTAAGACATGCTAATTGTCTTCCCCTTTGTTAGTTGTTATATCATTTGTAGGGCATCTACAAACGTATGTACATTAGTTAGTTTAACTTACATTCCGAAAAGAAGCAGAATTACACAAGCAGGAAGTTGGGCAAGAAATAAGTTTTTGTGTAAATATATATCTGTACATACGTGTGGCATGTATGTATCAATACCATATTTAGAGATTGATGACTTGCAACATGTAAAACATAAATTGATACAGATACGTATTATACATGCCAATATGCAGAAGAACTAATATAATGATATGAATGTACGTATGTCTGTATGTAAATATTTATGTATGTACATAAGTATGTTCTTATTCTATAAAGTGCCGAAATAAAATTTAAATTACTAAAAAGAAGTAAACATCCACTGCTCACGATTTATGCGAATACTTGAATAGAAATGGCGATTCAGTTGATTATGTATTTGTGCAGCTGTCCTAACGTTTTCCATGAAGATGGACATCATTTTTTAGCCGTTTGTAGGTTAGCTCCATTGTTCTCCTGTAGATCCTGTTTAATTCTGTGACTTGTGCTTGAACCTGGAATAAATAAAGAATATTTGGCTTAAAGATGAAATAAGTATTTTTAAAATAATTGGTCAATATTTTATCCTTTAAATGACTTAAAGAGGAAATAATAACTGAATAACTGAATTTACAAATTTTATTTATACATCATTAGATAATCCTAATACGAAATGTGTAGCTATTTATTTCGACGCTAAATCAGCATTCAATAGTATAGATAGATCCTTACTTATAAAAAAGCTAATGTTTAAGTATAAATTACACCCTACATATATCAAGACAATACATAATTATGTTAGTGATACATTATTTAGATTTAAAAATAATGAGAAATATTATATTAATCCTACTGGTATAATTCAAGGCGGTACGATCGGCCCAGTTATTTACGGAGCTTATCAGGACGATATCGCTGAAATAATTACATTGCCGTTCTTATTATATGCCGATGATCTCGTTGTGTATACTGCAGGAACAGATTTGGACCTATTATTACAAACACTGAAAGACCAAGTAATCCGTATTCAACAATGGTACACTGACAATAACATGACATTAAATTATGACAAAACTAAATACCAAATTTTTCATAAAAGTGGAGACCCCATCCCGGACAAGTATGTAAACTCGCCATTGGTGCTAGATAGTGGTCATATTATCGAGCAAGTTTCTTGTTTTAAATATCTTGGGGTGGAACTTGACTCGACACTGAGTTTTAAACAACACTTTGAGTCCGTAAGTAAGCGTATTTCCGGTAATCTAGGTTATTTATATGGGTTAAATCGATATTTAAGTGAAAATGTAATGACGGTTATGTTGAATAGTCACATACATTCTATTGCAGATTACTGTATTGACATATGGGCAACATTAACTACTCCACAACTTGACACTGTACAACAAAAAGTTGACAATTACCCAATAAATTTTTATTTACCTATTATTGCGAAAAAAACTCGTATCCGCAAATCTCGACACTACAAAGACCTCAGACATAAGTTAAATATAGTAGATTTACGATCTAAGTGTAATATGTTAACAGTACCGGAGAGAAGAGACCTTTTTCTACTTAAGTATGCGTTTAAGAACCTGGCACATCTTAAATCTGTGTCCTCAATTAGACGTACATTTCCTCTGTTAGCTGTTCCCAGTACTAAAACGACTTTCTCCCAGAAAAGCATAAATTATCGAGCTATTAAGCTATGGAACTCGCTGCCGCGTGACTGGGAAGATAACATAACTTATCCTAAATTGAGTCGCGAATGGATAATTTCTAGACGCAAGGAAGAATATATTTACTATTAATTTTAGTTAATAATTAGATACATGCTTATATATAGAGAATTAGCTTATAGTGTCACGGATTGTAAACCAGTTTGTATTTAACTGATATTTATTGACACATGAATAAAGGATATCAAATCAAATCAAATCAAATCAAATCAAATAATAAAAATGTAGATATGCATGTACGTACCTTGTCTTCACGTTCATCTTCAGTTCTGCATATGTATGTACATAAATGCAAGACGTGCATTTTGTAGCTTTTTACCTGCATAGTAAATAGTAAGTAATATTTAAAAATTAATAAAACAATCATGTCCTCCGATAACTCTGACACAAAGTGATTAATACACTCTAAGGAATTTTATTACCGGAATGGTGATCATACGCCACCGGTCGGTGACAGCTTGGTCACTGCATCATGAAAATTACCCACCACCAGCACGGTTGTATTTAATCACCACACCACCAACAAAACGCCAAAATTCCCGATCACCAGAACCAGTAGAGTCACGCTTATCGCCGGATTCCTTAGAGTGTATGCTTATCATTGGGAAATAAATAAGCTTATTTTATGTAATTTTAATAGTAAATTGGAGGAGATGGCAAGATTAAGTATGTATGCACAGGTATGATGATTCTGCATGATTATTTTGACGTACATACCTATGCATGTACATATGTACATATTTCGGGCAAACCAAAGCAATTTCTCAATATTTTGTACTTAAACAAACTTTTTCTTACCCTTTCGTCCGCTGGAAATAAACATTTCCAATCTTAGAAAACTTGATTAATAATGACATTTTTAGCTGTTCATTTATATAAATATGATTTGGATTCGTTTAGTGTCAAATTGATTTATGTATGTATTTAAATATGTATCACGCGAACTTATTTATTATTTATGACGGACTTAATATTTTTGATGAGTTTGAAAGTCTGTAAAGTGTTACACTGCAACAATGCCGTATGTTGGATTAATGAAGGCGAGGCAGATGAGGCTGAACGGTAAAAAAAACTGACAATTGTTGCCTAGCAACGATTTCATCTTTGGACCCAGAACGCATACAGGTTATGCGTGAAAGAGGCTAGTGACCCACACATACCCATTTTTTTTACGTTACTTTCACTGTACATCAGTGTGTCTATGCAATATAAGTGTGAGCCAACCTGTTGAGGGGTGAGATGTAATTTACAAAGGTAACTTGAATCCAAAAGGGTACACACGTGCACTCACAATGGAGGTCACCCAACGCATGTATGCTTACAGATTTGGACCAAACTGGTGTAAATCGATCGCAAATTTAACTAGTATGAAATTTGCAAATGACAGTATCTCCGACTGCGCAGGTTTGGCGAAGATACCTATTTGCATCCAAAGAGGAGAATGTGCACAGTAAATTTGGAAAACGTAAAATTTGTCAGCCTTGGGGCGCATGTCCTCTGCTTCTTTTCTCATCATCTAATCATCTTTTTATGCAAATATGTGTCTCCGCTAAGAATGCGGCTAAAGGGTACACTCTTAATAATCCGGTGTTAATCGTCACCGAACGCTGTGCGCAGATTAAGTACACAATACACCCTACGGTGATAATGTTTCTTACTTTATGGTGGTACAATTACAAAAGATTATCATAATTTGGTGAAGTCACATTTGCACACTATTCGGTGACGATATTAATCCCAGGTTTTTCTGAGTGTAGAATTAAATGTCGAATTTCATGTTATTCATGGAGTGAGCCACTCTGAGTGACTGAGGATGAAACAAAGTGGAATATTTAGGGATTGTGCAAAAAGTATGTGGTCGATTTGAGAAAAGAGGTATAGGCCAAGGCGTCCTATTCTTGCCATGTTAATCATCAGGGTACACGTACATACATATATGTAGCTCACACCGTAGTGGTCAAAATTCTCCAGAAATCGATCACATCCTCTACGTATGGCCCTTTATCGAATAATATAATGCCTACATCAGTTAGATAAATATATTTTTACACTATCGATTTGACTTTGTTTGAAATACTTAAGTAAATAAATGCATGCGCTGTTAAAAATCTTGTAGAGTCACATACATATTTACACATACATATACTCCGCACTGGTCTTATGCATTCATTTGGTAATAACTTCTTACCGGGTTGGTATTTGGAAAATTGGTTCTGAGTCATAATTTTTTCATTATCACAGGATTTGACAATTGACAGAAATATTCCTTTACACAGCTATGTAAATAAGTACCGAGCTTAGCCCAATTTTTGGTATTGTGAACCTTGGTCCCATGAGTCATGCGAACGATTAAGAGCATCATGATCCAATGAGTTCAAACATGCGTACATTCATGCGTGCGTGAATATCTACATATATACCTACAAATAATATTTAGGCTACACTTCGTACCTACATATATACATATGTCGACATGGGAATGTGCAAATAGAATGCGATCGATTTGAGTGGGGGCAAGGTAACGTGGGTCATATACATATGTAGATCACACCATGTGGATAGTGGTCAAGATTCAAATCGATCACATGCTTTATGTACGACCACTATGTAAATACATACGTATATTTGAAACTGTCAGGGTACATATGTATGCACACATTTCGTTACAAAATGTATTTATGTCTTAAGATTAGTCATCCTACAATATTCTACCGTAAAATCCTGCCCTTTATGTCACAATTTTCTTAAAAGTAATCATTCCTTAACTTACTTGTGAATCGAGTAGACACATCATTTCCAAATTTTCTCCAAAAATTTTCAAAAAAATGTGGTGTCATCCCATCTGCCGTGGTTCGCTGCAAATGTGGACACAGGTTGTCGCACTTTTACAAATGGTATGCATTAAAAATATGCAGAATTTGATATTACAATCCAATAATTTATTAATCTGGTTTATTTTACAATTCGTCAGATTAAAAAACCAACATATTTCAAACCAAACATTTTCTAATCGGGTTTATTTAACAATTTGTTCAGATTAAGGCGTCACTTTCACTTTGCGTGGGCGTCATGCTTCTCCTCTCTGGTGGTGTTCTGGCACTTTCCCACGTGACTGTCACCCCCCTCAACGGAACCGCGACTGGTCATGCCCCCGTGGGTATGATAACCAACATGTCCGAGTTTCATTTTGACACGACCCCCTGCCTCATGTGGACCATTCCGATTCTGTCAACCAATCCACCACGAACTCAGTCGTGCAAAGCTTTGAACAGAACAAGACTAAATTTTTCAACTTTGTTGGTAAGTGCGAAAAATATGTCGGATTTTGAAATACATAATTCGTTAAAATGTAAATGTTTAATTTGTAGGTGCTGTATTAATCGAGGCCAGCATTATCTTCATTACAGAGTGAGTCATCACCTTGACCTTGTCCATTATTTTGTTTAACGGCGCTTCAAACGTAAGATTACTACACTCTTAGAAATCCAATATTAAAATAATACTAAACAGTATTTATGTACATACTTATATGACTCTACCAAAGTGGTATTGAAAAGTAATACTGTTTAGTAATAGCTCGGTATTAAAGTTTTACCTTATCCGTAGACAATTTTTATGGACTGGTATAATTTGAATACCAAGCGGTGGCCACTTTAGTACCCAGAAATCAATACCTAAATAACAGATGATACCAGAGATATAATTAATGCCAGATAACTTTTTGCAATTTTTTATAGCGAATCGCTGCTGTTTGTGTATGAAGATGAGTTTGTGTGGATCTGATTTCGTTGTGGCTTGGTGATGAGATGAGAGGATTGGTGAATTTGAGGATTTGCAGAATTGGTTGGCGTGCGAATTGCAGGGTGCACTTAAGGACAATGGTGTCCAGAAAGAAGGGGGTGGTCCACGAGATCGGTACTATGTGCCCTTAGCTTGTGTTTATTTAGTCATAAAATCGATTTCTTTACATTAGTTAAAATTGGGGCAATATTGAGACTCAAAGAACAAAGTGACCGTAACTGTGTAGCAGTACAAGAAAAGTGGACGGTGAGGAAAAAGATAATTGGGGTTTTATGGGTAGACAGTCAAGGTAGGGTCAAGGTGGTTCAAACTTTGAGTCATGTACAAAGATTTCGTAACATTTTAGAACTTATTGGAACAAGTACAAAATTGAGTAAATTAGATAATTGAATTAGTCTAGAGATAAGATAAACTTCGTCTAGGAATTAAAATATATGATAAAACATGAGACATTTGAGTTCATGCAACAAGGACATACAAAAATGCATGAGAAATAATGCTGATATCGAACATTCCGCCGACCTTGAAATACTATTTCAAAAGAATTAAAGTACATTACAATGAGTCAAAAATTGATACTTATGTGGTATTGTCAATTGGGAGCAAACTTAAATTCACAACCGGTCTTTTGAAGGTGCCAGTTGCAGTCTTGAGAGTGACGACACGTACAATAGAATCGGCACCAGGATGAAGATGAAGAACGCGTGCTAATTTCCATTGGAGTGGGGGCAAGTTGTCCTCCTTTATAATGACCATGTCACCTTCCTTTATCTTTCGGTCACCGGACATCCACTTTGGTCGTTGCTGGAGACGAGCAAGGTATTCAGAAGTCCACCTTTTCCAGAAGTGTTGGGTCAATTTCTGAATATGCTGCCAGAGAGACAATCGATTGATGTTGATCTCAGAGAAATTTGGTTCCGGAATGGATGTGAGCGGTGCGCCGATTAGGAAGTGACCAGGGGTGAGAGCGTCCAAATCTTCTGGAGATGAGGACACAGGTGTCAATGGACGCGAGTTGAGAATCGCCTCAATTTGCGCCAATGCTGTTGATAGCATCTCGAAGGTCCATCGCTGCGATCCCATGATTCGTCGTAAATGATATTTTATGGACTTCACGCCGGCTTCCCAAAGTCCTCCGAAGTGTGGTGAGGAGGCAGGGTTGAAGTGCCACTGAACGCCTTCGGATGATAGTTGGTTGGAGATTTGCACGTTGTGATTATTTGATTGGATAAGCTGTAGCATCTCCTTCATTTCACGGTTAGCACCAACGAAGTTGGTACCGTTGTCAGAGTAGATGTCACAAAGTGACCGTAACTGTGTAGCAGTACAAGAAAAGTGGACGGTGAGGAAAAAGATAATTGGGGTTTTATAGGTAGACAGTCAAGGTAGGGTCAAGGTGGTTCAAACTTTGAGTCATGTACATAGATTTTAGAACTTATTGGAACAAGTACAAAATTGAGTAAATTAGATAATTGAATTAGTCTAGAGATAAGATAAACTTCGTCTAGGAATTAAAATATATGATAAAACATGAGACATTTGAGTTCATGCAACAAGGACATACAAAAATGCATGAGAAATAATGCTGATATCGAACAGCTGCCAAGTGTCGAGTCTGGCTTAGCGTGCAAGTCATCTTTCTCGTGCCGCTGACCTTCTTCTTTTTTGCGAGGTTGACATCCTCCGCTCCTAACGACCTTGCCCGAGCTGTTGAGCTTATCATCAACGCTGGTTGCATGCTTGTGATGTACGCGTTTATAAATGAGTTGCAGGGGGAGGAAGCAGCCAAACGGGTAGGGCAAGAGAAAGCATATTGTGGTCAAAAGGTTTAAATAATTTTGCTCATTTTTCTGTTTCCATGCTTAACAAAAAAAATATGTGTAAGAATTAATCCTGAAGAAAAGACACAAATGCAATTTGATAAAATTTCGGAAATTTTAAAAATTCAAATAAAGCTTGAGTCACGGTTAAAATTTTCACACAATTCTAACCATACATAAGTACACTCTAAGAAATTGGGTGATCGGCGTTATCACCGCGCGAGTGGAGATAGCGAGCATCACCGTAATGGTGATAAACCTATCACCGAAATTTGTCACCATTGCTGGTGATCGTCACTACCACCACATCCTGGTGGTAGCTTCGCTATACACGTGACTTGCAGAGGGGCAAGTTTGTCCTACTCCACGTACCAGAAACAGCAGCGGAGTTGCAATGGTAAAATTACTTCGTATTTCAAAGTTTAAGAGGAAAAAAATAACACCGTACCGAAACAGTTATCGTGAATTTATTGACACAGGTAAAAAATTAAAAGTTTAAACTTAGCTAATTTTGGCCTAGTTGGAGAGAAATTTAACTTGGATGTGGATCTGGAGGAATGTGCAGAAATTGAAGGATTTTGACGAGGTAATATTTGCATAAAATTTAGTTGCCTATTTGTTGAATCTGTACATAATTAATTACGTAACATATTTTTTTCTCATTGGTCGGCCAACTGTAATCAATCTGGAGTCTATAACTCACGAATGTGGTCACTGGTTGCACTTCAAAAAATCTCGATAGTACAACGGAATCTCTGCAAATAAGTAAATATGTGGCAAAGTTGTTTTAACGGTAAGGATAAATCAATAAAGTCAGATATTTTGACCAATCTAAATGAAAGTTAATTATGTATTTTAAACTTTAATTGATTTCAGTCAGTGTCCTATGTCGTGACTGGAAACTATTCACAACTTCAATTGCTGGTGAAATTCCACAATGGCGAGGGACAAACGTTTTACATGTATAAATACATATAAAATATTCATTATCTGTGAAATTATTTGAATAAAGCAATAAATTGTGAAAAATGCGACATTTTGTACGAAGTACCGAAATTATTTTTATCTATCACCAGACAGTGAAAAGGCGAGCTAATTATGGTGGTGATATGTCACCGTGCGGTGATAAAAAATTTTAATCCTTCTACCACTACCCGGTAGACGTGTATCACCATGATGGTGATCGCACTTTCTATCACCGCGCTGTGGTTGGTGACCACCATTGCGGTAGAGTCACATATAGTCACCGCTTGGTGACAGTCCGGTGGTAAAATTTCTTAGAGTGTACATATAATTATATTTTATTTCATATTTTTAGCTGGGTAAATTAATTGGAGTTATGTATAATTAAGTTAAATTAGTCGCAAATTCGGTTAATTACATATTCACTCGTGGTAATAAAAAGTCCATCAAAATATTTATTTGCATTATTTTATTATGATTTACTCGGTAAATGATTTACTCGGTCAATCAATGATACTCTTCATCTCGTCGACATGGACGCATTTGTCCAGGTCCTAGGCTACACTCAAGCTGCGGAAAAGAATGACACTTGCATCACACTTTTTCGTCCTTGCCATTGATGACTAGAATTACTTATGCGAATCCGGGTCACGGTACTTGACAAGGATAAGAGCGGATTTATCGATACATAAATGCATACGAATTCGAATCTGTCATTCCATTATTGCTCAGACATGATCCATGTTTCCCACAAGTAAACTTTGACAAGTTTGACAAGTGGTGGAAGCTGACACAAATAAGGAAGGGAAAGTTAGCATTGCACAGGCTGTCGAGTCGTTTAACAAAAATGCCAAAAAATGAATAAACATTAATTTGTAAATGATACATGCATATTCGTTTATTGTTACCATTTTGGAGAATTTTGTGCTGAAATTTCTAAGCACTTCAAAATATATTAGTAATTGACAGAGTTTTGAAATTCCGAACAGGATCAATACCCCGGTGTGCCACAAAGGCTCTTGAAACAGTTGGCAAGTAGTCGCCACCGGCGGCAAAGAGTCGCAGATTTTGCCGACATCCAGCCGAGTACTTGCCACCGCTTTCCCGCCGCCATTTTCACTCGGCAAACCAGTGTATTTGCCGGACTTAATCTGTCTACTTGCCGTCGACGGCCCATCCCAGGCCATAGCAAGCTTTAAATGGTATTTAAGATTTTGCTTCTGGCCACATTCTTGCCAACTACGGCCCGACTCGAATGAGATACCAAAATGCCCCAACTCTTACTTAAAGTAGAGGAAACTTAAAAACCTCCACACCGTCAACATTCTGTCCATCAAATCAGTATTTTGTCTTTATTCCATTAAACGTACTTTGTCATGATTAAATTTGCAGTAGTTATATTTCCCGACGAAGATAACGCCATTGACGTTATATCGTCATCTTGGATTCTTCCGCCACTTATTGCAAATGGGGGGACCCAAGTGAAGAACTGCAGATATCCACCATCAAAAGTTCGAGGTGCAAAACTAGCCAAACTTGTTTGCAATCATCAACCCCCATCTTCGGATTGGTTGGTCTGTTCTTGTCGAGTTTTGAAAGAGTATGGTAAGCAGTTTGTTGCAAAAAAGTATATGGCAAAACTAATTACTTGCTGTTATCTATGTTATTTTCTAGACAATTATTTGACCGCCCGTGAAGCATCAATTAGGGCGGAAGAAACTTCCAACTTGGAGCCATCTTCCGTTGAGGAGGCAGATTCTAGGCGAATCCGAAAACGCATACAAAACAAAGTAAAGCCGCCACCGTGTAATTCCAATAGCAACAAGCTTCAAAAAATAATTGCTGTAGCCGAAGATTCTAGCGACGAATCCAACACGTTGGAGGACGACAACCCGACAACTTTTTGCCTTGGATTAGTTAGAGAAACAGGTAAACCGGAAGGGTGTAACCACTAGTTTACGTCGCCAGTTCATAGTTTATGTTAATTTAAATCATTTAATTAGTATTATAAATAATTAATAATTTAAGTTATGATATTTTTTTCTGTTTATATAATAGCCGATTTGGAAAGGGGCGGTTATGAAGGTGCAGCTAATGACAACACATTATTTGCACCACCTCATGGACAAATAGAAATATACCCAGGAGGAGGAGATCAAAACACTTCCGCAACCCACCAGGCAGAGGATGTCGAGTTTAAAAATCAGTTCGTACAGTTTCTAGAGGAAAATAGAAGTATGATAATATTCGTATGAATAAAATACGATTGTGTGTATTCTCCTTTCTATTATATTTATACTATGGAATTAACTAACTTTTTTATTAGAATTTCAAGATGCGGTGATTTCCAAGCTAGAAATAATTTCTAGTAAGTTGAAGCACATTAATCTTGGGACGACGTGTGCAAAAAATATTAAATTGACTGGAGCCCCGCTACTGCCTTTAACCAGCAAGGATGGTTTAGCTTCCCTCATAACCTGGCTTGGTATTGATAAAAATAGTGACCTAATGGTACCAGAGAATTTTAATGCGTACTTTATTTATTATGCGTACGCTGGGTATGACCTAATCTATTTATTAACGACAGATCGATTATCTAAGTCTACACGGAGGAGAAAATGTTTCTGCAGTAACCGGAAGCATTCTTTCTGAAATATTTACGAACCAGTTCGCAACAGTAGTTAGCTTTACTGGACAAGGACAAAAAGCGGTTTGTGGCATAAAGGACTCAATATTACCTAAATTAATCACAAGTACGTTAATAAAATTTATTCTCGAAACCATCTTATAATTAAAAATGATTAAGTGTTCTGCAACGATTTTCTAGAGTCGGTGCGGTCAAATAAAGGCTTTAGCCAAGCAACAGATTTCGAGGTGAAGCAGGCAATAATAAACTGGTTGAAGAACGCTGGTGACAGAGGTGGGGGTCGAGCAGCTCGTCGTCAACGTCATTTGACAGGATGAATACAGTCACCCCGAGAACGGAATTACGCCGCAGAAGAAAAGCAACATCACGTATATTGCAATTTATTAGAAGTAAGACGATAGGAAATACTGTGCCGACATTATTATTTAGTGAAGAAATTGTAGAGCCACCAGTGAATGTTCAAATAGTTGAAACTGAAATAAGTAGCGCTGAACCCTCAGATTTTGTATTAGACAACAGTCAAGTAAATGTTGAGTCAGATATCAATTTTCCTTTACTTTTGCCAGATAGTCTTCGTCTGTGGGCTACAGCACATAATGTTACACATATGTGTCTCCGAGAACTGATAACCATTATAAATCCACATATTAACAATATTCTTCCTCTCGATCCTAGAACATTAATGAAAACGCCACGACAGATAGTTATAGAAAAGCTAGGTGGAGGTGAACTAGTTTATTTCGGTATAAAAAAAGGTGTGGAAAGACGGCTAAAACTAAAATTATCGGATTGCAATTTTCCAATTATTAAAAAATGGCAGCATGAGTCTATTTCGAAAATTATTTCAATATCAGTTGGTATTGACGGGGTACCGATTTCTCAAAGTAATACTAAGTCGTTTTGGCCAATTCTTGGTATGCTGGACCAAGCTGTAGATTCAAGGCCATTTATTATTGGATTATTTTGCGGCATGTCAAAGCCAAAAGATACTTTATTTCTTAAACAATTTGTTGACGAAGCATTAGAATTAGAAAGGACTGGTATTTTATTTAAAGACTTACAATTTGCATTTAAAATATCTTGTATAATAGCTGATGCACCAGCTAGAAGTTTTATAAAAGGGTGCAAACAGCATAATAGCTACAACTCGTGTGAAAGATGCGAACAGGAAGGTGAATGGCTTGGAAGAGTAATTTTAAGAGAGACAGTATGTCCACAGAGAACGGATGATAAATTTATTAAAAAAACGGATGCAGATCATCACACATACGACAGTGAATTGCTGAGATTAAATTTAGGCCTGGTGTCACAAATAGTACTTGACCATATGCATTTAGTTTTTCTAGGAGTAACTAAAAAATTATTGAACATTTGGGTGAAAGGTAAATTGCCGCACCGACTTAGTTCACAACAAGTTTTAATTTTATCTAGAAATTTAATTCGACTTAGACCTTTTGTATCCCGTGATTTTCAACGCAAACCTCGTGGGCTCGACGAACTAAATCATTTCAAGGCCACTGAATTTAGACTTTTTTTGCTGTACTCTGGAATAGCAGTATTAGGCGAGACACTTCCACTAAATAAGTTTAAAAATTTTCTAAAATTACAAGCAGCGATGTCAATATTATTATCTCCTAATGCAAGTATAAAATCGTGGAATGATGTAGCCAGGTCGTTGCTCATACAATTCGTAAAAGAAGTTGAATTAATTTACGGTCCAGAATTTATGATATATAATGTGCATTCAATTATACACATTTGTGATGATGCATTGAATTTTGGTAATTTGTCCAGGGTCAGCGCATTTCCTTTCGAAAGCTATATGCAGAAACTAAAAAGCATGCTGCATGCTAAAAATTATCACCTGAATCAAGTAGCGAAACGCTTACAAGAAATTGAGGCAATTGATTTTGCGACAAAAATTATGAAATCTAGTACGCAACAGTTTTCTAATAGTAAATATGATAATTGTTTCTACTTAGGAGATGGTACTTATGTAATATTAAAATATATTAACCTATCCATAAAATATGCAGAGTTTTACGAGGTTATAAAACTTGATAAATTTCCGGAATATCCATTCAATAGCTTAACCGTAAATATATTTCTAGCTAAAATTACGACTAATGTGAGGATTGTTAATTACAGTGAAGTTATGTATAAATGTTTACTTTTACCTTATAAAAATATGTACTTGTGTTTACCACTTCTTCATACTTTAAAATAAATAACAAATGAAAAAGTAAATAATATGTGCAATTACTGGTGGCATTTGGATGGGTATAAGCATTTCCGCAGGTCTGAGCCATGGTCTTGCCACCGGTGGCAAGCCGGTATCAAGTTGGCGTGCCAACTGGAATACGAAGTTGGCCCGTACGCGATCGCCACCGCCAAGCCACCTATGGCCATTCGACATTTCCTGCAGTTTGCCGACCCATTTTGGCCGCAGCTGCGCCTACTGCGGCCCTGCTAGTTTGGCAAATCGGGACTATATATGTATGTAAATGTATTAAATGCGTAAAGTAAATATGAAAAGTGTATTAAAGATAATAAAAATGTCAACTACATAGATAAATCTACTTTCAGGTATCAGATTCTGATATTAGTAAGTTGAAAAATGCATTTACAATTAGCAAATGCACAAAAGCCGATAATAATGGTGGTAGATAATATTTAATATTAAAATTTAATATTATGTATTGTCCCGACTGGGTTATAATTTTAGACATATTGAAATATTAATAAAAGAATACATTAAAATTACCTAATATGTAAATAGAATAACCCTTTCAAGACGTAATAATACGTATCTAATAGTGGTAAAATGATAGTAAGTAAATGTGTCACAAATCATATTACATACCTTACTTAAGTATTTAAACACAGTGTTGTAAATCGTGATTATTTCATTGGTATTTATAATAGTACATAGTAATTTATAGTATTTTTAAGCATGCAAAACATTTAAATATGTTTGGATGTGTCTGTAAATTTTTTCAGGAAATGCTGGACGCCTTGCACTCAAAAATACACGCATGAGAGAAACATAAGCTGACCATAATTCCAACGCCTAGATATAAATACTTTATGCTTGCAGGCTTACAATAAACGCAACTACATCTGCAAATTGACCCTTATCAGATAGATAGAGATGAAGGCAAACATGGAGAGAAAGTAGGTTTGAGTTGGTTAGTAAAGAAATTATGAAATATAATATGTTACCAAATATTAGCTACTATGTATGTAGATACATATTGCATATGCATATAGAAATACCTTTTCTAATATGCCCATATGTATGCGCACAGATTTTTAAATAACTCTGGCCTAACATCAGAGGGGAGCAAATTCTTTATGAAATGGCTGCGTTCTTTCGAAATTTGCAACGACTTATAGATGGATTATGTATGGATTATAATCGCTCAATTTTATTCAAAAATGAATGTTTGTTTATTGATATTTTATCAGAGGTGGGAAATACGGACACGAACCTCGTATTTGATTCGACGGCGGAATTTATCCCAAAGGACGTCTTTGTATGTTTCTTGTCCTTCTAAAATTTTGAGCTTAACAATTTCTCTAACACTTTGCACCCCTTCGATATAGGCACTATTGGAAATTCCATTCCAAATGTATAGTAATTTGCATTACTATACAAGTTTACGATATATATATTTATTATTAGACAAACGTCCCCTGGAGCGCTTGAAGCGTTGTAAATGACAAGAGAATGATGATCAGTAATGACACGTATTTTTGCATGAAAGCAATAGATTCGAAAATGTTCTAGGGCAAAGATATTTCCTGCCTGCCCCAGTTAGATTTTAATTGTGCATAAAGACTCTTGTGCAAAATTGTAATCTCAACTCGTCTGTCAATAAAGCGTACCTTATTTTCATCCCGATTTTCATCAAGTGCTATGCATAAGCCACAAGTGTAGGGTCATCGAAAGAACCACACCTGAGGTTCATTTCATTGGTATCCACGGCTACATCGCCTTGTCAAAAGGTGAAAAGGACACCGCACAACCTCGTTGACCTCTCCCTATCTTCACGACTTCAGTGTGACGAAGTGTCACAATTTGTGACTCGCAAAGGTAAGTAAAAGACGTCTTCAGTAGAGGTATGATATTTACTTCTTATTTATTTATTTATTATGGTACGGCGCTTTACATTAGCACCAATGCGTATGATTCTCATTTTGCATTTTGCATTTTGCATTTTGCATTTTTGCATTTTGCACCTATAAAAAATTGTATCTTAAGTAGCAAATATTAATTGCTCATTTAGAAGTTACACGAACCGATTAACCTTAGATTAAAACGCAAGTTGAAATCTTATAAAATAAATAGCTGGTATTTTAAAAACCGCAAACTGGTTTTTTACAGTTATTTCCTGTCTTTTTGTATGCGTTCTGGGTCCAGCCCCGCTACATGCACACCATTTCACATGCTCACCGAGCTACGAAGAAATGGGTGATGAAACCAATTTTAACTCATTCTGCTTGAATTACGCACTCGGCGTGGATTTTCTCCCCATATCCGACGGGACAGAAGTCCTAATCACGTCAAACATTTCGGTCAAGGCAGGTGAGTATTTTTCATTTTATGCGTTTATATTTTACTTTTGCGGACAAAACTTCAATTTAGTTTTAGGATTAACCAACGGACGCCTGCCTGGGGTCCATTATACAACCGATTTATTAAAAAAATAACTTATCCGGGCTTTTTAATCCTGACTGCTGAACGGGCAAAACCGTACTCGGTGGTGTACCCATTAAGCTCCATTTCGATCATAAAACAAAGCAAAAGCAATTTCCAATGAAGCAAGCCATAGCGTAAATCCTAAAGTAAACAGAATGCAGCGCCTTCGGCGCAGTTAATTCATTCACTAAAACGGTTTCCAATGGCATTTTGAGAGCTATTTGTAGGACATAGACAGAAATTACCCTCATTTGTTGCCCTGAATAAATGTATTAAATATTTCATTTCCAATTGAAGTAGACGTATAAATAATACGATCAACTACATAGATGCAAATATGTACCCATCTATATTTTGGGCTACAAATTTCGCTAAGAATTTGTTCCGTGTTCTTTAAGCTTGCCTTAATTGAAAACTGCTGCAAAACAGGATAAGATACTACTGAACTATTTTAATTCGTAAATAATATATTTGTCCCCTCTATAAAAATCCAAGATTTTCACATTGTATTAACCTTCACGCAGCATTCATTAAGCACATACATACATACATAAATATATTTATCCACATATTCATACATCTGACCAAATCAAAGTCAAGATATCTAATGAATAATTATCTTTTCCATGCTAGTTATAGCATTTAAGCAAAATCTATGTACACACATACACCAGTCAGTTTAATTTACATTCCGAAAAGACAAGCAGAATGTTAGGGAAGAAATAAGTTCTTTGGTAAATATGTAAATACGTGAGGCAGACATACATATTTGTACATAGATATTACTTAGAAATTTATGACCTATAACGATGAATACGTCCAAACGTATGTATTTATGTGCAGAAGAACGGATGATACATACCTATGTAAATACATAAATACGTGCATATGTATGTATGTATCAAGTGCCTAACTAATAATTTAAAATATTTTTGACAAGGTTCCATTGCTCACGATTTATGTGAATACTTGTGTAGAAATGGCGATTCAGTTGATTCTTTTATAGTTGTCCTCAAGTTGTCCATGCTGATTGACCCCGTTTTGGTAGCCGTTTGTAGGTTAGTTTCATTATTTGTCTGCAGATGCTCCTTAATTCTGTGACTTGTGCTTCAACCTGAAATAGATTAAGAATATTTTGCTAGAAGATGAAATATGTTGGACATAATGGGTCAATATTTTATTTGTCCTGCAAATGACTTCAAAAATCAGTAATAAAAATGTAGAAATGTATGTATGTACCTTATCTTCACGCTCATATTCAGCTCTGTATATGTACATTCATATGTCCAAAAGGTGCATATATTTGATAGCTTCTTACCTATGTACGTAGTAAATAATAGTAATTAATATGTGTATCATTAGGAAATAAATAAGCTTCTTTTACTTTTAATAGTAAGTTTGAGCAGATCGCTAAAATATGTATGTATCAGTAAGTAAGATTCTATTTTAAATACATATGTACAGATGTATTAATCGGAATTACGGCGCTGGTCGTTTAGCTTTTTCGAAATAAATATATGTAAAATGATTTCATGGAAAGAATAATAATAAACAACATATTTCCATTAATCGGAATCCTTGATTAAATGAAATGAAATTCCTCAAATTCCTCAATTTTTTTACTAGGACAAGTCAATACAATTTCTCAGTATTTTTTTATCTAGTAAAACTTTTACTTACCCTTTCGTCCGCTGGAAATAAACATTTCCAGTCTTGGAAAACTTGATTAATAATGCCATTTTGAGATCTCTATCTCTATTGATATTATCTGGATTCGTTTACATAGTGTCAAATTTGTTTATGTATGTATGCACATAAATATCACAGAAAATTATGTTATTTTGTGACGGATTTAATTTTTGTTATGAGTCTGTAAAGAATTTACAATGAATGTTAATCTGTAGCAAAATCGTACATATGTTGGGCCAATGAAGGCGAGGCAGGTGAAAATGAAAGGTAAAAAAACTGATCATCGTTGCCTAGCAACAATGATCTGTTCATTTGGATGATAATTGTGTGGCCAGCAACGTGTGTCCATATTTATGCATAAGACGGGCTAGTGGCCAACAATAACAGATTTTGTGCATGTTTCTTTCACTGTAGGCATATCAGTGCGTCTATGAAAAGTAAGTGTGAACCAACCTGTTGCGGGGTAAGATGCAATTTACACAAGTAACTTGAATCCAAGAGGGCACGTACACTAACAATCGAGTCGATTGTTAGTGCACAAAACCTGTAATCTCGTATGACCGTTGGATTCTCCATGTGGTTTCGCGACTTTTTGCATCTTTAAGGGCCCTGAAAATCCAAAACCCTGGAAGAACGGAGACCAGATTACTGTAATTGGACAATATAATTGGCCCATGTATGCAATCGACGTCTTCCAACATAGGTATGTAAATATGTATGCTCACAGAATTAAACAAAACTGGGGTCAATTGATCACAAATTTAATTAGTATGAAATTTGCCAATGACTACTATCTGCTAATGCTCAAGTTGGGCGGAGATATTTACATCCGAAGAGGAGAAAATCAGCAGTAAATTGGGAAAGTGTAAAATTTGCCAGCCTTTCGGCGCGTCTCTGCTTCTTCTTTTCCTCGTCATCTCATCTTTTTATGCAAATATGTATGCGGGTATTGGGAACACTCTTAATAACCTGGTGTTGATCGTCACCCAACGGTGTACATATGTGACTACATACGTACACCGTACGGTGATAATGTTCCTCATTTATGTAATTGTGGTAAAATAAACACCAGTCGGGAACAATTTATCACCATGCGGCGAAAAAATTATCATCATTTATTTAAGCCGCATACATATGTATGTATGCACACCATTTTGCGACGATTAACACTGGGGTTTTCTGAGGGTACATAGAATCGAATGTCGAATTTCATGTTGTTCATAGAATGCGTCACACTGAGGATGAGTGACTGAGGATGAGACTAATTATAAGTGGAATACATACATACATACATTTAGGGAGGACTGTGCAAAAAGCATGTGATCGATTTGAGCGGGCTAAGGGTCAAGGCATCCTATCGTTTCCATGTGAATTATCACATGGGACATTTAGCTCACACCTTGGGGTAGATTAAAATTGGCCGGAAAATTTTCTATCACATGCTCTATGTACCGCCCCTTATCGAATAATATACACAGATGTACACATCAGTTGGATAAATATTTTTTAAACTATCGACTTGACTTTAATTGCTGTTAAAAATCTGATAGCCACATATTTATATAATCCGCACGCCCTGGTGCATATTGATTTGGTAATACAAACTTTGTAACTTCCACTGGATTGGTATTTAGTAGTATGTGTTTTGTATGAGTGGTAAACTTTTTATTATCACGACATTTGACAGAAATATTCCTTTACGCAGCGGCATATGTATGTATGTAGATAAATAAGTATCGAGTTTAGCTCAACTTGGCAGTGTCGAACTTTAACCTGGGGAATGAGTCATGCTAACGCTACAAAGAGCATCATGATCCAATGTGTACAACAATGGGGAATGTGTTCAAACATAAATACATGCGTATGTACTCGCACATTCATGCGTACATATGTACATACAGTATAGGCAGAAAGTCATTATACCCTCATACTTTTTGTACATAAAGCCTCATATTGTTCGAGAAGCTTGAGAGGATGAACTGCAATTTTGCACAATTACTTACTATGATGTAAGGTTTCCGGAACCATACTTTGGATAACGGTGTTGCACAAGCAACGACACGGCGAAATTATATCCAAAATTCCGACAGGAAAAAAGTCTTCATACTCTTTGACTTTTTGGTACTTTTAATGTAATTTTTGAAAATAAAATCTTAAATCGCCCTTCACGCACCAAATGGTTCATTATTAATTGAAAAATAACATTTGTCTAATGCTGAACTAGTTGTCCGTTACTAAAATTAGCTCATAATCACTCAAACACATCTTAACCCCGGCCTGAGACAAATTGTCGTAAATTTTGATGATGAAAGGCTTCGACACCAAAGAATTACCGACTAACTACCCATTAAGAATGGATGAGTTGCTAGCATAGTCCAGAACTGCAAAAAGTTTGGGATCGAATGGAATTTAACAGCTTTATCATGTACACGGATCACGCCCCCATTGACGGATCACCTCAAGTTCTCCAAAAGCCAAAGATTTCACGGTTATCTTCACCAAAAATCAGCTTGGAAACGAGGGAAGAAGATGGACGCCTAAGATGGATTTACATAGCGAGCAACATGGAAAATTCTATTTCTCCGCGAGGCCTATATTGCAGACAGCTCTAAATGGGCTAAAAATCATGATAATTGGACGGCTAAATGTTAGAAACTCCTGATATTGTGCGCCGGCGTCAACATCAACCTGTTTGGTTCAAATTGGGACCAGTGGAATATGGATTCAGTAAAGAGACGCTGACCAGGGTTCGGAAAACCCCGGGGTTTTTGTAGAAAAACCCAACCCAGGGGGTTTTTCCGGGGTTTTTGGGGTTTTTGTGGGTTTTTGGGTTTTTGTGGGTTTTTGTGGGTTTTTGTAGATTTTGGGGCAGGTTGAACCAGAATTCCTAAAATTATATATTAGAGATAAACTAATTTAGTATACAATTTTAACATGCAATTTTAACCGTTATCATTGATTTGGGCTTTTACATCGAAAATTCATGTTTGACATGTAAACCTGGAAATATGCAATGATATTTGGAAATTTAAGTCGCAATTGAAAATTCTCAAAATTTCAAGATGAAGCAGAAAAGTTAATTAGCATTGATCTACGTTGTAGTTTAAGAGATTTTGTTTCAATCTGCCTCAAAATCCTACAAAAACCCCGGAAAAACCCACAAAAACCCACAAAAACCCGCAAAAACCCCACTAAGCATTAGGGTTTTTCCGGTGATTTGATACCCCAAAAACCCACAAAAACCCCAAAAACCCCAACCCACAAAAACCCGGGGTAGCGAACCCTGACGCTGACAAAATCAACTACAGTACGCTAACCATTAAGAATTGGGTGGAAATCGAATTGTTTGGGCGTGACGTTGTGGAAGAGCGTCCGAAACTTTAGTACAATAGAAGTAATAATGTACTCCAACTACTACTGCGACGTTCTGAATTGGAATTTGATGGTAACGTGAGGAAATAACCGTTGGGGAATAATTATATTTTGAAATAGTAAGGCGATCCAAAGCATGCATCAAAATTATTGAAGATTTGGTTTTCAACAAAAAAGATTGATTGTTGAATTGCCATCCATAATCATCGGACAGCATGTTAATGCACACTTATGGTCAATGGTGAAGCCCAAAATTACACAGCACATGCTATCCAACCTCAAAGGACTGATCCTCGCTATATAGCTTGAATAGGAGAATTATGACACTTCTGTCACTAGCTTATTTTTTGGCTCGATGCCAGGATGTGTTTTTGCCTTCCTAAGGGATGTGGGAGGACATCCCAGGTGCTAATTTGACTGTTATTTAACACAAACAAATTATGAACACATTTTATATTGAACTTTAATTGGGGTATAAAGACTTTTTTCCTGTCGGAATTTTGGATATAATTTCACCGTGTCGTTGCTTGTGCCACGCCGTTATCCAAAGTATGGTTCCGGAAACCTTACATCATAGTAAGTAATTGTGCAAAATTGCAGTTCATCATCTCAAGCTTCTCGAACAATATGAGGCTTTATGTACAAAAAGTATGAGGGTATAATGACTTTCTGCCTATACTGTATATAATAACTTTTAGGCTGCATTTTGTACATTTGTCGATATGGGAATGGGACCGTGCAAATAGAATGCGGTCAGGATCGATTTGAGTGGGGCAAGGGGTCAAGGGGTCCTGTCGTTCTATAACATGTGACATACAGGTCACACCATAGGGATAGTGGTCAAGATTCTGCGAAAATCGATCACATGCTTTATGTACGGGCCCTATGTAAATATATATATTTATTTGACACTCACAGGGAACATGTGAACATATTTAGTTACAAAACGTATCTATGTCTTAGGATTAGTCATCCTATTCTACCCTAAAATTCTGCTCTTTATGTCACCATTTTCTTAAAAGTTGTCATTCCTTAACTTACTGGAATATAATTATTATACAAATTTGTGTCTGAAATTTAGGAAATTGAATAAGTTGTACGTCAAAAGAAAAATAAAGTGGTCTCAAATAATATTTAGTGTAGTCCTCCCAACCGAATCGCCTTGTTTCCTCCGCCAGCCCGAAATCTAGTTCCACCGAAATCCCTTGTTTTCTTCGTTGTTTGTGCTGTTAAAATTTTTTAAAATTGTCGGAAATATTGTACACATTGTCAACTTTCAATTCCCTGCCCACTAAACCCGATCTCTCGTTAAATTCGACTAAAATCACTATCAACTTATTGTGCACACAGACAAACAAACGTATTTCAAATTAATGAGTTTCACCCCCTAAAAAACAGGTCACCGAGGTCAGATATCGATAAATTTTATAGGAAAAATAATTTTCTATTAATATTTTCTAAATTCTGGCAAAGTTTGAATTTATTTTTGTGACGCGCTATGTGTTAGACCTTTTTATGGATGATCCAAAGCGGTCGACGTGGCACCACAGATATACTTAACAACAGTAATCCCCTCCATTGTTTCTGATCAATACATTTAGAGCTTTGGATCGAGTAAATTGATCAAGAGCCAGGGAAGTAAACATTGAGCCTCGTGCCAATCGGCAGGACCAAATTCAAGTGGGTTTTGGTATCTTCGGTTCAAAAATGTCACCACGATATGAAACTTAATTTATGCATTTTGAAATAGTATAATGAGAATTTCATAACCCACATAATACCGACAGTGGGAAACAATTATAAATAATACTGATGTATCATGGAAATTATTAAGCAACAAGACTCCTATGAATTAAATAAGTATAGATATCTGGTTATTCCTTATTTAGCTTGGAAAATAGCAAATAGGACAAACCTTTTGAATATTGATGCAACAATGCGACCGATAAAAATCCCTAACCTTCCGAAACAATTAAAAATATGAGGAAAGAGAAAGTGCACTACAGACGTAGATTACAATAATTTAGTCCAACAACTATTCAACGGTGCATCAATTTGGCATGCAGAATTGTTTGTACAAATGTGTAACTAAATGAGAACCTTCCGCTTGGTTACACACGCGACTAATTCAAGGGTAACTCCCTATAGGACAATCAAAGTGGAAATAATATTACTTGGCTGATATATGTCGCTGATCTTGTGAAACGGGAAATACTGAACAATCAATTTAAGCAATACACAAAAAGTTAGAAATTTCGGTTACGCATAGTTAAACTACATATATTACGCAAACAAAATAAATAGCCCCCATATGAACGATGACCCTGAGAACCCTTCTGATCTTCCAATATTCATGGAATATTACAAATATGTATGGATGTAGGACATATGTAGACAGAAATTACCCTCATCTGTTGTCCTCAAAAAATGTGTTTAATTTCATTCCTAATTGAAGTTTCTAAATATGTATTTACATATATATAATATGATCAACAAAGTATATATGCACCCATACATCTTTGTACCAATTTTACAGTGTTTTTTTTTTGACCTCGTACTCTACTTCCCATTTTTCATGGGTTGTTACGTAGAGAGTACCTAACTATGTGATGGGGGGACCCCAAGGTGCAGCCACTAGTCCGCACTCCCCCACCACGCACTGTGAGGGGGCCCCGACCCCACACGATTGCGACACAGACCGGAAAACCCCTTTCGGGAAAAACCGCTGCCACCAGGATTCGAACCCTGGCCCATTTGGTTCGCAACCGTGCTCTCTAGCCATTAGGCTATCGACTCACAGTCGACAGTCGACAGTGTTCCATTTTACCTTAATGGAAAGTTACTGAAATACAGGATAAAATATTAGTAAGCTACTTTAATACTTAAATAATCCTCATATTTATTTGCCACAATGTAGGCATTTTTGACTACCATTCACTAGCTTTAATAAATTATATACATATGCATATACATTTGTAACACAAAACCTCCATCTTTCATCCCATGCTTTTTATGATAAATTCTTAGACTCCTCAAATTAAAAGAAATAATTTCTAATTTCATAGGATTTAGTGATATATATGAAAATCCAAAAGCGTATTAATACATAAGTATGACAGGTTTTTGGAAGGAAATCGAGATTTGATTCATACTTGAGGTTCCTTTGTCAGCGTTGAGAAAAATGTAATAAAATTTATGTAGGGTAATTTACCGGCCGAAGTTTTAATTTGTCATGGCAACGTTGCATCTGCGATTTGTAGGTCTGGGCGAATGTTGTTCGTTTAATCAGGTGACTTGCGCTTCCACCTGAAATGCATTAAGAATGTTTTGCCTGAAGATGAAATATGTTGAAAAAATTTATCAATATGTATGTACCTTATATTTATATACGTGCGTATGTGCATCTTCTGCCCAAAGTATATGTATGAGGTACGTTTGGCAGCTTTTCACCTAGTGAATAAATTTAGATTAATATTCTTACACTCTAAAAGCAAATAATTTTTTACGTCTATTAATAGAAAAAAATAAATATGATTCTATTTTAAATACTAAAATATAATATGTACATATTCCATTTGTACATATTTTTCATGTACACTTAAAAATCCAGAATTAAGATAATACCAAGTGGTGCTAATATTGGACTCTACCAAACTGGTATTGTACCGATATTGGACCGGTGTATGTACATATATATGTAATCTTTATACAAAAGGGTAGAAAATGTAATACCTGCCAGAAAATACCAAAAGTTTTACATACCTTAATCTAGGAAATTTGAATTTTCAAACTTGAAAAACTGAAACCACAATCCAATTTTCAGCTTTCCAACTTTAATGTTATCTGGATTGACACGTATGTACTTACCACGTTAAAATATTATTTAACGGATTTAGTTTTTGTGATGAGTTGATGATGTAAAGGATTAAACTGTCAAGCTCCCACAAAACCATATGCTTTGTTAATGAAGGCGAGGCAGATGAAAATGAACGGCAGGAAGATGAAAGTTGCATGGCAACAATTTTATTGCAGAATAATTTTTTATCCAGCAACGTGCATATGTACATATGCATGCATAAACGGGGCTAGTGGCACACAGATACACATTTACATACAGAATTCCCTCACGGAAATGACATCAGTGTGTAATGTACAGGATGTACATCTACGTGCAGGATGCACCTGTTGAGGTGAACTGTAATTTAAATACATATTCAGGTATTTAACTTGAATTCAAAAAGTTATGTGCACGAAGTGTGCAGCTAGTAGCTACATATGCATGTATAAGTTAGATGTCGGGTTTTATGTAATTAAAATGTAATGTGTTCTGCTAAGCCAAATCCTGTGATAACATAGATATCCTTTATACTACTGCATGGATAAGGGGTTGTAAAGTTATGGTTAATGCAAAGATTGGCCTCGTCGACGTGCATGCATTTCTGCAGGTCAAACCGCGCAGGGGAGGTGCAGGACACCTCCATCACAATTTCTTCTCTGCCCTGGACGCCAGGGTACGGAAAACCCCAGGGTTTTGTTAGATAACCCATACCCAGCCCATCTTTGTAAGTTTACGTGATTACGGACTTACGAAAGGTGACGTGAATCGCATCAATAATTCCGCGGAATATTTTCTTCGTAATATGATAAATACATACATAGATATGGTGAATAATGTTTTTCAGAAATTTATCCGCACGCCCTTCCAAGAAGACTCGACAACCATATTCCCCCTTGACTCAATTGGGTCCGCCTTTTCATCGTCCATCCTCCACAACAGTACATAAACTTTGACCAACTTCTCATGGAAGCCGGTAAAAATGCGGATGGAAAAGCTTGCATTTCGAAGCTAGTTTAGCAAAACTGCGAAAAAATAAATAAACAATCCAATTTGTAATAAATATGTCCGGTTATGGTAAAAATTAAGAAAAAAAATAGTCTCGCTATTTTTTAACAATTTATTCGCAATTGACAGAGTTTTAACATTACGAAATAGATTATAAATAAATGTATTAACTGTGTAAAGTAAATATATAACTAAATGTATTACAGATAATAGTAAACAAATGTCAACTGAACATATTACAACTAAGTTTAAGGGGTGGCACATACATCTAATATTTTTAAAGTTAAATTCATTTCAAGATTGAGGCAATTCAACCACCATACATTTGTGAGAGAATTTCTTACTTCCGGGAGCTGTGGAAATCATCTTCGTCGAAGACAAAATTTCCAATTGTAAATAAAAACGGCATTGTTTTATTGCTGCAAATTTTACAATCTGTTTAGATCCTACTATTAAGCCTGGGGTTGACTATTGTGCACAAAACTCCTTTGTACGCAATTGTGCAAAATTCATAGTGAGAAAACTGGTTACTGAAATTAATATGTACGTTAGTGAAAATGAAATTTACAAAAAGTTGGCTTTGTTTCGTACTATGATTAATTACATTTTTAAATATATGAATAAATTTATAGCAAGTCGCATGAGCGTAGTAATGCAAGCAATCATGTTTTCTAGACCGTTCTCTTTTCTTGTGAGAGTTGCTTTTTAAGATAGAAGGGTGGTACGTACATACATATTTATATATTTCTTAGATTAGACTTATCAATCTTGTAATATGCTAACGGATAGAATCTGTTTCACATAAATGAACATGGAAAGCAATCTGACACGTGCAGACTTTTTTCAATTCAGACCTTTCGGATTGCATAATACAACAATGCAACCCGAACCATACATACATGCCTCAGATTTTTAGTTTTATCTACACATTAATTAGTAAAAATTTAGGAAATTCCATCAAATTCAGACACTAAAAAAAGCACAAAAATATGTATGTACTGAGCAAACTACTGAAACTTGATACCCAGGATAGCGTTACCTATGCGACCCCGAATTGGGTTATCAACTATTACCATACACTTGTAAAGCTTCCCCATAAAATTTCTGGTCTATAAACCTTGACAAAATGCAAACTGTTTCTGCTCGTTTCAATAAAGGAAATGCAGATTTATGTCAATATTATGAAGCATGTATGTACATATTTAACCTATTCAGCTAATTGTCGTAGCTAGATGCATAACATCTTTATGGCTTGGCTACGTACATACATAAGTCAGCCATCAGAGTAATTATCCTTGCTGCGATTTCCCTACGTAGGAATCTGTATATATAATCCTTATTCTAAACAGGTGGGGACAGTAGCATTATTTTTTAGAAAAAGTGCACACGTAATTGGCACATGAACCGGCCTGAACATCAACTGCATACACGAGCTCTAAACCTACGTAAAAAATTGCATGTTGCATTGAAGTATAAGTAGTATACATAACTTGAGCAACTAAATATCTATGTATGTATAAGGTATTTACATAAGGCTATATAATTAGCAGAAAAAGCTGGTTTCGATGTGTTTTCCAAAATAACCTGAATGCACAGAGCAAGATAATGTACTACCTAAATATTTTAGTAATGCATTAGTCCTCTTATTTGAATATGTAGCATCACGTGTGTTCCCCATGAATTGGCCGGCTCTAAGAAAAGGAGGAATACATAATATGTACATGTATCTATGTACATACAGGGTGGTTTTAATGTAACGCTATAACGGAAAATTTTTGGATGAGAAAAATTCGCAAATCTCCATTAGTTACATACCTATGTTGTCTCTGAAATTCAACATTTCAAGAATTTTGTCATCAGTGTTCCATCAGGTTTGATAATATCTACTTAAAATCTAAATCCAAAATCTGGAAGCAGTGGAGATTTAGGGGCTTTTCCTTTCGCCACTAGCGGAACTAGGGGTAGGCAGGGTAGGCCTTGCGTAGGGGCCCCGAAATTCCACGGAATTTTTATAAATTCGTTACCTCCCGAACATTGAGGAAACTAGGGACAAGCGTTGCAAAAGGGGCATAACAAACTCCAGACAAATTGAATTTCTGTGAAGAAATTTTGTCAAATATCTATATTATAATTTCCATTCCAAAAATTCTTAAATGGCACAATCAAATTTGTTATTAATTTTGCTACAGGCTTTGCGATCCAATCTTGATTAATAATTTTTCATGCTCTAAAATTATCAATTTTTTTGGTTAGTTAGCTCAAAAGGCATTAATTAAACTACTGCAAAAACTGAATTCCTTGCTACCAGCCAGCTCTACCCTCGGTTTTAGAAATTGTGGTTTTAGTAATATACATATAATTTTAAGTATAATCTTTGTCGTTTGACCATACGGCGCAAAATTACCTACCTAAAACCACAAAATGCCCCTAATTTCTGGAATATTTTCAAATCTGTCAGGGACAGGGGCCCCCGACATACCTTTGCCTACCGGCCCCAAATTTATAGTTCCGCTACTGCCTTTCGCCAAATTTTCCATTTTAACGCGACGTTTAAACCACCCTGTATGTATGAATTTTTCAATTGGTGAGCTTGATGCTCAATTAATATTTGACACACATTGTACCTATTCCTAGACTTATGTTCCACTGATCTTAACAGATAATTTAGGCATATTCTTATCGTTATATTATTATTTCGTCATGTTTAATTGCAATCTCAGCTTTTTCGAAATTTTAAATATTTTAGAAAATTTTCTGACAAATTCTTATATATTGAAAAATTTAAAATTTCAAGAAAGTTGTGACGAACAATTTGCTAAACTTCAAGAAGGCGGAGATCCCACATCGGCCTGGTCAGACTGAATTCTCAAGTTGGTGTTTAGCAGCGACGATGGTTTTTTTCTTCTTGTTCCTATGTAACTGGACCGGAACTTTCGTCACTTTTTTCGGCGAATCGTATAGGCTCTGATTTCCTATCAATTTCCATCTTATTGTTTCTTCAAGGGGGTCAAATTTTAATTAATTAATACAAAACAAATAAATTCGGAAAATTGGTAATGTACATATATATTTACTATTATTTACATACATATGTATATCTTTTCTTGAATTAATTAATTAAATACCTGATTATAATTACTTGCAAAATTAGGAGAAGATTGTCGTAACCCAAAACTGACTAATTACTTAAGACGAACGAAAATCACAATTAGTAAATTAATCATTTCAAGGTAGCCTTCGCAACTTTACGAAGATCACATTACGAAGCAGAAACGCGCATTTTTAATATCTTCGTAAGTGTAGTGATGAACGATGAGTCTTAAACACTTCCAATTAAACATTTTCAATTATTTATTCATTAAAATAATTTCGAACCGGAGAAAATAATTGCACTTTATAATACAGAATGTATGTAGATACGTTGCACATACATACATGAGAGTCTGCCCAAGAATGAAGGCAATAGAGTGATCTGTCTGAGGATGAGTTCAATAACTCGTACTTTACATGAAAAAAATGCAGACGTTGAGTGTCTCAACGTCTGTCTTTTTGTTTTATTGAGCATGTACGCAAAAATCAAGGTACGAGAAATATCAACTATGCAGATTAATGGATGGATGGATGGATGCTGCTATATGTACTGCTAAGTGAGTAGCCTCAGCTACTTTATACAACCAGACAAACATATATGTTTGTCTGGTTGTCCGGCTGCCTATCAGCAAGTAACAGGAGAGCGGATCGAAGTAATTGAAATCGGTTTGCGTCATCATAAAGGGGGAGGATCCTATCAGCTTTCGGGGTCAATGGGACCACCACAGTGGGGGTGTGGTTTGGGCAAAATGAGATTTTTATTGAAATTGGATCAAAAGATCAATTCAATACAGTAGATCCCGCGTGATTTTTGTGAGATATGCGAGATTTCGCAGAAATTTTGCTGAAAAACCATGGGATTTTTTTTCGCAAAGTTACCCAGCAAATGGGCATGTTCTTATTTCGCAAACGCGTCCTCACCATCGCCAGCAAGAGAAATTACAGAAATCCATGGAAACAGCATCAAAATAGGTGTTTTTGGTAGATTGGCGAGATTTGCGAAGTCATAATTTGCGAATCCCCTCACGACAGAAATATTTTGATCTTGGCAAGTTTGTTAAATGAGTTGCGATGCGAAATGAGACGTTCTCGTGAGTACGCCCACTGTATAACTTAATTATTGTGATGAGTTGAAGACACATAGATATATGTATACTTATGTACATAAGTATCTATGTGTATCTATGTATAAAATATGGACAATGTTAAGTGGTAATACCTAATACCATATTGTGTGCTAATAAAGTCGAAGCCGATAAAATGCAAATATATCAAGGTCACAATTGGCAAGAGCAAGATTACAATTTTCTTATGGAATTAGTGATCAGTAATATATACACAGGTGGTCTACATACATACATATGCACAAACCTGTTTAATGAAATGACATTGATTTAGTGTGCTTGAGCCAATGATTTATTTTTGTGTATGTGCTTCAAGATTGCAGCTTACAGTGCGATGCTGTGAAGTGCAACCATCCGATATGGTTGAAACTTGAAAATTATGTGGTCCAAAGTCAATACAACCAACGTTTCATGAGGCAGTTTTTGCGATGGTTGAAATTTGTTCAAATCTTTTATGTCGAATCTGGCTGGAATTTCTTGAGCGCATCAAGCTTGATTTGCCAAATAATTGTGCGATTTATGTCTGTAAATATATGATTCATTTGAAGTTCAATAATTAAATATGTCACATTTTATTTCAATAGTTCAGTTCAGTGTTAAACATTAAAGACATTTTCCCGACAGATAATTATGAAAGATAAGATAATTAATTGGAGCGACTAATATTTTCGAAAAATTTACTCATACACATTTCCAATAAAACTGGTCAGCAATATTCGCACGACCCTTTTCGTCTTCTTCGCCACATAATGGGACAGATTTCGTTGAATGAGGCATCGTACCGGTAAGAATTTTATGAACATAGGTATGTATATAGACTATCTACATATGTACATACATAAAATGATCCAAAGCCTTTTTGAAAGTCGACTTCAACAACGCCTTCAATGAGATACGGCGGGACAAAATGCTTAAAATTATCCATGAAAGGTTCCCCTCAATGTTCCGTTTTTTGTCACAGGCGTACTCCTCGCCTTCACAATTATTTTATGGGGACACACCCATCTCCTCCCGCCGCGGGGCCCAACAAGGAGGGCCTGTCCCTTATCAAGGAAATCGGGTCAAGGATCACAATCTTCACGGAAGAGAAGAGGGCAACGTCTTTTCTCCTCCAAAGGATGAGCATTGCAGTACAGCGTGGAAATGTTGCTGCAATTTTAGGATCTCTTCCAACCGGTCGAGAGCTGGAGGAGATATTTTTACTATAAGACGACGAAATAGGTTTTTTTACATTAAATTTCAGATAGGGAAATTGTGTGAGGCGCTGGTCGTTTAGCTTTTTTAAAATATAAGATGTTAATAAGTACTCTACTCTGCGATACAATTCATACTTTTAACGAGTAATGAAACTTAAAATGATGTAATATTACTAAGCGGCTTAGTAATGTTACATACTTTAAACAAATTGGTATATTTCAGTACATACATATCTCTAATCTACTAAAGGTAAATAATTTTAATGCATGTACTTATTCACATTCGGCTCAACCACTAAATCATTTCTTAATAATAATTGCATACGTTTACATACATTTATAAAACAAATTTCAAATCAAACAATCATCTAAACTTAACTTTTTAAAAAATACTTAATTGTAGTAACATTGTTATCTCTGTATATTAATCATTCCTATTCCGACCCCAAAATTTCATCAATTTTTTTTTAAAATTCTTCCCCTCTTTATCCTTAACAAACCCCAAACTCTCCCTCAACTCTTCAAACTTTTTGATTTTCTCCTCCCTCACATTCCTCTTCCCCTCCTCGACCACGTCATAATTCAAATTAGGAAACGTTCTGGAAATTCTCTCATAAAAATCCGGAAAATCTTCCCTCCACCCCCAGCATTTACAAATCTCACTTTCCTCCTCACACTCGCACCTCTTCTTCATCCTCAACCTTCCCACATCCCACTTTCCCCTCGTGGGGAAGGAAATATCCAAACTTCTCAGCGTCTCACATGGTTCGAGACCCTCAGCCAAAAATGTTTCATACAGAAAAAGCATGGTCGCCTCGAATTGCAAATTTGCTTTCGGCTTTTTACAAAAATTCAACCTCCACTTTGGAATATTTTGCGACACCACGCGCACAATTAGCTTCTCTAAAACGGGAAACTGTTTCCCATACTCAAGCTTAACCTCGTCCCCACCAGTTTCAAATTTTAAGTACAAAAATGGTCTAAACCATACCGTGCTAGTGTCCGGAAATACCGTTGGCTCTCTCAAAATTTCGAAAATTTTCAACCTGGGCAGAATCGGGATCACGATGTAGGGCGATACGTGTATATTTTTCCGTGGACTAATATTTTCCACGTTGGATATGCACACGTGTTCCAGCTGAGGTGCGAGGATATGAAATAGGTCAACCCCATTGGGAATTGGGTCATTAACTAGCGTATTAAATTCGAAACGGGTCACATTTTCGAATTTTTTTTTGCAAAGTGAGCTGAATTTGAAGTGTTCTAAAATAGCGTTATTCCGCGACAAGTGAAACGTTCTTGAGAAAGAGAGCGATTCGAGATTAGGCAACGTGTTTCTTTCTACCAGCATTCCGATGGGGAAGTCGGTCATGGCGAATTTTCTTACGCGGGGGGCGAAAACGGCCAGAATTCGCATGACCAGGGGGATCACGTGCTCCCATTTCCCGACGTCTCTGTCGGGATAAAAGCTGGTCATGTTGACCGAAAATGTGACCAGTTTTGGCGAGAGGGATAAATTATCGGGGAATAAGTCTACCCAACCTTCCTCAGACAAATAATCCCCTTGCCAACGGTATTCGATCGGTTGGAATTCTAAGGATTCCAAGTTTTTGAAGGATTCGCACATTTTTACTAAACGAGACGCCACGTGGCGTACCGGAGCGTCGAGGGGGAGTTCGATGCTTAATTGGGTAACGGTGTTCAAATTGAGGGAGATGAGTAGGTCTATTTTTGGGAGTAACATGTCCCAATTTTCGAAACAAAGGGTGATGATTTTGAGGTTTGTGGGGGATAGGTTGGTCAGGGTGACGAGGTCGGGGGAGTCCGTGACGTTGGACGTGGCGTGGATATCGATAGGGTTTCGAGCGATGAGATGCTTAAGAGCCTCCATTTGCCACGTGGTGTTGACGAGAGATGCAGTTTCTAAGTTGGTGGTGGGGAGGAAGCCCATGATTTTTGAAATTATCTAGTTAATAAATAAAGTTTTTGGGTGTGAATTATCGACTGAATTATATTTGGAGCGTACATATATCACGTCATCCAAAAAGATGGGTGGGTGGTTTTAAGTCGGATATGTTACTCCTGTGAAGCTGAACACGAGTAAGATATGAAAGGGGTGGGTGGTTTAAAATTTTTAGAGTTTTTATAGCGTAATATGTCGACGTTCCTATGCGATAAATAAAATAAATTTGTCAAATAAAATTAACACTTACTTCGGGCAGGTGTGAAATTAAGTTGCCCGCTTGGCTATTGCTTTCCATTTCGAGGCAGTGAAAAGTTTGGAAGGATGCTCAAAATTAGTTGTTAAAGAACGGAAATAAATAAATTTAAATTTGTAACCTCGTTTTCAGTAAAGGAGTGGAGTGAATTTACTTTAGCGATCACTATTAAGAATAAAGTGGTGCCTTTCCCATGCTAAATATTTTGTAAGGACGGAAATGAAACTTACGGTACTTAAGGGTTCAACCATCCATACATCGATAAATATCGAACCAGATTGATGGGAATGTGATTAGTCAAAAGGGTTGAGAGTTAGCCATGGCTTCACATACATAGATCTAAAGTGAAATACATATATGTGTATGTACATACATATGTAGGTATTCATTTACATACATACAAATGCACCTAATGTCCACATTTCTGAATTAAGGTTTCCAGTGGCATGTTAAATGCTTAACCTTACGGTTAAATAGTTAAACCGGTATTAATAGCTATACATATATATATATGTATGCTGCATGTTTTACGCACATACATATGCACATACAGACATACATACATACGTATCAAGGGTGTCCAAATGCGTATGTATAAATATGTACTATCCTCGTATTTAGGCTTGGCACCTCATTTGCATAAATCTAACTATACCCATTGTCGGCAATACGGGCTTTCCATGTTGAATAAACTCTCGTGAATGTGTTAAAATATGCAAAAGGTGCCCGCCGACCGGCTATACAAATTCGACAGTATGTACTTATTTATGAACCGATGCCGCACACAAAGCATGCAGAAATACCCGTGCAAATGTGTTTTTCACGCCAAGAAATTTTATTTGTACGCTTATACATATGTATATACTACATAAATACATATGTATAGTATATGCTGAATATAAAGTGTTATATAGATAAGATAATTTATCTATCTCCACCTGAAATATGCAATTTGTACCATAGTTCGTGAGGGTGCACATACTGATACATACATTCCGATGTGCAAATATTAATTATCAGCGATTTGTATCTTAAGCGAAAAAATCCATAACTATATGTATATGCTGATGCATACATATGATTTGGGATTGAGACTTTTATAATTATCTGTATTATCTAAACTGATGACAAAATTCTTAAAATGTTGAATTCTAGAGACATTTCGGTAACTAATGGAAATTTACGAATTTTTCCCATCGAAAACTTTTCCATTGTAACTTGACATTTTAACCACCCTATGTATGTATATACGTACTGAATATTTATTAATATAAGGAATATACAGTAAATGCATATACGATGATATTACACAATAGCTACATACATAAAAAATACAAGGTATGTAGAAACAAATTTATTCATATTTATTTTTATCTTTATTTATCATACCAAGAGTACACAGTTAGGCTGTGTGTATGTGCTTTTTTGACACCCGCACCACTGGGGGCAGGTTCAGATTGGCCGACGGGCTTATAAAAGTGGTTCGCTTATGCGAGCTAAACTACTCGTTCACAAATAATCCACATTCATTCATGCATATTTATACCCATTTATTTTTCATATTTATTCTAAATCTCAAGATTCTGAATTAATAATATCATACTACCACACATTATCAGTAATACTAATTAAAAACTTTTGCTCGCCTGTAATTATGCAAATATGTAAAATATTCGTTCCCCAATAAAAGGGTCCAACCACATAAATTGTAATATAAATATGCATGATCTTAAATAACTGACAGGTACCATATTTAATCCCCTGATTTACTTTACGTAACTGTCGAATTAATTATAGTACAGTGGACTAATTAATGGAAATCACCTACGTCATGCCTAAATTTTGACAAATGCTGGATACGTTTAGTTTTGTTCAGATATAAATAATATTTGCAAAGAAAAGTTTCGAACTTTATACACCAACACTAATTAAGTATTTAAAATCCAGCTATCGTACATCTTTCCAAATGTGCATGATTGGTTTAGCAACAAGTAATTAGCCTAATAACCCAGAAAATATGAAGAATTTTAAAAACCCTAGAAGTAATTTAAAAACCCACGAACGATCCATCGTCAACTTTCTTTGTTCGATAAGAGCTAAGTTACTGAGTTCATTATTACTCACGAACTGAGATATTGCATTTCATTTGAAATTATCAGGCGTGCCCCTACACCACAAGCACCCAATCATTTCAAGATATATCTGTTTAATAGAAATTTCCAGACACCAATTTCCGACCACCTGAATCTTTCAAACAATGCAGGAAATAAGCATTTGTCAATTCAAAGGGACTCTGTACTCTGAAATTCTGTTCCATCTATTAAAAAGACTATTACGGTGCTATACCTTTGTGCAACCGGTGGGATGCCATGCAGTTTGCCTGACCCTATTGAAAACAAGTGACATATCTACTATGCATTGGTAGTAGAATTGGTTAAAGAAAATGCTCCAATCGTTCCAGCTTTGGAATTTATTACTAACGTCCACGACGCCAGGGAAAGACGATACACTCTGCAGCCAGGTGGAGGAAAGAATTAAGAAAATTATTGATGTCAGGTTCACTACATAGGATGGGAACGAAATAAAGATACATCAAAATTGCCAGTTAAAAGTCATTGATGGGAAAGCTTTTTCAATTTTTATGAGATCCTTATCTTATCAAAATTTCGGAGTATGTGATGCGACGAAAATCAATCTGAAAATCAATTTTCAAGCTCGAGTAAACCCTGATGGCTGAAAGTATGGAATAAATCCGCTTCATACATGGATACGAGTACTAGAAATGTTGTAAAGCGTAGGATATCGAAATACGATCAAATCAGAACCTTCAGAAGGGTCTACATAAAAATAAAATTTCCAGGTAAGTTTATGTAAGTTTATGTATTCACCAATGCATCTGCCTATCTATCTGCCTGTCAATAGTCAATTTCGCATAGATAAGACTGTCTTCAAATAAAACGCAACTAAATTTTTCACCAAAGTCGCCAGCCCTCAAATCTGTCTTTCCAGGATTAATTCTTAATGTGCCTGCAATTTTTAACAACCATGATTTGAGACGTCGTGAAATTAAGTATCATTCACGAAGTATGAGACGAAGACTTTGTGCATGTTTGGTTCGAATAATAAATATAATGAAGTCGTGCAAAAAACTTGTTCCCCTATTTAATCAATTAAGAAAAGTCCCGTCGAACAATAGAATGGTAAAATTCTCGATTTGTAATCCTGCTCATAAAGGGTGTTAATAAAGTCCGATCCCATGCATTTTTTGGAGCGTGGTTGTTACAAATTCAGCTGGAACTTTTGAACCAGTGAAGTTATTTATTTCAAATTTTTACCATGGGAGGAACAACTAAACGTGTAAGTCATGAGCATCTTAGAGTTGAGATACAAACATTGCATCAGCAGGGGCTTAAACCTACAGAAATTGTGCAAAAATTGGGCTGCAGCCGCAGAACTGTTTGGAAATGGAAGAATAAAAATTTTGTCCACGACAAAAAGCGACCAGGGCGACCCAGAAAGGTGTCACCTACCACAAAAAGAATGATTAAAAACAGACTTTGCAAGAAAACCGGTAGTTCATTACGTAATTGAGCAAGGGAGTTAAATGACTCAAAACGCTATAAAGAGAAGAAGAAGCAAATTAACTGTGTGACCGTGCAAAAATTTGTGAAAACTACGAAGTGGGGTCACACAGCTTACAAACTAACCAAAAAAACCTCTCATGTCACAAAAATATATCGATGACCGTCTGAAATTTGAAGAACTCCTTCAGAAAAGTGCCCATTTGAGTGAAAAAAGACTTGGTGAAGAATTGCGCAGTCACATCCTTTGGACTGACGAATCTATTATTGAACTATATCCAAAATTGAACCAACAAAATGTTCGTTACAGGACAGAAAACAAATCGGATGTACCATCAAGAGCGATCCCAAAATTCGGGCTTAAAGTTATGGTAGCGGGTGGATTTTGTGCACGTTGCGTGACCCCTCTACATATCATACCAAAAGGCCAATCAGTCAATGCAAAGCATTATATGGAAAAAATATTACCTATCTATTTCGATAGCATGGGGAACAAGGAAATATTTCCGAATGAAAGAAAAATAGTTTTCATGCAGGATGGTGCTATAGCCCATACAGCAAAAGCGAGTTTGAGTCTCATCAAGACGCAAGTTTCAACGGTCTGGAGCAAGGGGGTGTGGGCCGCTAACGGCCCAGATTTGAATCCCCTGAAGAACCAGTGGTCCATACTTAAGGAAAATGTATACAAAGAGCCACAACCCCGGACGAGGGAAGAGCTAGTAAAAAAAAGTTCAAGATGTATGGAATTCGATTTCCAGAGGCACAATGGAAAAATTAGCACAGAGCCTTAAACAAAGAGTTGAGGGCATGGTTAAAGTAAATGGTAACAAGACCAAATACTAAGGTAAATATGTCGAACATTTTTTGTAAGTATCACGGGTAGTTTTTTTTTATACTAGCCTTCACTTTTTTACAGGAAAAATGGGATCGGACTTTATTAACACCCTGTATTTAAATCTGTATTCTTAAAATTTACAATTTAAATTTACAATAGTAATGGAATGTACAGTTGAAGCCGAAAATCTTAATTAGTAATTTACGGGACGTCTTGCGACACTTTAAATATGATACTTTCGTCTCGGAATTCATCAAAATTGAGTTTAAAACTTAGCACAAAGGTGATATTTGTTCAGTAAAATATAACTTTAGTGAAATTGTAATTCCCTTAAAATGGAAATTCGATCGAAACGAATCATCGAATATTTTTCGGATAGCTTAATTTAATCCGTTATCATGAAATAGAAGTTAGAATTTTGTGTACAATACGAACATGAAGTCAAGTCTTGGGAACATAAATTTCCAAACAAGCAGTTTCAAATCAAACCAAGACAGAGGTTTTCCTTTTAGGGATGGCAAAGGTCTTCTACCCACTCCCCTGTGTAATGTGATTTTTACAAGTCGAAACCTTGGTTAAATTATTCTGCAATTAGTAAAAACAATTTGTATCATGCATCCTGAAGCGAACTTAAATTTTGTGAATGGATTTAAAATTAAACCCATTTAAAACATGTGCGTCCCGTGTTGTCCCGTCTTGCGCGGGACGG